TAATATTTCAGTACTTAGAGTTATCACCTGCCGCTGGTCTGTGACAATTAAGCCTAACCGGAAATAAAGAAATGTCATGAAATCGATGCCTTACTTTCTCAAACTCGTATCTTATAAAGAGTGATTATTCAGGAGATGGCAAAACTTTCTATTTATTTTAAATTTCTTATCAAGGGTGTTAGTTTGAATGGATTGAACTTTAAGAACAGGTAAAAGCTAGTACCTATGTGAATATGAAGGAAATGTATGAAATCAGTCTACATAATTTGTATATACAATCCATTTTTTGCATTTCAGTAACTTTGTGCTTTAAGATGCGAGTTTGAGAAAGTAAGGCGACGAAATGTCATTGTCAAAATATTAATGCCGGTGTGCTAAAAATTCTACTTTTAACAGAGTTGGAAAAGGAGGAGATTCTCATTTTCTACAATTTTAATTATCTATTATAAAATAATAGCAATAACCAAAAACTTTAACAACAAACACAATAGTTTAAGGCGATTATCACACTGCACCGCGCGAGACGCGGAATCACGCGTGCAGTGGCGGAGACGTCTGCGTCAACGCGCGGTTTAATCTGCGCGGGGGCAGTGGTCTAGCGGCCCCGCGTCACTTAAAGTACTCGCTTCGCAGTTGATCGCCGTAGTGATTGTATATGTAGCAGAGATCCTTATTTGACAAGAATGGTTAATAATACCGAACTCATTCAGGACGCTGCTGTTATATTGTTTATTTGGTTTTTGTTTATTCAAATAAAAAGACACCACCTACGAACCAGATCGATAAATGGATAATTTCAACTTCATTACAAAGATTTAAGAAAATATGAAGATAAAATTGGTCGATTTTCAATAGCAAATATAAATTTATCGACGTCGTGATCTACTGTAGAAAACTGAACGTCCATAAGCTTAAAAATCTACGCGGTAGTGCGGAGTGCCGTGTGCCATACCCTACGCTTCGCCGCGCCCTTCCGCGCGGGGTCGCGGTAAAACCGCGCGCGCAGCACTCCAGCGCGGGGGAGCGTTATCAGTGTGTTCGGCGGCGCGTGTTTTCCATACAAACTGAGGTACTTCAGTACAACGTTAAAAAAACGCAGTTCCTCGCTCCGTCGCGGGGCGCGGTGCAGTGTAATAATCGCCTAACAAACGCACTACGCAGAGACAAGAAAACATTCGAGTTCGAGAAACGAAACACGAATGACATCTGTACATCTATGACACTACAAAATGGCGGCACAAAAAATGGTTTTGATCCTGATCGTGTTACCAGTGTCTAAAATTATTTACGACCTTAATCATATTTTTTTATTGTAATCATTGTGTACAACGTAATTAAGTAAAAATATATATTGCAAAATGTGTTTTATTAGATTAGAACTTGAAAGAAAAGAGTTCTTAAGGTTAATCATCTTCAAAAATAGGTAACTACCATTTAAAATATATTTTTTGCTCGGTTATCCCCTTTGTTTACATTTTGGACACCTATAGTCCATTTGTTTAAGTACTTAACTAAATGTAAACAACCTTGTGATGTCTATTTAACGAAATACACATTTAAGAAATAATTTTTACTTACCTTCAAATACAAAATACAAATGCTTAGCTTCATAAGAAATTGCATGTCTATTTTTATACCTATTGATTTGTATAGATAAGTAAAGTGTTTCAATAATAAGATGTATCAATATTGTTTACATTTAGTTACGTGTCTCAACAAACTATAACGATGGACTATAATGATGGTTCATATTATAGTAATAATCTATCAAAGGGTTACATTGAGTCCGAAAGACTAGTTTTACTTTTTATCTCCAGACTGTCTTTCTTACAGTATAGCCGGCTGATACTCCTCGGTTTTGTTAATAACTAGTACCATTTATAAATCTGTTTTTTTTTTAATCTTCTTTATTCTAAATCTATTTCAATTCTTCAATTGAAATGCGACTTACATATATAACATCGATTTATTATGTTTTATTTATTAATATATACTTCAGGGGTCTTACGCGTTAGGATCCTGAATATTTATTTTTATATAACAACTTATTATAATAACCGTTCGTGCTTAGTTTCCAAGTTTACTTTGTCCTTAGGAATTAATTGGTTCATAAGCTTATAACTATTTGAGATATGGTCAGCATACTACTTAAATTTTGGCTAAATACTTAATTAAGATTGTAATTGTTCAGGGAACTGATGATTTTGTCATATTTATGCACACAGTATCTACTGGTTTATATTCAATTATTGTTTCGTACAGTCAACAACAAGGAACAAGATCCAGCAATGTGTAGCTTGCTGTGCTATCGTCTGTACATTAAGAGTCAAGGGCAATGAAATAATACTTATAAATGCGAAATATATTACTAAACGGTGTGGAACAATACTCGTATTTGTGAATAGCATTAGTTTTAAATCTTTTATAAATTTTTTGTGCGCGTGAATTATATATTTATTTATCCACATCTGCAGTGACGAGCTGTGAACTCAGAACAGTGTATACACACATGCTCTACATAACGCTATGTATGCATACACATGCACATATACTCTACACAGTGTATGCTGAGTTTGCCACACACAACTTGCAAGATTTATGTTTTTCTTAGTTATATATTTACTTTTGGCGTGATGAAGAAACGATTTAATGAAAGTGTATTCAATTTTCTCTAAAACTTTTCAAAATAGACAAAGCACGATAACAATTCAATGAAAGTTAACAAAGATTGATTACATTGCAATTTCGCTATAAAATCAGAAAAATATTTCGAGTTCTTAGGTTTTCGCGATTGTTACACATAGGAAATCTAACTACTTTTTCGGTTGTGAATGGCGTATATTAATTTTTTCAAACAAACCAATATACGTCGCATGGTCACGGCTGACTGGGATGGTAAACTCATATATTAGTTTTTTTTTAAACAAACCAACGTTTCTTATGGGTCCCATCCCGTCAGTCTGTCGTGAAAAATAAACTCGAAAAAATAATTTTACTTGTAATAAATAATTAATTATGTTTTGTGAAATTACAAATCGCACCCCTCATGGAAACATGGCATAAGTGAAAGTACGTCAAAAATGTTTATTGCTCCAGTAGATACATAAAAATATAACCCACATCCTCTCCAATTCTTATAACTCTGTCTTCCTTCACTATTAGTCGATAGAGTTACAAGAATTAGAAAGACATCCTCTCCAATTCTTGTAATTTTGGTTATATTTTTCTGTATCTAATGGTATAATAAACGTTTTTGACGTAACTCCACTTATGCCATCCCTCCATGTGGAGTGCGATATATGTTTAAAAACTGTCAGTCGGTTACGTTTGGATTTCCGTTAACACTACTGACAGTTCTCCAGTCATCCCGATTAAACCATGATGACACCTCGTGAATGTGTCATGAAATAAGCTAATATCTCAAAGTAAACCAATCTTAATAACAGGCATACACTCACATTATGACTCAATATTTAATGTTACTTTTAAAATATACGTGTACATTTTAAACGTGAAATACAAAAATAAATAGCACGATTTATAAAAGCCCTTATAAGGTAAAAAGTATAACTTTTTATGTATAGTGACACACCATTACTATCTTCAAGAGTCATTCTACCTATTTTTATAAATGAGATAAGGGCACGTAGCATGCGCAACTGTCGCTAATCAGCAAAAATCGAGCAAAATAATCTCTCAAGCAATTTGAAATTGGTGAATCAGTAATCGTCTCTAACAAATAACATTTGTAATTCAACCGTGACCATGGGACCTGTAAAGGACCCGAAACGTCGGTTTGTTTGAAAAAACACGATTTAAATCCGGAAAAATAGTTTCATTTCCTGTGTGTAATAATCGCGAAAACCTAAAAACTCGATAACATTTGTAATATTGATTTTATTGAACATCATAATGTTTTACTAAAGTAACATTCATTTATTTGTTGTGAAATTATATATAACGTAGACACTCAATATAGCCCCGCACTAGGGAGACCGTGTATCGCGGGTGCCATGGACACACACTGGCAACCACAAATTACGCCCAAACTCACGAGAGATAACAGTTCGGCCACGGAGGCAGTTAAATGAATACTTTATTATAATTTTTAATACAAAAATCGATCACAAAGAAAAATTCCTTCGATTTACCAGGACTCGAACCTGCGTCTATATGCCAAACTAGAGCCACCGCTCCACCAATTGAGCTACAGATCAAATCAGCAGACCTTATAATTTCTCTAAGCGTTTGTGACAGATTTTTGTATTGGGTTTTTTAGGCTTTTATTGCCGTCAGCAACCCGTTGATGGCCAACCTAACGAATTAAAAAAAAATCTCATCAATCAAAAGATCTGTAACAAATTCGTAATAGAAAAATTCGTAAGCTCTGCCCACTTGTAGAGCCGTGGACCTAGCGTAGCATACAGACGCAAGTTTGAATCCTGTCGGATTACTGTTGGGTAATTTTCCAAAAAATTTCCAGTAGTGCAATTTTTTCCGGAAAAATTCCCGAAAAATATGAAAAATACAATTTCGAAGACTCATTATGTTCTACGTTTAGAAATGTCTTTTGAAGTTTTATTTGGCGTGTAAAATAAACTTGTATAGCTAAAGAAAAACAAGATTTAAAATTATTTCACAACAGCGAAAAAAAACGTTTTGTTTTTATTGGTTTTCGTTTAGTAACTTCAACTTTTATAGGTGTCAACGTCAAATGTGGAAAATTAAGAGAAAAATATTGGAAAAATATCCGGAAAAATATCGAGTTCTTAGGTTTTCGCGATTGTTACACATAGGAAATGAAGCTATTTTTTCGGATTTAAATCGCGCGGTATGTTTGAAAAAGCAAATAAACGCGATTTAAATCCGGAAAAATAGTTTCATTTCCTATCCGGAAAAATATTTATTTTTCTGAAAAAATATGATTTTTTCAAAATTGATTTTTTTCCATGACGCAACGCTATGTCAGATAGAAATAATTTTTCTTGGAATTCGCACTTCTGTTAATAATAATAGCATATGTATTTGAAAGAACGAGAACTTACTACGACCTGTAAAATAAAATTTGAATCTCTAAATGACTAACCAGTCGCCACAGATGTCGTTCCAAATTTAAATTTGTATAATACAAAGCTATGTTGAAGTTTGCACTTTAATATTAGAATTATAGCTTTCGATGAATTTTTAGCAAAAAATTAAGACCTACATTACTAAAATTCTAGTATTTTCTAGAAGTACTAGTCTAGGTATTGCGTATGTAGTTTAAATCACATTCGTATATTTGTTATTTGTGTGTGGGGGAAGTCATTTACCTAAGCGAAGTGGATAAGACCTATGCTACAGAAACCAACAGAATGTTGATTTTTTTTTTAATCAGCGTGGACATGAAAATAACGAAATACCATTGGTTGGAAAAAATGCAACTCTTCGATATTTAAACTAATCAACGTAGAGACATGTAAATAATGTAATACTATTGGTTGGTGACACATAGCATTTTCATACATCGATTAATCAGCGTGGAGTCATGAAAACAATGAAATACCATTGATTATTGAAATGCTGCTCTTTTACGCTCTACTGTGATAGACCTTTACAGGTCATAACTCAACAAATAAAATACTATAGAGATTCTTTATCACATTTAGTTTCCCCGAATGACTTGATCCAGATCTTTAACGTAATAATAACCAGAAACAAAAAACTCTAAAAAAACCATAGTTTCATTGACTATAACTACCTCATATTACATACCTTAATTTGTTAATTTGGCACTTAAAACAAGGAGCTAAAGTACTCTACCTACAAGATATGGCAAACCTAATAGAGTACTCAAAGGAACTACGGGACAGAAACATAGTAACGTGTGTGTAGAGGTCAGCGAATGTCGTCCCAGCGAGCGTATAGCGGGCGGGGCGGAGGCTCCGATGTGGCTTCTTGACGCGTCAGGATGGTAGAATAATGTAATATTGGTAACGCTGCAAAGCCGAGTACCAGTGCTCCGAAGGCTGGTTTGTGGATTAACCTGTGGGAACATATCGATTAAGTAGTGATAGTCCATTTGGGACAATACATGGTCTAAATTGGGTAGGGGGTACAAATTACCACCTGTTTTAACAGTGATGATACCTGACGAAAGAACAACCAATAATATACATGAAAATACTACTTAATGTAATTATTTGCTTCAGATCCAAGCAAGAATGCCCTGAATTTTGTATGAAAAACTCAACAGAGATTCTTTAAAGTACTTTTCTATGTACCCTAATAACGCTAAATTTGAACGCAATATTTTCATTGTAATGTTCATTGGTTTACTTGATTATAGGAATAACGAGCCCTTTACCCCGTATGGTGGGGCCGGCCCCAGCCTGCGGCGCGTGGTAGGGTTTAGATTACGGGGTATACTTATGCTGAGGGATGCGCCATACTCAGAGCTCAACCAGCCAGCAGTAACCAATGGTATATTCAATAAATAGATCACGTCACGTATTACGTACATTATGATTTCTGATTTTGACACAAAGGCTAAGAAGGCTATATCAGCGAAGATTCATTGGAGATTACACAAAAATTACGTAATTTTTTTACAAGGTACCAATTCGAAAACTAGATAGTTTTAGATAAATGTTGATTAGCGTACTTTATTACTTATCCAGTTAGGACGTGCTTACGCATAACAATAGACGTAGTAAAACTTACCAAGGAATTGATATGACGACGAGAGTGTAAGAAAATGAGAGTACCAAGTTCGCCCATAGTCTGGAGCAACGTCGCAACGTACTCGATATCCATTTGCATTTGAGAACTGAAACAATAATCTCAGTACAGAGTACTATAAAAAATCGACCTCAAAAGTCATTTATAACGCACACGTTCAACATAGCCCCGCACTAGGGAAACCCTGTGTCGCGGGTGCCATGGACACACATATAGACAACCACAAATTACACCCAAACTCACGAGAGAAATAAATGTAGACCATACAAATATTTCTCCCGGCCCGGGAATCGAACCTGGGACCTCTGCGTGGCAGTCAGGCATGGTACCCTTTCGGCCACCGAGGCAGTTGATTTTCATTCATCCCCTCGTTCGCCACCCTTAGAGATGGAATATTTTCTTCAAATGTAAATGGGACCACATCTAAGGTACCCTCCACCCAACAAAAAAGATTCATCAAAATCGGTTCACAAATTCACACAGAGTTATCGCGTAGCATACATATAAAAAACATACAGTCGAATTGAGAACCTCCTCCTTTTCTTGAAGTCGGTTAAAAAATAATAATAATTAAAATACGACTATAATATAAATAAAAACACCGAGCGCGTGAACGGGACGGGCGCACGGAATTAGACCCGCGTACACATACACGAAATTAGACCCGCCGCGGTTCCGACCACACCCGCGCCCGACCCGCACCCGCTCTCTGTGTGTTTCACGCGTAAGCAAAAAAAACTTTTTTTATAATATCCAGTGACAAGACGAAAAGTCGTGCGCCTGATGGTAAGCTACATGCCTGTCAATAACAGTTGCAGTGCCACCCAGAGCTTTAAATCTCAAAGATCTGAGAGACACTGGCACTGCGCCCGTCGGCCTGAGACATACGATTGTGAACAGGCAAACGGTACTATCTCAATTTTGACAACTTTACAGGAAGAAGACAAAATCATTTATATAGCATCTGGTTTATGAAATAAAAATACGTAGTGTATATACACGTAATAAAAATATTTAAAAACTACGTATTTAATACACCAGATGTAATATAAATGACGCAAACAATTTTTTTCTAACTGTTCACAGTCAACTTATAAGTTGACAAGTCCCGTGCTGTAATTTCACCAGCACCTTACCCTTTAAAGCCGGAACACAGGCGGCAGAAATAGGTAAGTTGGCAGTACTTCCCTGGACGAACTCTTTCACAAGGAGCTCTACTGCTACTAAAAGCTTTCAAAGCTACTTACAATTTCATAATTTCCACTTTTCATGTCATATGAAAATTAAAAACCTAAATGAAAAGTGGAACCAAAATGAAGAATGGGCTTTTCAGCTTTACGTCAACGCCGTTAAAACTCTAGAAAAAGAATAAGCGAGACGTAAACAAGAATAAGTATAATTATTTATATATATTATAGTGATATTAGCTAGAGCTCGTAATTGCATATGTAATGGTATTTGTGGGTTTACATATAAGAATGTGTGGTTGTATTTGTAATTTTGTATTTGAGGTTTATGCGCAAACGGCACACTACTTACATACTACTTACATATAGTAAGCCAGTCTGGATGTAAAGTCATAGCCGAAGCGAAGACCTGAACGAAACCCAACAAGCGATATTTCCACGTGTGAATGGCTCCTTCTCGCCTCTCCAAGTCGTGGAGTTGTTTCAAACTATAAGAGCCTTTGCGTAAGATCGAAATTGGATCGACTGTAGGGAAGTTCGCCGGGCTGTACGGTTGCAGTGTAGAACGTTCTACTATTCCGACTGCTGTGTACTGAAAAATAAGAAAACTATTAAATATCTTGGTAATTCATCGATTAAGTGCTCAAGCAATACGATAGAGGTTCAGATTTCAATATCATTTTGTATATGTATTTGTACACTACACAGAGTGTTTTTTTTAATGGGACAGTATGGGAAAATCCGAAACCACAGATAAGGAAACTGTGTTAAGAACCATTAAGACTTTTTTGTGAAAACAATTTTGGCATTGTCAATTTTTGGTCTATAGTGAGTTGCCTATAAAAATGAATAAAATTTATCAATATTTTTATTTTCTCATAGATGGCGCTACGGCTAAAGGCGTTGACAATTGATCAAATTTTTGTTAGTGCTGATCGACTCAGTTTCACATAAGGATAAAAAGTTTTTTTTTTTTATTTAATCAACTTCTGTGTCGATTTTTAGTTCTGCAATGAAATAATCCTTAAAAGAAGCTGAGACTATCAGCATAAAAAAAATTGTCTATTTTATTCATTTTGTATGAAAAACATTTTAAGAAATCTGACCAACTTCTGCAGTCCCATTTTTTCGCCCCATACAATGAAATGATCCTTAGATAAAACTGAGTCGATTAGCAATAAAAAAATTTTGATCAATTTTATTCCATTTTTATGAACAACGCACGCCTAACCAAAAAATTTACTATGCCAAAATTGTTTTCACAAAAAAGGACTTAATGGTTCTTAAGACAGTTTCCTTGTATTTTCTATGGTTTCGGATTTTCCCATTAAAAAAACACTGTATATAGAATACTATTATGGGATCTAAACACCTGTCGAGGCACTCAGTCAACGAAGTTTTTTCTCAGTGTACAATAACAAAAATTTAAATTGTATTCTCGCTTTGTCAACTCACAATGTCGTCCTCCCGGCCGGCATATGAGAAATGTATCCTCAAGTCCCCAACCTCATGCTTCAGAGCACTTTCGCCGTGGTAATAGAAGCCTGAATGAAGTTTGATATCGCCCCTCTCAGGCCGTGAATCGGACCAAATTTCGTAATAATCATTTACTTTGCGTTTTACATCTAAACCTGAAATTAAATACATATAATTGTCTATACATTTGTTCGGAAAAGTTGTATTGTTTGTAGCATCACTGCTACGAACATGCGCATGGAATATGATCATAGATTTAGTATACAGGTACCTGAATATGATACTGTGTTTTGTGTCTGGAAATGTGTTTCTTTTGCACTTTTCCTACCTTAGTGCGGCAAGGGCGCGTTCCCATTATGTCGTGGACGTTTATTTTATCGTTAAACAACTGTCGTGTCTAGCTCTTCCCACTACATTGTGACGATAATTTATCGGTTCACTTTCACATTGTCGTCGGTACGACAGAATCGTTTGAAGTTGCGATTATCTGCCGTCACATTTTTATCGTGACGTTTTATTTATCTCCCGTTCTAGCTTTTCCGATTGTCACGACAGTCCGTCGTCGCAACGTCAAAAAAATTAAGAACGACATAGATAAGTTCTATGTGTGAACAACTTCATTGAAATATACAAGGCACGACACTTTAAACTGCACGACTACCTGTCGTCGTCGCATAATTGAAACGCGCCCTAAAGCATAATGACAAAAAAAATAATTAAAAAGTCTTTTTTATGTCTGGAATAAATTATGAATACTTCAATTATGTAGTAAAATCGATAAATAAACAAACTAAGCAATAAATTTGCTAACTCGATATACATCTTATTTATTTTACGACCATTGACCTACTAACAATTTACGACCAACTGTTTCAACATATTATTCATAATTACAGGCACATAGGACCTGTCAACTTATGTCTCAGGGTGACAGTCACAGTGGCAGTTCCCCTCAGATTGATGTGATTTAAAGTTCTGAGTGGCACTGCAACTGTTATAGATAGTTCGTTCCATCACATGGTATCATAAAAATAAAAAACCTTAATACTTAAGTTCGACTCTCTGTCTTTTAACTTTTTTTTAATAATGAAATCCCAACATTTTCGTAAACTTGTCACGCACCATTTTTATTCTATGCTTTTCTTTCTAATACACATAGATTACATATATTATTAGGCGGATATTAGGGTATTAACTCCAGCCAACAGATAGAGTAAAGCTCAAGTTCCGAAAGGCAGTATCTTGCCGCCGAAGTCTAGAGATGTTGCGACTTTTAATAATTATGATTTTATTGGGGTGAACTAAGAAAAATCCGCTATTCTTTGAAATATATTGTTGAAAAACGTCGCGTGTTATATTAGTGGCGTCAAAATTATTTCATTACTATTTTCCGCACTATATAATACAATATGTACTAAGTATTCTGTTTTATTATGTCCTAAATATACGTTAATCGTATTAATGTTAGAGTAAATTTCATCTATCAATTTGACGATATAAAATATACAGTGTAAGTAAATAATTTTCACGTATCACGCAAACTTTGTTAAAATTCCGAAGACGCATGATTTTAATTAAAAATTAAATTAATCATGATTTCTTAATATTTTCAAATACCTGTTATTTTATCTGAATTTTGCGTAAATTTGTGGAAGCACATGCTTGATATGATGGATTTGCTTTACTACTTACCGCTAATAGTAAAACGTGGGTCTAAATCAAACCAGCTTAGAACTGTGACGCCTATTTGAGTGGTGGATGGTACAAAAAAAATGTCTTGATGATAGAGAGGAATAATTAAAAATTTAACCAATATTAAGGCGACTATTTAGAGCTATAACCTTTTCAGCTTCAAACATTATTCACGTAAATTTATACAACCGATTGGGAACAGAAAAAGCAGGAAAATCAGTATTCATATTTAAATCATTTAATGGGATTGATTGACGGCAGACTTACAGAATGCCAAAGTATGATGAGATTTACTTTATTTTTAACAGTGAATCAGTCTAAAAAATCGAAATTAAAAACACTTAATTTAATAATAAAAATCAATAATTTGATGATTTAAATAATCAAATTTTATCATGCCAACCCTGCTCTAGATGCAGCCATATATATTCCAAGAACTTATTATAAATATTAATAAAATTTAATGTTAATTGTAATAAATACTATAATGTTTTACTACCATAATATTAATTTATGTTTTGTATAATGACTCCACTAGTTTGAACATAAAGAAAAATGCCTTCAATCTGACAGAACATGATGAAAATCAAACAAAAGAATGAATACCCACCCAAATACAACCATCCAATCTTGACATTATCAGCTATATGCGTCTCACTGAACATTGGCATAGAGGTCGGGTTGTGATGACCGGGCCTGATATAGAACAGGTTGGAGTCTACTACGTCGTCTCGCCAGTCTTTATAGTATGAGTAGGTTTTGTGCGTTTCTTCCGCTGGCTCGCTTAGAAAGGTTTCTTGTTCCCTATAAAATGAGAAACAATAACTGCAATATGTCTGATTGTAATTGGGCTCTAAACATTGTTTATCATGACTTGCTTTTATTATTGTTTAGTTTTTAATATAATTTTTTTTCTTTTTCTCTTTTGTTTCTTTTGACTTGAGTGGTGTTATTTGAAATAGTAAAGTAAATGTATTGTCTTCTTTCTAATTTACTAAATACATTATGCAAACTTAAATGCATTCAGACATAATTGTATATTCTAAATCATACGAAGTACAATATAAACTTACGACGACTCCTCAATCCACTGATACATCTGCACTCTCTTCCTTAACTTGACAGCTTGTACATGAATATTATAGTCTGGCTCCGACAAAGGCTCCAATATTTGAAGTGGGCCAACCACATGGACGACTTTTCCTTCATACCTTGCAGAATCGTCGGGCGTATGTACGTCTATACTTTCAGCTGCAGACACTAGTTCTTCAAGCATTAGATTGCTTTGAATTGTTTGACTCTGGAAGGAAATTCATAAGTTTCAAATAATGTTGATGAAGTTTAAGCTGAAATTGCCAAAATGACCGACGTTGATGCTTCGTTATTTATGTTATTGAAATAAAAAGCAATATACATACAGAACAATGACAGACACACATGGTTTTTGCAAATTGTACAACCTTAATTAAACTAAAATTGGTATAAAGGGGTATAAAGTATGTACTATCTGTAAGAAGTAGTCAAACTTAACCTAATAGAAATGGATCTGTATTTTATTTATTTATTTATAGCCTTTATTGCTGATAACTTATCAACTTATCTAACACATTGTATGACATGCGTACTTATTATATTTTACTTATTTATTATTACTCAATTTGTTGACTTCGGCTTGTCCTCCTAAGATATAGGCCTCTTCCAGAGATTTCCATTTCTCCCTATCTTTTACTGTCTGTCTCCATGTTCCTTGAGCAACATATTTAAAATCGTCTTCCCATCTAAAGTATGGTCTCCATTTCTTCCTTTTTCCCTCTCTTGGGTACCATTCCACAATATCCCTTGTCCACATATCAATTTTTTGCCTCATCATGTATCCTGTCCAATGCCATTTTTGCTGTTTTATTTTGTGTGTGACTTTTTTAGTCTTTGATTTGCTTTTAATTGTGGTCAATTTTACTTTATCTTTCAATTTTATGTTGAGCACACAGTTCTTTCCATACTATTCTGAAAAACATCAAGTTTTTTGTAATGTTTCTTAGTAAGTGACCATGTCTGGCATCAATATGTGGTCACGGGTACAATGCACATATTTATTACTTTGAATTTTTTTTGTATCAATTTCTTTTAATTTCAGGACTTCTTTGAGTGACCAGAATTTCCTCCACGAATTTGTGACTCTTCTTTCAATTTCTTTGTCTGTTTGGTCCTTTGTGGATATTATTTGGCCCAAGTATTCGTATTCGTCCACTTATTCAATTATATTTCCAGTTATCGCAACCTGTTCTTTAATATTGTTTGTTATCAACTTTGTTTTGCTGGTGTTTATAATGAGTCCTACATATTTGCTTTCCGTGTTAAATTTTCGAAGTATAGTTTGTAGCATTTTTGGGTTTTTGGCCAAGAGTATAAGTTCATCTGTGAATCTCAAGTGGTTAAGGTACTCAACCCATACTTGGTACTTGGTACTTGGTGCAACGGGCTGGTATCCGCAACTCGACGACAAAGCGCCTATTTTGCGTGTGGTGGGTGCAGGGTCCTACTCGTGCCACCCAAGCTCCTCCAGGAATCTCAGCAGCCTCCTTGGTTTGCTGAAGACTTCGGGGAGCGACCTTGGCACTCCAAGGTATTTTGCCCTGTAGTTGGCCACGCCGGAGCACTGAAGTAGGATGTGCGCAGCCGTTTCCTCCCCCTCCATGCACGCTCTGCATAGAGGGCTGTCTGTGATACCTAAATTGAAAAGGTGTTTATTATATGGACCATGACCCGTTAGGGCGGCAGTTAGAGTGCGAAGCTCTTGCCTTTTAAGTTTAATTAGTATTCGAGATAGACTGGCATTGAGCGTTGGGAGTGCTTCCCTCGCCTGTCTACAAACCGTAAGGGTGGTCCATGTATTATTATGTGAAGACTCAACCCATATTCCTTCCAATCCAGATATCTAAATATACTTTCCAAGACAGCAGCGAATATTTTGGGCGATAGAGGATCTCCCTGACGGACACCCTTTCTGATTTGGAATTCTTGTCCTGTAGTCTCTATCTGTATTTTTGTTTTACTTTTTTGTATATTTGTTGGATTAGTCTTATATATTTCTTTTGTAATCCTTGCTCACAGAGAGATTTCCAGACTTTATTATGTTTAAGTGAATCAAAGGCCTTATTATAATCTATAAAGGCTACATAGTATCGTTGTCCATACTCATTAAATTTTTCTATTATTTGTTTTATTACTAGAATATGATCTATGGTTGAGAAGTTCTTTCGGAACCCACCTTGTTCTCTGGGTTGATTTTCGTCAAGAGCCTGTGTCGCGCGTGCCAATATTAATTTTGAGAAAACTTTGTATATGTTAGTCATTAGACTAATGGGCCGGTAATTATTTATCTGGGGTTTGTCGCTTTTTTTGTGAAGTGTGATTGTGGTCTTGTCCATAGGTCTGGAATGACCTCTTTATCTAAAATGTGGTTAAACAGATCTGTCAGATAGTCTAGTATAGCATCAAGAGTACCTTTTAGTAGCTCATTAGTAATGTTATCCTCTCCAGGAGCTTTATAATTTTTTTGAGTTAAAACAGCCTTTTGTACTTCGCTCTTAAGGAACATGGGGACGGTTTCTCCGACATCTTCCAACTTCACCATATCTACATTATTTGTCTCATTGTCGTCGTCAAGATCTTTGTAAAATTTAGTAGCAATATCCATAATATTCAGGCGCTTTGTGATTTGTATTTGTTTGTTGCCTTTGAAAGATGGTATCCATGTTTTTCCTTCTGCAAGTTCTTTTCTGGCTTTTTTGAAACCTCCTGTTTCTTTGATATAATCTTTGAATTTTTCAATTCTCGTCTTACGTCTGAATTTCCTTATGCTTTCGTTTATATTTTTGCTTATTTTAGTATTTCAATCCTATTGTTTTTCTTATCTTGAAGTAGTTGCTGTCTTTGCTTAATTAAGTTTCTAGCTTCTTCTCCTATCTTATCTTTATTTTTCGGAATATGTCTAAAATTATTATTGATAATTGATTGATTGTAAGTTGTTTCTCGAAAAAATCGTATTCTTCTTGGATACTTTTGAAGTCCTTCATTTTGCAAAATTCTTTACTCAACTGATTTTGCATAGATTCTGGGATTAGTAGAGGAACTTTTATCTTGCCATTGTTAATGAGTTTTCGGGATAACTTTGGGCTGAAACGATTTCGGTTCGGATCAAACAGTGATCAGAGTTAAGGTTTATTATTTACGATATCTGTATTTAAAATTGTGTGGTTTCTGTTAGTTAATATAAAATCTCTTTCATTCTTCTGTTCGTTAGGTGATGTCCATGTCCACTTCTTATTATGTCGTTTTTTGAAGAAGGTATTCATTTTGTAGAACCTGAACCTGCAAAGATGTGAGGGGCACTGCGCCCGTCGCCCTGAGACATAAGTTGGCAAGTCCCATGTGGCTGTAATTACACCAGCACACTTACCCTTAATAACCACAGTAATGCTGACATTACTGCTTCGCGGCAATAATAAGTAAGGTGACAGTACTTCCCTGGACGAACTCTTTCACAAGCTCTACTGCTATTATGTAAGACAGAAAACTAACATAGCGCCCACATCACATGGGCCACACAAAAATATATGATTTGATTGTATACCTTTGTGTGTTTAAAAAATTACTGTTTATGTAGCTTAAACGGTTGCTGAGTGAACTTACTTCAGTCCAAATAAGAAAATAAGTAACTCCAGAGAAAAGAATGAGGCTCATTAATGTTGTCAGCCATGTCTGCTTGAATTGGTTCCTTACTGATGCCCAATCCATCTGAGAAAATATACAAATTGAATACATAATAGTCATGGATAGAGAGGTTATCACCCCACTGTAATATTCACTGTAGTATCACTTCACTTACACCTTCCCATTGAGCATTCTCAATAGGGTAAACAGAATATTAATAGGCATTACTTACATTCATCAATGTTTTTATACAATCCCTCCTATTCTTCTCACTACACACTCCTTTGTAAGAACATTCTCGATTTGATCTGAGGGTTTATTCCCACTTGATCCCCTAAAACCGATCCCCTTGGGGGATCCGTTTTATTTTATATCCCGTTGGATCCCTAGTGCGGGGATCAAGAATAAATATTAATATTTTATTCTGATCTGATACCCCAGTTACATACAAATTATTTTTGGTAGGTACTGTGGTACAGTACAACAAGAAGATGTATTTATTTGAGAGCTGTACTGTGTTTTATTTAGTTTATATTAGAAATAAACAACATTAATTGACTGCTGTAATAAAAACTGCTGTAAAATTAGATTTTAATTATTTAATTATAAAGAAATTGCCAAGTTTACGAGGGAGCATTTTTAGTTTTTAATTCTCTGAAATGAGTATAACACGTGACTTTAGCATTTCTGTTTTATTTACTATATAAACTTGGCAATTTCGACATACGATACTTTAAGTAGGAGGGGTTGATTTGATTTCAAAACTTCTTTTTCTCTTGACTGTACTTACCTTACAAATACAATGAGGGGATCCATTACGAGTTGCAAAATATAAAGGGGATCAGTTGAGATTTAATATTGTCGGTGGATCAGTTTAGGGGATCAGATGGGAATATATGTGTATTTTAGCATTTTTTGGCACCTAAAATAAAAGAGGCAATAATAATGTTTACTACATTAACAAAAGGAAAAACATATATTAGCTGTCTTTGACAGTTGTCTCCACAATCACATTTTAAATTATAAATGTTAATATAATTCTATTTACACATTACTACTATAGTCTAAATGTTTCTTCTCAGGGGACTCTCCTTCCAAATAAGTGATAGTAGGTACCTATTTATTAAATTTATCAACTCAGAGAAAATTTTGCTTAACTATGAAACATCTGTATTTAGAATTTGAAAGGCTAGTGTGACTAATAGCGCATTTACACTAGGTTGACAGGTTGCCTATGCTTACCCAATGAAGGCGGCAATCTACTTAATGTAAACAGCCTTATTTGATGACTGTACTAGGTGTAATCGCTGTCAGGGCCACTCGGTCGCCTTTGGTAAGTGACATTCAACAAAAAAGATTCCAATTTGTCGACGACCATATACCATCACGATACGCTGGGGGCCGAGCTATACCAACATACTTGACCAATTTGTTGTGTCTACTTGTGTGTAAAATTATATTTTTATAATGACGCAATTTCGACAAAGGCAGCAGCCGGCTCGGTGTAAGCAGTGAGTAAACTGCGGCACCTTCAGCAAAACGAAGTAGTCTGCCGAAAGCGGCAATCGACACTTGTTGTGTTTGTAATGTAAGTGCCCAAAATTATAACATCACAAACTTTTTCTAAAAATATAGCAGATTTTTAGACAACTGCAATCTGCCTAAGCCTTTGTTACAACAGCTCCTACTTGGTAGATTCTAAATAAATACATATATATACAGGTCTCATAAAATATTGAAGTGAAATCTATATAATTAATGATAATTATAATTATATTATAATAATTATTTGAAATAACCGTAAGACAAAATAATATTTAATTATCAATCAGTATCACCAACCTTTTACATCTGTGATCTATGAACATCAAATCCCATGAACAAGTTTCCAATTTTGTCACACATTAAACACCAAGGTGTTTCAAGAAACACTTGATTCATAAAAATAGTTATAATATGCGAAAATTTAAGAAAATCCGAAGCCAATCGGGGGAGAGTAGAGATATTTGAAGTGAGTGAAATTATTAATTTCGTTTATAAATCACCCATACTACCGACCGGTCCGAATTTAAACAACGAAATCGCAAAAAAAAGAACACACAATAATATCAATCGACTAATTCTACTAATAAGGACGTTAATTAACAAAACTATTTTGAAAAGATTGAGGTCATCTACTTTTGTTGTATCGAAAGCGGTAATGTATCATGAACGCATCTTTGACACAGAAACCTAATTCAATTCGGACTACGATACAATTATTCCTAAATATTCACGACGAAATTATCATTGTCAATGTCAAACCAAAAGATAGGAACTCTACTTAAAAAAAAAGATAGGAAGAAAAAAAAATTGAAGATTTGGCTTAATGTATTTATTCCGATGCCGTGAAACTAATATTAAAAAAAACGACGATAACATAACCTAAAGGATTGTTTATTTTTAATTTATTTGTTTTTTTTCTGTTTAATTACATTTAGTAGTATTTTCTCGTTTAGGTTTAGTAATTAAAAGTTAGCCGTTAGCTTTTACAGTGCTTATGTAGTAAATATGTGATAATAAAACTCTCATCCAAAAACTATCGCCTTGATGTTATTTTGTGTATGGTTATAATCGAAAATGTACCTAAATCTACATAATTATCTGAAGAAAGGATGCGTAACAGTGTTTTCTATAAGTAAGAAAATAAATCGAAACTACCATGGAATACCATTCGTGGATTTATACCAAAGAACAACAGGTGAGAACAATACCGTTCTGGCTTTTCGAGTTGCGGCGTTACAACACTGTTCCTCGCCAGTACAACAGTATTCTAAGAAACATGTAAAGTTCGTGTGTTATAAGAAAAATTTGCATATAATCGGTCTTAAAAAAATCTTCTTTTTACATATCAGGGGTGCCCCTTTCGGATTTTGCCAGTATCAAGTTTTTTGCTTAGAATTTTTTTCTGTTACCAAGTGACATGCAGTTAATAAAAAAAAAACACAAGTGCAGCTATTTTGCACGATTTAGCCTTCACAAGGTTCACGGAGTAGCAAATTAATTTACTTTCATTTTTATTAACATGGACTTACGCAAAGTAACACCTGAATCTATTAATTCTTTCACAAGGGGCTCTACTACTACTATTTTATGAGTTTCTGTAGATTATTTTATTCAATTAATACTTTGAGGGTTTTTGGTTTTGTGAGGGCACTTTGCTTGAAGACTAAAAAAGCTTACTTATCAAATTTTTAATTCTGATGTTGCAGGTCTGTTAGCTTAACTTTATTTAAAAAATCAAAAACTATGTTTAAATTGCTTAAACATAACAATAGGATGGTTGGAAGATCACAGTCGAAACCACAGACTTTTAACTGAATCTATTTTAATACATTCATCTGAATCACGATGTGTGTCGATGTTACTGCTGTAGGTGTCCTATGCTGTTATGTTGCACCTCCAATGGCATTAGATTCATCAAATTGTAGTTTAATACTAAAGGAACACTAAATTTATAATTTTTAATTGATTTTTTAAAAATTAGTATTATTACTGTAGTGGTTAATACCACTACAGTAATAATACTACTTGTAAATGTGTATTGAGAAACTTCTACACAAGTAACAATTCTCATACTTTTCTGTTTGCTCTAGGCTTTATACCATGCAACCCTGTTTTCATGTACCTACATATATTAGTCAGTTAAAAAGATATTTCTTGTATTATTAATATTTTTACTTAGTAACTATTAATTAATTGATTAAATTAATTAACTGTAAACTGTATACATCTTTATAAAACAATACGAAAATTCCACTAAAAACTCCAGGAAGTGTTTCTATATTGTGACATAGTGTTAATATAAAATGCTTCAATCAGCCTTAACAGTATAAGCTGTCGTTTACTTTTATGAAAATACAGAAATATTTCACTAAGTTTTTAACCTGAAATTAACTATTTAATTGCTAGTATTTTTTTTATTATTTTTTATTTATATACCACATAAAACTTAATACACATCCACAACAATGTTTCTAGTCGCGTTTTAAACCATTAAGGTTCATCATTATGCAAACTGTATCCTTACTATATACATACCTACTTAACTATATACATATATAATATTTAAGAAATTTGTATAAATAATCTATCATTATCCAAAAAGGTGTAAGTGGGAATAGGTAAATATATTTAACAATCAAATTTATCACACTTTTTTTGTTCTTTACAAATTGATCTAAAATTATTAGTGGTTGTTAATGATTTGTTGTTTTACTAAGACCTACTTGAGCAACATTAAGATACTTTTTTGATACTTTTTTCAGGAAAACAATTATCAGATCATTTGTTACAAAAACTAAAGGCAAAACATCCAGGCATAGAATTACTAAGCCATGATCGTCTGCAATGCACACTTCAGATCCTGCATAAGTTTGACATCACAACTGAGGATATTTGCAGTTACATTAACAATGTCCATGTATTTACCATGAACCCTATTACTATGGATAATTATGGAGAGATATTAAAGGAGTGTGGGTTTATTACAATTCACCCTGGACATATTATAAAGTAAGTGAAATAAAATGAAAACACTATGAAAGTTGAACATAACAGGAATTCTGCCTTGCATTACAATACAAAAATCCTTTATTGCAACAATGACTGTTTTTGGACATAAATAATACCTATGTTAAGCCAAAACATAAACAAACAATAAACAGTACACCAATCATGTCAAGAGGGCAAAAGGAAGGGCTCAGCTTGTGCTATCTGGGACCGTTGTTGTCGCAGGCAGCGCTGTTTTTCAGCCACCTCCTTGTCTCTAAGATCTTAGGCCTTCCTTGTCATAACTAATGCACTTGCGTTTTGGTAACTTCCGAGATATTGGCACATAAAAAAAATTATAATTACACAGATTTTGCTTAACTATAGAGCTGAAACTAAATAAGATATTTAAAAAAACGCTTATAGGGTGTTGCCAATCTCGTTTTGCTGATCCCAGATATCCTAATAACTCAATTTCGTCAAAAATTACCTTAGTTATGACATGGACGTAAGGTAGGTTTTTGCTATTGCCAGTGGCGGATTTGCTCTAAGACCTAGTAGGCCCGGGCCTAGGGCGGCTAAATTTTAGGGGTGGCCAATCGTGACAAAAAATTCACTGATTATAACAAGAAATAACTCAAATTTTGTACATACCTAAATATTCTAAAGACTCACGCACACCATGACGGGCCGCACTGCACCGCATCGTATAACAATAATATTTCTAAATCACTTTCTTACATTTTATGTATAAAATATACATCTTACATATCTATAATGTAATATATAATCACTACATCACTACGTCTGTCTGTCTGATCGCGATAAACCCAACTACTGATACTGGTACTGACTACATGGCCTGGGGCCTAGAGCGGCCATGACTGCAATCCGCCACTGGCTATTGCTGCATATTAGACATGAAATTATTTTTTTGGATGCTTGGTAACATAAAAAAATACTGGTGGCAATATTGAAGACCTGGGCAGTATAATAATAATTTCCCAGAAACACCTCCACATAATAACAGTACCGGCACGCTATGATGGCCGTTTTGACGTTTGTCCGTTCATCAAGTTGTATTACCTAATTCTTAATTACGTTGAAGGAGCTAATTGATGTACATTGTTGTCAAAAGTGACGTACAGTAAAATTATGAATGTATAATTTTATGACACAACTTAATAGGCCATGGGAGAGGCGATAGTTTAAAATAAATATCCGTTTTACCAACAGGTATCACACACTAGTGAGAAATCGGACTATAGCGAGGATAAAGAAAGAGGGACTTGTAAGAGAAGACTCTAATTTAGAAGAACTAATATTCAGCCATTTCAAAGATTGGCCATCTTGTCACAAAAGATTAGAGTATTTCCCAGATCTCACCACTTGTATATGTGAGTAACCCTTAAGAGGGAAATTATGAAACCATAAAATACATATTAACATCAAAATATATCGTCGCCTGAAAGGCAAAACGGGATAAGTGACACTATTAGTCATATTGAGTTATATATACTGTTGGAATCAGCTAATATTCCTGACGCCAACGGTATATATAACTCAATATGACCCAGAAGTGTCGCTTATCCCATTTTGCCTTTCAAACGTCCACATGAATAATACTTACGGCCTTGGATTACCACTGGGGTAGACAGAGGGTGTCGACATAACTTAGGATTAACAATGTTACATATTAAACTATGATCCCCACCCTAGGATGCGCCTGTCTCATGGAAACCAAAGCAAGTACAAATAATAGATATCAACGGGGCTTAAAGTAACAAAATTAAATTAAAACAGACGAAAATATAAAAAAAAATAACAAAAACAAATGCTTTAAATTATATATTACTTTAAAATAAACATTACGTAATCAGTTATTATTAATTTTAAGTAGCAACTTACGTACGTAATATAACAATTGGTGTTTACATATTTACATAAAATATAAATAAGTCTTATTTCGCTAAAATTTTGATTACGTTAGTTATGATAAGTAAGGCAGCCTAAGCTCAATTTATATTGCCACGAAACAGAATGGAAGGCAGTTTATGTAACGAAATTCTATATAGCATTATGAACTTCATATCAATATAGTAACGTACAAAATTTAATAGTTACGGTACGGTAGCTGCGGGAATCCCGAGACAGCTCGAGAATTCTCGGGAAGACGCGTGACCTGTTGTTTTGGTTCGTAAATGACACGGCAATGTAAATCGAGCTGTAGGCCATAGGCTCTATTCCGATGAAAGCGTGAGCACGTCCAAGACTGTGGCGAAGGGCTACAATACTTAGGCCATACTGAAAGTTTCTGGATTCTGATAAGTAAGACCAGATATTATGATTATAATAGACCTAGTGTTTTTCAAAGCATATGCCCTCGCTATTCACACACTTTCGCATTCGTTTGAACCATTGTGAAAAAGCAGTGGGACCATTCTTCCTTGGGGACCTCTTCAATGGCTTCGTGGAACGCATTCACCGCCGCTTCCGGGCTTGTAAATCGTAATCGTCTAAGTTTGTCTTTGATTTTTGGAAATAAAAAGAAGTCGCATGGTGCAAGGTCTGGGCTGTATGGCGGATGAGTCATCAGCTCCACATTTGAGGTCCTCGAAAGTTTCGGGGTTATACCGTAACGCAGCAATAGACTTACGCTCGTGAAAGCTAGCCACAGTACAAAAACCTACGAGGAGTGAGTAACACCAAAGAAAATGTACTTATAGTTTTCTTCATCAATAATCTTGTTTATGATGTGTTTGCATCTGAAATACATATATTCGTTTGTTCATACCTAATTTCATTCATTCCAATTCTGAAACTAAAATTTCAGTGACCATTCGCATGAGTGTCCTACAAAAATACCTGACATGGAGACTGTCAGTGACCCCCGAAGATTTCAACAAATACTGCCGAAATTATTTGCCTCTAAAACACAAACCAATGTCTGACATACAGGAATCATTGGACATAGCGTTGAATGATATAAAATTTGACGTAAGCAGTATAAAAAGAAACGGATTCATTATTTCTTCGGATCCAGTGAACACTAAACTTATTGTAGAAAATGTTCACACGGTCGCCGGTTATGATATCAGAGAAGCTATTAAGATTGAACCGGCTATTTTGAAGAACAATTACAATGCTCTATTGCAGATTAGAGATATTTTAGAGGTAAGTTTTTATTTTGCAATTAAAAAAAACTCAAGTCTCTAGATTATAATAATTATATTGAATCAATATAGGCACTACGGAACAAAGAAAGTAGTGACATTTTGGTGTCTGCGGTGTTTGTAGTACCATTGGTATTTCCGATTTCCATAAGACAAGTGCTTTACTTTGGGATTAGAGCAACGTATGTGATGTTGTCTAATATTTAATATATTAAAATAAAGATCCTGGGAACCACGACGTATCAGAGGAATAAAAATATCCCCGCTGATCTGATCTGAATGATCTGAATGATCCCCCCACTGAATAAAGCGAATACTTCGTTAAGGAAGGAAAGCTACGGGAAGGGAACCGTGGCATAAAGCACATGACCTTTCAAATATGGAGCAGTATTCTTTTTTACCAGCATTTCTGTTAAAGACACATTGTACGAAAATTTCCTTGTAAAATCGAATCGTCCTTTTTTCACAGGAATACAGAATACCGTTAGAAGCGCAAAGGAGATGTTTGAAAGTGTACTGCATGCGTCCCGACACTGTAAAAGATCGGCTCGACGAACTTAGGAATTTAAAGGAATATCAAATTTTAAAAACAAATCCTAGAGTAAGTTGACCCCTGACCTAGGTACACATAAATAATTTTACTATGCCGCGTAATTTAAAAAACCTGCTTCTGCTTTCTTTTGAAATGGTTATCTTTTTCTTCTTATCGCGATACCTCCAATGAATTTTTGTTTCTTTTTTTTCACAAAATTATTTGTGTTGTTTTTTTTCTAATTTTACAATTTTTTTGCACAAAATTCAGAGAGCATAAAATTAGTAAATAAATATGACGGTTTACAAAAATAATAGAAAATGACATTGACTTACAAATAAATGGACGACGGGTCTAATACAAAAACCACGAAAAAAATGTCCCAAGTCAACCTATTCGAAATTTAAATTGTAATTTCATCGCAGTATCGCGCTGTCAGTAGAACAAATGAAGACTAAAGCGGAGTGTCGCGCTCTGTATACGATTTTAGCGCCTTACAAGTGCGGACACTTTTTAGCGCGGACCCGACGTCCATATAATTGTAAGTCAATGGAAAATGACCAAAAAATCAAGTTGATGTAGTGTTCATTGGAGGTATAAATCGTATCGATGGCATACACTATAATGCTTGCCGTCCTGTCGTGTTGAAAGGATTTGCCAATCAAAGTTGCCTGTTGCCTGAAAGTTGCCCCGGTGTTTTTTTTAAATAATAATCTAGGGTGCGCCAGACGTATAGGAAAATAACGGTACGTCGCGCGGGTAGGCTCCTTTCGTGCACCCCAACTGGCTATTGCTTGCTATATTACACAATGCCTATTTTATAAGAACTAAAAACACTTTAAACAAAGCATTATTTTTATTTGGCTCAGGTTCTCTCAATGGTGGTTCATAAAAGGAAAATGATGAATAGATTGGAAAAAATGCAGGCAGCTAAGAAGCAATGCTATAGTCTTAATCATCTTGTTTCCTCCAGTAAAGTATTCAACAAGTTAGTAAACATTTTATATATATATATATATATTTTACGATACCAGGACGAACATGTCGTGCTCCTGGCGGTAAGCGATACGCCTGTCCATAACAGTTGCAGTACCACTCAGGGCTTTAAAACACATAGTTCTGAGGGACTGCCACTACGCCAGTCCTCCTGAGACGTAAGTTGATAAGTCCCTTGTGCCTGTAATTTCACCAGCACGCTCGCATTACTGCTACGAGGCAGAAATAGCCAAAATGGCAGTACTCCCCTGGACAAACTCTTTCACAAGGAGCTCTACTGCTACTAAATTAAAGAAGAATTAAATTATTTTGAAGCTGTTCTTGCAGAGTCGAACTGTTTATACTTAAAACTTTAAAATATAATCTAACTCACACAGCACTTAATTTCGCATTTGTCTACTCTTTTGAATTAGCTAATTGCTTCTCTAGATAAAAGTGTGCTTAATAAACATGCAAATATGTAATAAGTGTTTTGAAATCAAGATAAAACGATCGCAATTGAAATAATTGCCGACTAAAATTAGGGTTGTCACGAGATGGTTGGTCTATAACAGTTGCAATGCCACTCATAATGTCAGCATTACTGTGTTCCGGTTTTGAAGGGTAAGCTTGCTGGTGAAATTACATGTGCATGAGACTTGTCAAGTTATGTCTCAGAGTTACGGGCGCTGTGGCAGTGCCTTCCAAATGTTTGCGATTAAAGTTCTGAGTAGCAATGCAACATGAATGCAACTGTTATGGACAGGCGTGTAGCATACCATAAGGCGCACGACTTGTCCGTCCTGTCACTTGATATTATAAAAAAAAACAAAAGGAAATAACTGTTACGCATTTTTTGTATTCACTTTTCTATTCCTCATCTATATTATTTACAGTCAATTCGGGTAACTTTGAACATTTTTTGCGTTTTTCTAATAATTTCGCATTTAATTATGTTTCTTAACAATTACTTTATTAACTGAATAGTGTTCTTTTAAGCCCTTTTTTCGTTCTTATAGAAGGAATTTAGTAATTATTCAACAAAACTGTTCTAGATTTGCTCCAAAAGTCACATTCAAAGTTGCCTTGAATTTTGGGTAACTTTGAATAAGATTAGCCTTCGATATGGAAACCGTATATTTTCTAGATATTTTACATTTCTTAGATGTGAATCTGCCCAAATATTCCTGACAGTGCGTTCAAAAACGACATTTGACTTGGTATTGCCGTAATAAAACGTGACGAACTAATTTAGTTGAAATGAAAAACTTGTTTTTTTTTAGATTTTTTAATTAATGCGAATAAAAATGAAAATTTTCTGTTTAATAATAAATTCTACGCTTATTTAGCTATCAAACGAGATCAAAATGAATCACCTATAACAATTATTTTAGGCAAAGTAAATACATAACAAAAATCTATTCACTCCACTCCTTGAATAAAATGTCGTCATCAATATAAATACGGCCGCCTTTTCTAGGTAGCTGTTGCTCTTTTATAATATTCACAATATCGGCTTTATTAACTTGACATGTCTCAACGTTAGAGGGCCAAGTCCAACCTCCTAAAAAGCATTTTTGGAGCACTGAGACAGTAATTTCCAAAGGAGTAACTTTTAGAACTCTCCCTGGAAACAGACTACCCTCTTCTTTAAAAACACAGTCAAACACATTCAAAGTTACCCAAATTTCTCTGTTTGGTAACATCGTCAAAATCTAATTCGTTTTACGCGTAAATACAAAACCAAATTAAATTATTCTTTAAAAAAAGCGATATATAAACCTCTACTTAAGTGTGGAAACCAAAACTTACCAGTCAATATTCAGATTTATATATTTAATTCCGATTCTAAAACTGAGCAACAAATCACACCAAACTACTTTCGCTTTTATAACCGCGAAAGTTTAAAAAAATACAATTTAACATTACTTTTTTCTTTCATAACTGTCGTTTAACAATTTTGTTCCGATTTACACAGCTTCAATACTAAAAATAAAAGATTGCTATACATAAAATAAATTTTTAAATCTTTTACGCAACTACGTTCAAAGTTACACCACGATTCAAAGTTACTCGAATTGACTGTAATAATAATTATTATAATTTACGAATGTTGGGTGAACCTCTCCCTTCTCATAACTAACGTAATCGACATTTTAGCGAAATTGATGTATTAACAAATCTGGGATCAGCGAAACGAGATCTACAACCCCCTGTAAGCGACTTTTTTAAATATCTTTAAAATATGTAAATTTTTTGATATGTTTTATGTGATAATTAAACCACAAGGCCTACCGCTTGACTGAGTCGGTTCCGAGCATCGAGTATATAACCAAAAATAGAGACGAAATATCATTTAATTTGTTTGAATACCTTTCCACCAAATCATTACAGTGACAACTGCGCTCCGATTGGCCAGCCCGAATTAGAAACAATAGACGGGTGTCGTCAATTGTTTCACTTCAAGTGACCAGTTTAACTTGAACTTTGCTATAATGGGCGAAAATTGAAAAATTACATATTTAATTACCGATGAAATGTTATTCCGTTTGGTTTGTAATTAGATGTTTTGCTTTTTTTCCACACCACCGAATGGAACAGCCTTCCATGGTTAGAGATATTATCTTTATTACAATAAATACAGAAAATTTTGGAATAATACGAAGACGTACACACAGGTCAGTTGTTGGTGCTGTACTATTTCACCTTTCTAACTTGTGATTTCAGTGCAAACGAGAGTTGATATTTAAAAGTGATATAAGGCCCATTTGCCTAACGAGTTGCCAGGGATGAATGGCCCCTATTTCGTCTCTATTTCTGGGTTATATACTCGATGGTTCCGAGGTAGCTGCGCGGTGTGGGAGGAGTGACAGTTTACGTAACAGTTATGTCACACTGCACACGGCATAATTTCAACAAGATTTTTCTGACGATTTTCAATAACAAGTTTATTGAAAAAAGTGCCAATTGGCTTGTCTACTCAGTACAATGATCAATGATTTTTTTATTATCATGTCATCTTTTTTCGATCAACTTGACCCAACATTCGTAAATTATAATAATTATTATTAAATATCAGAAGGGCTAGTATGATAGGGCGCGACTTGCGCGAGAGTGACATAGAAGGCTAGATATTATTATATACTATTATCTATGGGAATATAGCAGTTTGTCGCGCTTTATGTCGCTGCCGCGCAAGTCGCGCCCTGTCATGCTTGCCCTACAGCCTCCGTAGCATGGCTACGCATGGTAGTCGCGACGCGCGCGATAAAATTGAAATAAGCGCGCGCTATTGGCTATCTAAATTAGATCTGATTGATTTTCAATTTTATAATATTTCAATTTTATCGCGCGTGTCGCGACTATCATGCGTAGCCCTGCTATGCTACCATGCGTGCGACCTCAAGTGAACAGAAAAAAAAATCATAACAGTTATTTCCTGTGCAGAACGAAAATTCGACCCAACCCTAGTAATTACACGTCCACTAAAATATTATCATTACATTGAATGCAGCATGCGACTCCATTGACGCGTAGATGTCGAAATCAATTTGTATTCCGAATGGAGTCGTGTTACGTGATTCAACATGTTATTTTGTTTCAGTTACATAAGTAATTTCGGCAACAAAGTATGCGGCAGGGACCTTGCCATATTAATTACATCGTCTCTTGTGGTAAACAAGAATCTAGCCGAACATGAGCTCGTGAAACAAGTGCACGCGCACTTAAAAAGGCACAAATTTTGGCTGCACTGCGCGTTAAATGTCATTGATGAAAATATACAGTATCTCAAGAACAGTTTTAATGATGATGTTATATTGGACAATTGCTTACTCCTTTTGTATCCTCTGTAAGTATTTTTTATCGTTATTATGGACTTTATTGCCTGTATAAAATGTAGACAAGGTACTTTATTTATCGCACATGAAACCAAATACTGTCGTAACTCAAAATTGTAGAATTGACAACACAATTTGATAATTCGAAAAAAAAACTGAATGGCGAATAATGTGATTATTTTACCTAGTTATCTCTATATATTATATAAATGAAGCTATATTACCTGAACACGAGCAAGACAACTTTTGTAATTAATATTATTGGCAATTCTCAAATATACACACATCGAAACTGTCTAAGGATCGAGCATTTTAATTTTTTTTACATTAGTAATATTTTTGGTCAATTAGGTACATAATTTAATAACTAATTAAATAATGGAATAAATTTACATATAGGCAGTTTTATTTAATTTTAGCAGCGTAATCAAATATTAAAAAAGCCTTGATCCCTAAACATTTTTGATGTGTGTATATTTATTTCTGCTGCATAATATATTGCTTTGTTTGAATTAACTGGTAGTCGACGAAAATTATTGTACGCGGAGATAAAGTGTATAATTATTTTGGTCCACTGGTATAGGCATCTGTTTTGGCCTTTACTCGTCTTGAACGTGACTCTTCTCTCTAATAGGTTACCAGGGTAAGACTGTTTCCATGCAGCCGAGCTTTACCGATCTTTTCTTATCTTTAATGAAATATTCCGAATGTAAGTCGAAGTTCTTTGTAATTTAAATGATTACACCCTGTACACAATGAAATCATACGATGTGACCAATGCCCTGACATCTGAATGCGCGTACATTGTACCTTCAATTAAGACTTCCGCTGTGTTACGAGTGTCGCCCTTGCTTGCGCCCGCGCAGTCGCCTCGTCGCTTGGCATGACGTTGATATCATTTCAGTACTAAGCTCTGATGTGATTGTTATTATGATACAGTGAACTTTTTATGACGATGACACACTTGATAAAATCCTTGATGAAAACACTTAATAAAATCCAAACAGACAAATCAACGCGGCAAAAAATATGTTGGTTCCGACAAAACGGATTGAAACCACCCAACATTAAATATAAATGTGCTGTGCAAATAACTGTACCCTGGTAGGTTCCGTCCGAACACTATTAATTGAAGAAAAATAAATTAGGTTTAAATAATTATGGTAATTTATAGAAAAAGAAATTATACGACTGTTAATTGTTTTTTATTTCATGACCTTGATTCAAATCCTTCAGTTGAAATGTGGAGATAATAAACATAGGAGTACAAAAGGTAATATTATAGGAGTTGTAAAGCAAAATGGATTTTTTTTTTCTATAGCACTTGCGATTAATTCAAATACTGGAAAGCTGAAATAACGATAACTACAATTATTATTTTTAAATTTGTATTGAACTGTTATTCAATTTTTTTTTTTGTGAAATTACTACACGAGTTTGTTACAATTATTAATACAAAGATCGAACACTTAGAAAAAAATCCTTCGACCCGGCCGGATTCAAACCGACGTCTACAAGCAAACCGTGCCCGAAGCTATGCCAACGTAAGCCACGAAACGAACCAGCGGACCTCACAAATTTTTCTATGTGCTTGTAGTTGGATCTTTCAACGAGTTTTTAGCCGTAGCGCCATCTATGACAAATCTATTTAAGTATTTCGTCATCCAGTTAGGTAACTTTACAGCTACCAGCCCTGGCTTGAGATGTCGCTGTTAACTGTATTTTTGAATTTGTATTGAATTGATATTCAATTATAACAAACCGGTGCAGTAATTTCACAAAAAATAATTGAATATCAATTGAATACAAATTTTAAAAAACCATTAAGTTGTTTCAAAATATGACTCTAATGCTAATGAAAAGATGAAATTTCAGCAATACGGGTATGGTTTTCAGTTTCCACCTTTACCTTCTAGGACCCAGCAAACTACAAGTGGAAAAACGCTAAACGAGCAATGTACATTAAAATGTATTAAATATAATTACTTGCTTTAGGCCCATGCAAATATGCCCAAACGAATAACGTATTTTTCTAGATACCCTGTGGTCGTATAGAATATACGGTCACATACATATGCATATGTTAACTAAATTTGGAAGCGATATTTTCGTTATAATGCACTCTGTGTGTTTACGTGATCATAGGAATGATTTTGTCTGGGTCAGAATAATTTCACATGTCGATGCCTTACTTTTTCAAACTCGTATCTTTTAAAGAGGGATTATTCAGGAGATGGCAAAACTTTCTATTTATATTAAATATCTTATCAAGGGTGTTAATTTTGATGCATTACTTTAAGAATAGGTAAAAGCCGGTGTGTGAATATGAAGGAAATGCGATGTGAAATCAGCCTGCAAAATTAGCAGATTACAAAAGAGTTTGAGAAAGTTATATATATTCTACTAACATAAATTTATAAACACTTTTCCTATTATTAATATAACTAACAAATTGTGGATTTTTTTTTATTTATTTTTTTAAAAAGGCATTAGGTGCAGTAGGTTTTAGGTGTCACTTCACTATTTTCAAAAGTATCATTTCTTTTATTTCAGCGCGGAAGTAGAGCAATATATCAACATATTCCAGCAAAAGCGAGCTGGCAGAGAAACAGGAAATAGCGATACCAAACTAGACTCCAATTATAACAACCTGGTACTGGCACAACTCAGTGATTCACAAATCTTAAGTTTAGTTCTGTATGAAATTGAGAAGAAGTACCACTTCAGTGGAGACGGTATATGGGCGCGACAAGATGGCGTCAGAGTCGACTCTATAAATGTCTGATGTCGTCACTAAATCAATTTAAGGAATCCTAGCGACTTCGTATAAACTGAAGAAGAACTTGTAGTAAATATGGCAGATAATGAATAATCAAAAATAATTAATAAAATTTAGGCTATAAGCCATTGACCTACCAACAAATGGATGTCGGGTCTAATACAAAAACCACGAAAAAAATGTCCGAAGTTAATCTATACAAACGAAATATAAAAAACTAAAACATTTAATTTAAATTGTAACGTCATTGCAGTACTGCCTAATTTTGCTTGCAACAATTTAAGGGCCCAAAAACACCATATTCAACTTCTACTGGAAATTTAACAAAATGCACCATATTTAGCTTCGACTGAAAATTACTTGAACACAAGAGTAATAATGCCTTTATCGTAAATATTAATTAATTTTCATATATAATATTATGTCGAATTTTGTACAAATTCACTCAAAGAAATAATAAAGAGTTGGGCAGATACATACATACACATATTATTACAAATGTGAAAATAAGCTTGTACTATAAGAAATGTACCGATATTCCAACTAAACGTAAACTCAAATAGCCGTAATTCCGAAAACCGATTTATAATAAACCGTTACGCTTTCGAGTAATTTTGATGCTTTTCATAAAGACAAAATTAGCTTTTGTTTTGTAATCTTCCTAAAAAATACATTTGACAATGTGAAAATTCGAGCTAACGTTATTTTGGGCAAATGTATTTTCTGACTTCGAATAGGTAATCTCAAGCCGTAAAACGAGTACAATATTTTGTTACATATTGCTAAAGTTTAATTAAAAATCATTTTAAAAATAAGATTAAAATCAAAGCGACTCTATAGTTTCTTTGTTCTAAATATTTCAATCGCTTGTGGTTCGAACAATTGAAAATAACCAAGGGGTCTATATATAAGCTTCTTGAAATTTACACAATGGATCTCTTTCCATCTTTTGCGCATGCAATGTGTAGAAAAAGGACAGTTAGCTATTTGATTATTTTGTGTGCTTTTGTAATTTATATTTACGATTCATTTATATACATATAAATTAAATACTATAAAACTATACAAAATAACATTTTTAAATGAGAACTATGATAACACAATATATTTGTTTAGTGAAAATATGACACAAAACCCTGTTTTTACACTTTACTGCAGTAATTGTTACAAGTTATTATTATAAGGTACTGCATTATTGACAACCGCGCTGACAGTCGAACAAACGAAGACTGTTGCGCGATTGACGCTCTGTAAGCGATTTTAACGCCCTATAGATGCGGACACTTTTAAGCGCGAACCCGATGTCCATTTATTGGTAGGTCAATGCTACCAGCGTAATTTTTTTGTTCTACAATATTACTTTAAATGATATTACATTATATTTTAATACTTATATATATATATATACACTTATATATATATATATATATACTTATATATATATATGTTATATATATATATATAAGTATTAATACTTATATATATACTTCAAAATAGCCTCAATTTGTGTTATAATTATTAATAACAAAGATCGAACACATCATAATCTAATAATTCACATTAAAACATCATAATCATCAAAAATTAATAGATTATTGTTGTTTTATATGGCAAAACTGATATTATGCCACAGGACTATTGTTCGCCTCAGAGAATCGACAAAATTATTCACGCGGCTAAAGAGCTGTATGTACAATCGGTGCCCTCACTTAGGTATCCACTATTTGTATGATACTTAGTACATATAGTGGATACCTAAGTGATGGCACCGACCCTACATGGAAAAATAGCGAAATTGCCGTTCTGCCTTTCGCTTCGACCATCCGCATCGATTAGGCGTCTATAAGTGTGGAGACTCCTTTATACAGTAAACCGACGGGCAATATAAATAACCACTACTTAAAATGTTTTATTGTGATTGTATATAACGTTTGTATCGGTTGTAGTTCTAAAAATAAACGATATTGATTTGAACTAGAGATGCCACGAATGTACACCTACTATGACTATTCAGCCGAATATCGAATATCAAATAATGAAAAAAGCACATATTATTCAAAATGTGTCGTATGTATTTTAATCACAAAATTATTGCTTTAATACTTAAAATCAATCAGTGGCTGTTTGTGAAGAATGAAAACAATTGTTTCAGCATTGATTGGTAACAAACTATAAATAATTCCTGCTTCTGAAAATAGCCTCTCACTGTAAACACTCGTGGCAGGAGACAATACATAAATCTAAGCAAATTTTGACAGGCTGCATTGCGTTTGCTGACCACCACTTGTAAGGATCTGCCGTCCGATCAAGGCGAACAGTTTTCAAATAAAAATCAATCTCATTTGTAATAGAACTTTTCTCCACATCCTCATCAATTTACATATTATCTGTAGCGACTTCTTCAAAACAGGTCCAGAAACTTGTCATGTATTGATTCTATCGTTTTATCATTTTTCAACAAAGACTCCCCACCCCCGTTACCTCCGCACGCAGCACAATGAGACAGGTCGTAAAGGTCGCGCGTGAAATGCACAGATCTTACGCCGAACATTCGGCAGTTGAATATTCGGCGCTGCAGCCGAGAGCGTGGCCGAATATTCGGTATTCGGCCAAATCACTATTCGTGGCGTCTCTAATTTGAACCCTGGCAATATAGCGGAATTTAAAACATATTCATGTACTGGTAATATCGCACCTTCAATAATAAAGTGGCACAATGCGAAAAGTCGTTTTTGAGAAAATTAGTCTATTTTAGACTAAAATAAAAAGTACGTGTTGCCAGCCATACTTATATTATTTGTTGATGCCAAATATGACTTACTTACTCATAATTTATTTATTTGTGAAAACACAGGTTCAATTGAAGTTGGCATGTAACAAAATTACGTAATATGATTGGTTTTTAAATAGGATAAGGTTTTTCTCAGATCGTCCACTGGAAGTCGTCTTCCCTTTTCAGAGGTTTAGTCAAGACTGCTCTCATCGTCTTATGTCCAAAAGAAAATCGATCTAATTTTGAATCTCTGTCAAACCGTTCCACTCTACGAGTACGCTCAGAACGAGTCCACTCGAATGACTACTAGGACGCTACTCGTAACGTGTAAACGCGTGATCCATTCGACACGTTGCGAGTGGCGTCCAAGTAGTCATCCGAGTGAACTCGGTCCGAGCGCACTCGTATAGTAAAAACCCGGTTTCAGTGTAGTCAGTCTGCCTTTATTTTTTAACCAACTTCAAAAAAAGGAGGATGTTCCCAATTCGACTCTATCTTCTTTTTTGTATGTATGTTACTCGATAACTCCGGATAATTTGTGAACCGATTTTGAATATTCTTGTTTGATGGAAAAAGCCCCATTTACATTTGAAGAAAATATTCCACCTCTATGAGTGGCAAACTAGACGAAGAATGACTTTTGAGGTCGGTTTTTTAGTACTCTGATCTGTTTTTTAATAAAATAAAAAAGCTTTTTATTCATAGCCATAACATAGTTAACAAACTTACATCATAGTGCTTAATTTAACAGTAACTAATTGTTGACCAGTCAGACAACATCCAGACCCCATAAAAAGATTCAACCTGTGCTAGCGGATAGTACTGTCGTCCCCTCAACGGGTCAGTATCAACCATATTTGACACAATATGGCTTACTCTGACATCCCAAAATACAGTACAACTGTTCATTTGGACCCAGAAAAGAAAGGGTAGAGTTTCAAAAACAATTAGTGCGTTTAAAAGATACTTAATACTATGTTAGTTTAGTAATGTAAATTTAGGAGTATAGTGTGATAATGAAATTGGCGAGTGGGTGTTGTAGCCAGTCAGGCCGCTGGCCATCTACGGAGATTGGATGCGACAATTTTTATGCATTAAGGTAATTCTCAATTTTTGATACGAAGTAGGTCATAACGTCTTGGATTTAGAGTTCGCGTGAATGAGTTCATATGCATTTGGGCGTTAACGACAGTGTATACGACTCGTTTAGTTTCCCAAATATGCGACTTGTCTTATTAGGTCACTTTATTATTGAGGGGGGGATTTGATCTTTGGTATGAAAAGGTAAACACAGGATCGAATTATATTTTATTAGCCTTTCAGAACTTTTGTATTTTGATACTAAAGTTTGTGGTCTAGATGTAGTTTTATCGTTAAGATTTAAAATTGTAAATTATTAAGAATTTAAAGAATTATTCAAAGGATCTAAATAAATACACAATTAAGCACAAATGTAATATTATTGATAAATCCACATTTGAAATTATAAAATAATTCACCTTAATAATAATAAAAAATCTCTTAGTCGAAATTATAAGTATTGCTTTTAAAAAACTTAACGTACGTACGAAAAATTTCCTTTAACGAATCTAAGCAAGAGTAAATTAAAATTATACATTCTTTAAATAAAAAAATGCAAGGTCTTCACATAAAGAAGGCCCGTAATGCAATTACGATATATTATATAAAATCAAGGGCATTTGAAACTTATCATAGATATAAAATTATCATAGAATTGAATTTATATCTTAAATTTCAAGCGTCACGTGCTCTTGGTCCTATACATGCTCAAGTCTAAAACTAAGTTAGATATACAAATAAGCTTTGAAATCGGATTATTGACTTATGTGAAGTGACGAATGAAAATAGAGTCAACATGGAAGGTACCATTGGAAGAGGACGACCAGGAAGAACTTTTTCAAATCAATTCGAGAATGTTCTTAAAACTGGAGAGCATAGTGAGTACAATAGTATGAAAAGGAGAGGTTGTATAAAAAAGATTGATGAATGTAAATGAAGCAAAAAAAGTTTGTTTTCTAAGAAATCATTCGTGAGAAGTGGTGTTATAAAGGCGTAAATATATATAGGTATGTATTAACTTACAAAAGATACTAACAATGAACACTACGCCAATTTTGGTGATTTTCTGTTATTTTTGTAACCAACAATATTCATTAGCTAATATTACGCTCCCCGAATTTTGTGGAAAAAAATAAAGAAACAAAAAACAAAATTAAGAAGAAAACAAAAAACGAATTTTGTGAAACAGATCCAAAAATTAAGTTGACGTTGTGCTCATTGGAGGTATCGAAAAGTTTTTCAATTAAGACTAACAAAATTAATTCCTATAAAGTTACAATAGGTAAGGGCACCAATAGGATGCTTTTTATAATTTTTTGAGTAACCTATCAGTAGTCCGAAATGACATTTTGTTCGAATTTTCATAACCTCGAAAGTAATTTTGAGAGGAAAATGTTTTTTCTTTTAAACCTAACTTAACCTCACCTAGCCGAGCCTAATCGTGACTTTGCGATGAACATTCAACATATCCTGGAAGTACAACGCTTTCGTTATAATTCGGTTTTCGGTGTAATGAAAATTCGAACAAACGTTACTTCGGAAAAAAAATTCGAGTTTGTGATAGGTTACCGTTAAGCACGCTTAGCATGGTTTCTCCGGTGTACTGGTTTTATAACGATGATATTTTGAAAACGTAAATGTACTCGTATGGGTAATGTTATTTTACATTTAATGTAGAATCATGGAGAAATATTCATATACAAAAAATAAATTTTTGCGAATTTTTTTTTCAGAAAAATTTTTTTTCAAATTGTCTTGTTTTTTTCTGAAAAATAATTTGAAACTTTCAAACCTTTCGGACAATTATTACGTCACACTATTTACACTATTCACGGCTCACTAAAATGAGTATTATTTTAATAACAAATCTTTGGTTATTAGCTTTGGTTCTTTACTTACAAAACTATTTGATGATATAAATCGCACGTAGAAACCAATACTGTCACAAACCGAAAAAGTCAAGTTTCGGGAAAACAACTTTAATTTTTCTGAAAATAAATATTTCTTTACAAGACGAGATTTTCGTTTAGGTACAGTATTAATTTAGACGTGTAATGTAAGTAGAAAATCTACACAATATTATTATACGGTGTAAGATTCTCCTTCACACAAAGTCATGCAAATATATATAAATAAACACTGAGTCAACATACGTTAGGCCACCCATAAAGGCAAAATTCTGCTTTAAAATTGTACCTTAGGTCATGTATATTGCGTTCATAAATACCATCAGACCTCCGGGATAGGCAGAGACCATGAACCTCCACTTGCTTGCTACGCTCCTGACAAAAATAGAGTTGGCCCTTCACTAATGTCAGTCTCTTCATACATAGTAGTTTATTTTGGGTACTTTTCCTGGAAGAATAGCCCCAACCTGATCAAGATATGTATGTCGAGCTCTACCTCTCCCCACATTTCAATCCAGATTCGCTCAATAAATTTCTGCCATCTGCCATGTTATTAGTTAATAACATCCATCTCATCTACATGATCAAACTACTGAAGCATTCCCTTTTTTATCCGATAACTACATCATCATTCACACCATCACAACACTGTTAGGCATTCTGTCCTTAAACGCAACACTGCAGCTACTTTAAGCTCTCACTTATAAACATTCGCCATACTTTCATGCTTTACAGCATACAAATGTGCAGCTTAGAAAAGTGTTTTTTTAACGCACACATTCAACATAGCCCCACACTAGGGAAAGCCTGTGTCGCGGGTGCCATGGGCACACACATAGACAACTACAAATTACACCCAAACTCACGAGAGAAATAAATTATGCCATGCAAATATTTCTCCCGGCCCGGGAATAGAACCTGGGACTTCTGCATTTGCAGTCGCGCCACTGCTTTTATACAATATTTAGAAACACAGTTGCAGCGCCAGTGTCGTGACACACACGCGCTACATTAGTAGTCACAATTAAATGTGGAAGTGAAATAAAAATTATTGATGCGCTACAGACGCGTGACTGCCGCGCCACTGCATCGCTTCTACAAGCGTCTAATTTGAAGGCGCCCTAAGAGTGTTTACACACTACGTTCGATTCGTATCAGGGGGTCTACTCTCGATCTCCGTCCGACATCCGTCCGAAACAATTACTGCCAAATAAGCAATACTTGACCAAATGAAAAGACGCGTGATGCGAATGAAGCTTCATATTTGATACTTGTCTTTTGATTTTGTCGAATATTACTTATTTGACAGTAATTGTTTCGGACGGATGTCAGACGGAGATCGAGAGTTGACCCCCAGTTCCGAATCCGAGAAATGACGGTCCGAAATGTCACAGGGATCATTTTATCTCTAGGTGTACAAGCGATATTCGTATTTCCTCGGATTCGAAACGGACTTAGTGCACAAGCGACATTCGAAGTGGATCCGAGTTTTCTACATTTGTATAGTCTCGGATTCGTGCGCAAACGTGCTTAGTGTAGTTTGATCAGTGGCTGAGTACGCTCGAGCTTTATAAACGCTGAACAAACCATTTTAGGTACAATTTTCAATAAATAAAGATATTTTGTGTATATGTATTTGTAGCCCACCGTACACGCGATAATTATAGATATTTATTATATATCGAGTTCTTAGGTTTTCGCGATTGTTACACATAGGAAATGAAACTATTTTTCCGGATTTAAATCGCGTATTTTTGTTTTTTCAAACAAACCGATCTTTCGGGCCCTTTACAGGTCCTATGGTCAAGGTTAACTCCACAGTCAAACAAATATACGCGATTTAAATCCGGAAAAATAGTTTCATTTCCTATATTTTTTGTATATTTAAAAATAATATTTAGTCATTTTTATACTATACAGACACCGGCAACATTAACTTGTTACGTTTTCCATAGTTACAGCTTACATTATATAAAAGATTGTCGTACGTTGCTCTAATATTTATATAACTATGTTCCTTGGTACAACATGCTTATAATTTACTTTATATATAAAAAATATCATATATTTTGATATCCCAGTAACAGTAATTCGTTGTTTGGCACAAGCATTCACGACGTTTTGTTAATATTACTGCTAAACTAAATTGTATAAAACTATGTTATGTATTTACCTTCTCTTTTATATTTACTTAACGTAAAATTATTTGGTCTTTGAATATTTATAATATTTATAATATTTAAAGAAGTACGAATGAGAACTTTAATTTACATGCGAATAATCGTAACATGTTTCCAATATTTGAGTTAAAATTGTGTGAAGGATTTAAACAAAATTTATACCTCATTAAGTGTGTATTCAAAATATTTCATTTCTTTATACGTCTTTATTTCATCTGAAAATATGAAAGAATTACCAATTATGTTTGGAGTTATTATTGATACAAATAACTGGACTCGAACCAACAAACCAAGGCTACCGCTCTCCCAACAGAGCTATCTACGGCTACGGTACGAACTAGCAGACGTTACGTATTTCTCTATACGCTTGTTTCTGTCTTTCTGCATCTTTGTTTTTTGTTTTAATTGACTTTGCCGTTTTTTTTTGGTTCGACTCCCGCCGGATCGAAGTCATTTTTCTTGTAATAATAAATTATATGTTTATATTTTCCTTTAAAATTTTGGTCGCACTGTGATCTTCTTCTCCGTCGTTTATGTGTTGATGAAAAAATATTTACTGTAAACCGTAATTGCTATATTATTTACTAATCATACTTTAAATATGCTATATTATTTATAAAATAGGTCCACCTACAATAGGCTCCGTAATAAGGCACAAGGAATGCACTGGAAGTGAAGATCTTATCCAAATTAATTACATAATGTAAGTATACGTACTTCGTAATGTTAATAAAATGCATTACAGATCAAATTTTATATAAATACGTAGCTAATAAGTTCGTTCTATCATCTTATTATTTACATTTTATTGCAATGTTCACTAAACATGACCACGTCTTCATCGCCTTCATAATCCAAAAGTATTTATAGAAAAATTAAATGTTTAAGGAGGAAACACAGAATAATACTCCTTTTCGAAATTATTCATAGTTAGGATAGTTTTGAAAAGGAGTATTTCAGTTCAAAAAAGGGGGCAGCGTGGTATATGGTTGACCTGGACTTGGTTCCATTTTGACGGCAACTGGCTGGGCGAGATCCCCGTGACGCTCCATTTCGTAATGTTTGTCGTACTCTTCTGTAGGCCCTGTGTACCGAGGGGGTTCTTCTTGCAGCGCGCACGGAGGATATTTATCTTCATGCTCATGTGCCCTATATTCCAACTTATCATCATGTCCGTGGCCATCCATTTGCGGCGAATGCGCAGCCATCATGGGATAATCTCTCACCCCCAAGGGTGGCGGGCTTCCTTCTCCATATTCGTACGAATGTCTTGGCGCAAACATTTGCCCATCATGGCCATTTAATACGGTTGTGTAAGAATATGCTGGTTGAGCGTTAAAAGCAGGATAACTACTGCTACTGGAAGACAGTAAGTGATGTGAGGAAAGTTCATAGGAATGTTGGTAGGACCACGAATCTGCAGGTGCCGGTATACCGCCGTTCTGTGGGAAACCTGGCAAGTTACCTCCTATTCCGGTGAATCCACCTCCAAGAGTCGTTGAACTGGGCGAGCTGGAACCAATATATCCTGTTTTCCGTGGAGGTTCACGTTTGCGCCATTTTGCTCTTCTATTTTGGAACCATACCTAGAAGTAACGGATGGGGTTTGATATATTTGGTACGAAACAAAACAACTACCTAAAGAATTGCCATGACGCATAGTTTTAATTAAGCTATTTGTTTAATAATTTGTAGTAATTTCTAAAGATTATTTCATGGATTATCATAATATCTACACATTATGCAATCCAAATTTTTTACCTGTACTCGTGATTCGGACAAGTTGAGTTTGAGAGCCAGCTCTTCTCGGGCGAAAACGTCAGGGTACGGTGCCCTCTCGAACGCTCTCTCCAATTCCTCCAACTGATAAGCTGTGAATGTGGTCCTGAAAGCAAATAAAAACTATTACAAACAAGAAAAAAAATTACATAGACGTTATACACGAAGACGGATTTATAACATATACACTTTCTAATTCTATTTCTAAACATGGCATCACTCTACATTTGCTTCTACTAACTGTTAGTAATAAATAGACAAGGAAATTGTTCTTGTTTTTCCGTTTCACTTATTGACTTCAATATTTTTGACTAAAAACACGAGCATTCATTCAACATACTCAATTACATATTCACAAATAAATTGTTGCTATCACTATGCGCCAGCGCATCTACCATCTGACGCGTGCAATATGGCTGCGGGCGCGCGTGGTGCGCAGAAATTGATTGAGCGTGAAACGAAATTCACCCCCGACGCGCGACTCTAATTGGCTGCCAATTGACTCCGGCCAGTGGCGCTATTTTATTAATTGTTTTACCACCTATTCATTGTTTGCTATTAGCATTTTATTGTTTTAGCAGTTACTTTAGTTATTTAGAAGGAACATTTTTTCATTATTTTTAAGAAGTTTTAACTTTTTTAACCTCCTATTTTCATTTTCATACTTAAACCACTAACATAATTTCAAAACGAAAATTTATTTAATGACGCAATGTGGAAAATTAAATCCTGAACTATGTGAATAACTTTTTTTTCATCACAACATAAGGTACCTACGTCCGTTCAGGCTAAAAGCTACGTGAATTATATTATCAGTGATGGCGATATTCCTTTTCTTTTTCTTATGTAGTTATACACCAAACACCACCTAAGTTATTTCAAATACAAACAAAGATTATCGTCCATTTAACGCCTTAGCGTCTGATCAACAAAACCTCGACCTAAAATGGAGCAAACCGGACTGAAAGTAATATAACATTTTTTTATGATGATACCAATTAAGTGATGAGACGAACAAGTCATGCTCCCGGTGGTAAGCGATACGCCTGTCCATAACAGTTGCAGTACCACTCAGGGCTTTAAAACACATAGTTCTGAGGGACTGCCACTACGCCAGTCCTCCTGAGACGTAAGTTGATAAGTCCCATGCGCCTGTAATTTCACCAGCACGCTCGCGTTACTGCTACGAGGCAGAAATAGGCAAAATGGCAGTACTCCCCTGGACAAACTCTTTCTCAAGGAGCTCTACTGCTACTAAATTAAAGAAGAATTAAATTATTTTGAAGCTGTTCCTGCAGAGTCGAACTGTTTATACTTAAAATTTTAAAATATAATCTAACTCACTTAATACAGCACTTAATTTCGCATTTGTCTACTCTTTTGAATTAGCTAATTGCTTCTCTAGATAAAAGTGTGCTTAATAAACATGCAAATATGTAATAAGTGTTTTGAAATCAAGATAAAACGATCGCAATTGAAATAATTGCCGACTAAAATTAGGGTTGTCACGAGATGGTGTTGCAACGATGCTCGTTTAGTACGGGCCATTAAATTTCACAGTGTATTTTAGTGACGTTATACAAACTGCTTCTATTTTTCACGATCCTATTTTCAAACAAAAGATTTCGTATGTTTGTGTCATGGATTATGACATAATTCGAGTAAAGCCTTAAATTATAAATGTTGATTTATAAATTAAGAGATCTGAAAGCGAATAGGCCAATGATAATGTTTGAATAGGCATGAAAGTATTTTACCAAGGGACCACAAGCTCTATGCTCGACCATTTGGTTAGACCTTATTATTTCTTTATAAGTAACTGCAGCTGTAAATGTTGCATTAGCGCATCTTGCCAAGAAAACTAACTACGTAATCGACATACTTATTTCCAGAATTCTCTTAAACGAATCTTAAGAAATGTTCATAAAATAATGGTCGAATGAAATTGTACGTGCAATTTCAATAAAGCGCAAACATTAAACAGTAACTTTTAAAATTCTCACAAAATGTCCCCCTTTTCGAGATAAAGTCTAAGACATAATGTAGCCGGTGCCGAGATCTCCCGATAAGGCAATTGACTCCCCGCGGGCATACGGGTAATTAATATCCTGCACGATATGGATACATAATACGACCCGCCTTTTCAGCTGAGGGAAGTGGAGGCGCCAGAATCAATTGTTTTATCTTATGACGTGTGGTACTAGACCTTTATGTTTTAACATAAGCAGAATCAGAACGAGTACCTCTTTTACATGAAGAGTACCTTTCTTTGTTACCTTTAATAACACGTAACGCATAAAGTTCATTAGAGACTCAATCTTGGAAATATGGCACGTCACTAAACAAAATCTCTTTTTTTTTTAACAATACTTATCATCAGAAACGTGAAAATTCATTTTCCAAAGTTGACTTATTCGTTTAATGGCGGTATTTGTTTCAACATACACACAGGTTGTCTCTAAATTGTAATATCAGTTTGGGCTTTCTTTAGGATTATTCATTAGCTGAGATGTTTGGATAATCATTACAAAAATTAGAACAGTAACATTTGCAAATGTGTGATCGTAGTGTATTTAAAAATGTTATACAGGAAATAATTATTAATTTTTTTTCAATAGAATGCTCATTTCACCAAAAATATTATAAATATTACAATCCCAAAACCCTGATCCCCGCCTATAGTTGAGTTTTAGGACACCCTGTATATAAAAATTTCTGGACTTTCGTCCTTCAAATATGGGTGTCATGAGAAAGTTAGGAATATTTTTACTAACCTTCACACCATTATTTATTTCCGTTCAATTTTTCTAGACTAACTCAAATATTGACTAAATATACCTACTATTGACAAATTGAGTCGATACGATTCAACTTAGCATCTGTACAACTTAAGTGAGTAATAAAAACCAAATTAACCATAAATATTCATGATATTCAATTGCAATATTTATCTACAAAATAGTTGTTCATTTAAAAACCCTTATACAACCATATGTTGTTATAGCGTTTTGAGAATCATCGAATTAGTAATGCAAATATTAAAGTGGGGTGCGCGAGAGTGCATTCCTGTAGAGGAGGGTGAGCGGCGCGTGCACAGGGGAACTTCGCGTCACCTGTATCGCCGCGCCGCAATACCCCAAAAGAATGAAAAGAGCCGATTCACATTTGTTTTATTTTTTTCATTAATTAAAGTTTCTCCTTGTACGCAAACAATGCCCTTGCTTTTTACGAATACTATACCAACTTAATATATTATGAACACCATTTTTTTATAAATATAAGCATCAGCAGCAGAGCAAGTGGTGCATTTTTCTTTTTCGAAAAGAATTTTTTTCTATATTGTTAGTAACTCAGTAAAGAAGCCTACGCGTGGACTGCTACATAAATTTGGTAGAAGCTACGAAGTTAAGCGTCTTCGTAGCACAGTTTTATTATGAAACTTTTGCGCAGTATTGGTTCATCTATATTTCCGTGATCATTTTGAGTTATTATACATAATTTTCTTATAGGTTTCATATAGATTGTAAAAAATTATTTAATGTGCAAAGACATGATTTGGGCTTACCTGGTTTTCTTTTTCTTGATACCGTTGTTGTCGTTTTTCTTCTTGTCACTCTTCTTGCTGGATGTGACAGGCGTGGAGGAGTGCGCAGGTGGCGGTGGCGGCGCACCATCAGGCGGTAGTAAAAGCGGCTCGTCCTTTCGCTTGACATCAGCAGATGGTGCATTTGCTGCCGTGGTCGCAAATACCGGCAGATCGTCCCGGTACTGCAACTCACCGCCAGCGCCTACCACCACCTGTACGTGCCGCTCCTTGCCGAATTCGCCGAACATGTGCTCCTCGAAAGGCGGCTGCTCCATGGGCCCACCGTCGAAGGCGCACTCGTAGCGCGGCCCCGCGCCGCCGGCCTCGCCGCACACGTACATGTAGTGGTCGGCGGCGGGCGCGTGCGGGCCCGCTACCTCCGCGCGCACCTCGCTCGGCTCCGTCGCTGCCGCTGGCTGGCCGCACACCTCGGGCCGCTCGGCCCAGCTCACAATTTATCTGCTATATTAAACTATTTGACTTCATTTAGTCGAGCCCTCGGGATCGACGAACGCTCGCGCCGTTCGTATCGTCGTGTCCGTCCCGGTTAAATGGCTTTAATCAACTTTAACGAACTAACCAAATTTGCTCTACGGTTGGTCAATTTATATTACCATTATACTGCTCCGTACACAGGATTCGAGCCAATGGGCGGGCGGCGAGAAACGTCAAACGCGGACGTGAATACGCTATTTTCATTCGTATCGCAGCGGCCGAGTCGGGATGTTAGAATGAGCACACCGGGCGCTTACGATCGTGGCACTGAGTTGACGGGGAGCCAATGGCAGTGCGAGAGGGTCACAGGGGAGTGGCGCTCTCGTCAGTGCGCTACGCTGTAGCGGCGGCCCTTTGAGCCCCACGCCTGGTACCCGCAGCGCTGGGGTCGCCGCGGCCGTCATCGCCGCCGTGCAACCATGCGGGATTCCCACAAATCCACCCGATATTTGTTTGTCTGTATGGTATTATATTATAGGGCGCGAACGCCCACATCATTATTTCGAAAGTTCATAGCGTTTCATTGTAAATCCGTATCAACACCACTCATATGTCCGATCCGTGATTTATAGTCGTGAGAATTTCTGGATTAGAATCACGGTATGAGAAGATTATGATGATATTTAAAAATAATATTTTTACTATTTAGGTAAAACATGATTCACTGAGAAATTTCAAATGACCGAGATATCCAAATTGTTTACGTGATTGCAATTAATCCAATCAAAAGTCGTTAAATATGGAACATATGTAGGTGTAATGCACTTCTACAAGCGTAAGAAGGAAAACCCTGCAGCTGAAGTTGCGGATCTCACTGCAACTGAGGCTGCGGCTCGCGTGCAGCATGGCAGCTCACGCCTGCACAGCCGCGCGCGCACTGATGCCGCCGATCACCGCAATGATCGCTTAATTATCAATTAACAGTTATTGTTGGAATTATTATTAAAACATTCGCCCTCCACTATTGGCACTTAGATTAGCGCCGAGGGAGTAATGGCGCATTTCAACAATTTCGGTTGTTATTTAATTGAAGTCAATTTAGATGATCAGAGTCTATTTAGGTTGGTGCTGGCGCTCGCCAGCGGGATCACTGCTTCATTGGGCTTATTGGTGACTTTCAGACAACACGAATTGCACTCTCTGATGCACTTCTCGACGCATTTGCAGTTTGTTGTGCCATGGAAATTGCGTCCTAACATTTCGATACGATGTTCAGGCGGTTTAAAGTTATATCCTGCTGACTCAGCATAAAAGAGGTGACATGAAAGATTTAGTGCTATAGGCAAGAATAGTGTTTAATAGTAGTGAGTGCAGTGAACAAATGCAACATATACGTGTTAAGTTGCGTGTGCGACGCTGGTGATCCTCCGGTCGACAGCAGGTCGTGTCAGCGGCATTATGACGGAACGATCGTCTGGCCTCATTAATTTTAATGTTACGTAAAACTCACTACCAATTGTCTTATTGGCCGAGGTCATTACTGAAACGTAAGGTGCGTATATTGATATTATACTTCACGAGAGCCAACTCTAAAAAATGGCCGCCGATCATTGATCTGTAAAACTAAAACTGCTTATTTTTTTCAACAACCATTTTATTGTAAAGATGTTTGTTTGAGATAGTCCAGTATACGAGTTCATATACCTACCCTCATGCGAAAAGTTAGGATATGTAACGCTTTGTCGTGTTCTGTTGTCCAAAACAATAAACTGAAGACAATATGAACTAGAAAGAGTCGCCGGCAAGCCTTCCTCGTTCATATTGTCTTCAGTTTCTGTTAGGCAAGATTGTGATCAACGTAATCTCATATTAAATTATAAATATTATTCCAAAATTCATTGTGTCGTGCCATTTACCTTTTATAAAATAAAGTAAGTAATTTTTACCGCATATTGCTGGTTTATTGATATCCTTAATAGGCAGTCTCATTGCGATGTTTTTTTTTCAATGCCGTCGGCTTTGGAAATACCGGTGTGGACGTTAGCCGAGATCAATTTTCTCCGTCTTAATTATGATACTCATAATTCTTGTACTAAGTGTTATTTCGTGTCATTTTGAACCCTGTAAGTTCCCATTTTTATTTACTACGAATACTACATTACCTTGCATAAAGGCATTATTAATCGTCGGGGATAATGCAAATCCGCGTATGTTGTATTGGTAAAAAGCGCGCAAACGCAAAGCAAGCGCAAAAGCACCAAAACAAATTTCACAGGAGAGGGATTTAACGTTATTACTTTGTTATTTCAGTGGCTACGACTTTCATTTTCGCACAGTAAGCATTTATTTATGTTGTCTACGGACTATTAATAATAGATTTCCGTAAATCACGCTAATTTGTTTTACACAACATTTACGCGGACTAGATTTGTCGACTAAATTACCGAAATGGAGACTCATAACCAAATGCTAGTTACGCGTTATTGCACTATCCACGACGAAATGTAGTTTGGTCATTGCCATTCTCAAGACACGTCGATCCATGTAGTCTTCCTATTTTGAAATATCTTCGGAAAGTCAGTACACACCTTTAGCTTTACTGTATCAATGAACCTAAATGTAGATTTTGGCCCACCATCAAACACGAAATAGAGAATAGTAGACGATTTGTAAAGGCTCAAAGTCATCTCGGAATTTTCCTGGAATCTTATTTACATGGCATATTCCAGTGAGTCATGTGACGCGTAGGCGCTTCACATAAAATCTCTCCGCCGACGACGGGCGACGCAGAATCCGCCGCTCGTTCAATTGGCTCCAATTGGCTTTAATTGACTTCAATTGATATGACCTCGCGCGCTCCCGCTTCTAGCCTGACACTTTTACATCTATCTTTTTTGGAGCTGACATAAACGCGTTAACGATCAATTTGGTTGTGTATCCATTGCCCATCTATAACTAGTTTTTATAGCCAGATACCAAAATGTAACGCGTCGTAGCTACAGCTTGCCGTAAGGCTGTTGTAAAACAGCTGTACATAAAAGCAGGTGGTATGACTTCAGGGTGTCCATTCACGAAAAACTCATGGAATTATCCGTTGAACTATTTAGAATGGTTTTGGATGGAATGGAATAATAGACATGAATGTGAACAATGTCTATTTACAAAAAAGCAAACCTTAGAGGTTTTTACTCAAGCTTCTAAAGGGAGTCTTATTTAGATACGAATTAGGTACTTGCAATGTTTAATCATTTTCACGATTTCAAGTATAATTTGCTTAGGTACGTAAAAAAAATCTTTAGATATTTTGAATGTGACTGCTCAAGCTGATCCGGGAAAATTAGTAAAATTGATGGTTCACCACGGAAAAAGTGGAGAAGTTCACAATCGTTTTCAAGTATTAAAATGGTTTCATTGGTAAGAAAATATTTAATAGGTTTTGGTGAAATTACAGGCGCGTGAGGCTTGTCAACTTATGTCTCGGGGTGACTGGCGCAGTGGCAGTGCCCCAAAGATCTTTGCAATTTAAATCTCCGAGTTGCACTGCAACTGTTATGGATAGGCGTAACAGTTGTTCGTCCCGTCACTTGTTATTAAAAAAATTAAAAGAAAATGAAACTTCGAGACTGTATTTCGTTCGGTAACGTGTCATTTCGTTCAGAAACGCTGGAGCCCGCCCTTGACTGGTGTAGGCATCATGGCTTTGTTCTGCTGTTTACTATGCATACGTTACACCTCCTAATGTAAAGATTGGATTCACGCCTGTATCAGACCCAATAAGACTTTACGAAATATTTCAATTACAAAACGTCGTTGCCTAAAATTATCTTTATTTTATTTTTCTTTCAAATTTTAATGATTAAATTGGCAAATTTGGCAAAACCAGGGGCATCCTGAAATGTACGTCGCATAGAACTAAAGGTTTTAGTATGAGTAGAGCTCCTTGTGAAAGAGTCCATCCAGGGTAGTACTGCCACCATACCTTTTTCTGCCGCCAAGCAGTAATGTAATCAGTAATCTTTGCGATTTAAAGCTCCGAGTGGCACAGCAACTGTTATGAATAGGCGTGTCGCTTATGCGTCTCGTCACTTGGTGTTATAAAAAAATAAAAATAAAAAGGCCGCATTAGCCATATGGCAATTTCTCAAGAGAGTGGTTTAAGATTGTACGAACTAAATCAGCCGTTAACTTTTTTTAAGCTAAAATTGGAGTTATAAAATTTCACATATGTTTTTTTATCTACTTCGTATTATTTTTGTGAATTCCATGTGATAAAAGCACCTTTGACATGTATGTATATAGGGTTAATTTGTAAAATACTAATAACCTCACAGGACTATATTCTTAACATCATAAACATTTCATGACTTTTTAGAATTCATCACACTTTACTTCGATATAAAAATAAAAATTGTAAATAGATCGCACTAATCAGTGATAACTCTGTGTAAAACGCAAAAGCGCGGGTAGGGGTCATCGGGGAGGACGCTTGCACGTTCGACTTATTAATACAGATGTAAAAAGTCTCAGACAGTACAACACAAAAACAAAAATTTTAAAGTTCATTATTATTTTTTAATTTTAGAATGTTTAACCATCATAATAATAATAATAACGCACACACTCAACATAGCCCTGCAGTAGGGAAACCCTGTGTCACGGGTGCCATGAACACACACATAGACAACCACAAATTACACCCAAACTCACGAGAGAAATAAATGTAGGCCATACAAATATTTCTCCCGGCCCAGGAATCGAACTGGAACCACTTCGTGATAGTCAACCGTTCGGCCTCGGAGGCAATTGATATTCAATTATTGTTTGTAAAATTACTTCACTAGTTTGTTATAATTCTTAATACAAAGATCGAACACTTAGAAAAAACCCTTCGATCCGGCCGGATTCGAACCGACGTCTTCTAGCAAACCGTGTCAGACGCTAAACCTTGGAACGAACCAGCGGACCTCATGAATTTTTCTATGTGCTTGTTGTCGGATCTTTGTATTTGGTTTTCAACGACTTTTTAGGAGTAGCGTCACCTATGAGAAAAGTTTCATTTTAGGTACATTCATTATATTTTATCAAAAGTAATGGAACAATAGTTATTTGTTATGCAAGGCTGCAAAGTTGTTCTTGTTGTTTGGTGCGAGTGCTTGTATTCAAACCTGAGCAAGCGAAGGAAGCCAAGATTGAACCCCGAGCGAAACGATTGGGCGTAAAAAATAGATTCCTGAGCGTAGCGAGGGTTTCAAGGCACGAGACGCAAAACAACTTTGCTGTCAAGCGGAATACACACAGAAAAAGTTAGGTGCACCATAGACCATCGTCAAGTTCGAATTTCAAATGTACCAATTTAGCCAATCTAGCCCTGCAAGCTTATTAGTATTTTAAAAATAACCCTGTATAATAGAGGTTTACAAGTGGCTTTATTATAAGTACCAATTGTACTCCATTTGGTATTCATTCATAGTTTCGTGCTATAGTTTTTCATACCTATATCTATACAAAATTCGTGGTATACCTACCTAAAACGATACCTGGTACAAAGTATAATTGAACGTAATAAAGATATAAATTATAAAAGTACACAATGACTGCATGGTCGTAAAAGACATACATTTTGGCACGTGTGGCGTCCGGTGCTCAATTGAGCTTAATTAGGAAATGGCCGAGGAACGGGGTGCGGGGGGTGCGTCTTTAAATTGCACCGTTTTGCAATTCATATGTAAGATTAAAAATAAATAATTTTTAAACCAAATAAGCGATAGATATTGTCCATGCATGGCATTTATCTTCTTCTTTTTGCTTATTGGTGATGCCCTTTTTAGTTTTTGCCAGAATCGAGTTTAAGCTTAGTCATTTTAGGGGTGTTTACAGGTTCTGCTATTTTACGCATACTGTGGGGAGTATTGCAATAGAAATTGTGAGCAAATTTGCCTGGGGCTGTGATTATATGTATTTAGTGCGTTTTAATGTACAGTCGATGCTCTAAGATATCTGGCTCCCTTGCCGATCTTTTGATTCTAATCTATATCTTTTGAGCCTGAGCATTGTTTCTTACACATCCAATCATTCTCATCATCCAGAGAAAGTCCTACCAAAATGAATACGGCTCATAGGTTAAGTTTGTTTAACACTTTTCTTTATGTTTCTACTCAGGGGTCAGGTATATTACGACATTGTACATTGGGCGTTTAGCGCTTTTTTCATAGTAATATGCTAGGTCTTAGAAGATCAAAATTTAAAAAAATGCATTTTAGAAATAGTTATTTTATTAAAATTTTAAATTATCAGCTTCGTATCGTTTTAGAACACCAGACAATATACTAAACTTAACACAACAGTAAACATTTTATGACTTTCTCTAACAAATTCTGCTTTTAATCCTCTGGTGAAAAATCCCTAGCAGACATGAGATTGCAGTACTTATTAGTTTTATTTTATTTTGTTTTATTTCTATTTTCCTTTGAATTTAGAATTTTAATTTAGTCAAAAATTCATACTGATAAAATATTTTGAAATCGTTTATACTGTAAATGGAATATTCCAAGCTAAATTGAATAATAAGGAATATAAATATAGATTCAGAATAGGATGGTTTTAATTAATATTACCCATAACTTGTTGATAACTTTAAAATCCAGTCAGCTGTGACCATGAGAGTTGTAATGGGCTGGCTTGCCTTGATTGAAAAATACAATATACGCGATTTAGATCAGAAATTTATCAATAAAGCCTAAACATTCGAAATTTGTTTTATAAAATCCAGTGAGGCAATACTGCCAATATACTCGTAATGGGAACTTTTGAACCGGGCACTATCAGGGCGGGATTTTTTTAGGTTATATAAGAATATTTGACGAAATCTCTTGTTGATCAGAGTTTTTGTGTTTTAATAGATACTACTGTTGACCTTGTATATAATAAGTACTTCTACTATTGACGAAGCCTAATGATGATCTTTTGTTGTAAATTTAACTATTTCAATTTGTTAACGTACCTATGAAATAAAGATTTTTCTTGTTTTTATTAAATTCCAATGACACCTTAATAGTATAGGTACAATGTCGAACTAAAAAATACAATTAAGTGTAAAAGACTCGTATAATTACTAGCCAATCAGCCGCCATTTTTTCAATTATCTAGGCATAAACGGCAAAGTTGTTTTCTTCTTTGCTTTTGGTTTCCCTACACCCCAAAATCGCCTCGGTAAATCTTTTCCGTGCTCGTGATCTTCATCGTCGTGCTCTTGATCAGAGGGCTGCTGCTCTACGAACCTTAATCTTTTGGAAACGTTTCCAGATGGCCCGGCAACTGGTTCGGTTTGCGTGAAGGAACTAAATGAAGAACGTAAGCGCTGTTTACGTTTTTCGAGCTTATCATCACGTATCGACTGCATTTGGTCAAAAATAGTGTTTCTCAACTCAGTCTCAGCATCAAATGCAACGCTGCCAAGCCGCAAATCATACGGCTCCGATGGCATACTCCCCTGGATAGACCCAGACCTAACAGCCTTGAAAAACTTCATCATGTTCAACTCACTGACTTGACTCGCATGTTGTGGCACCCCTTCCGTTATACTCGTTAAATGTTCGGAACCTGTTTCGAAATCCTCGTTAAATATTTCTTTATTTCTTCTCATTTTAGAACAAACAGGTTCCATTTTGCATTTAGCAGTCATAATTGGGGGCGCTTGGTAAGGCTGCAGTGAGATGTGACGCTGGCGTTTCAACCTTCCGTACGTCGCTTTCGAATTCAATTGCATTTCCAAACTATCTCCCGTTTGTACGCCTATTTCAGATAAATTTGTATTCATTTTCTTAAGTTCAACTTCAGAAAATGAGAACATTTTCATTTGTCTTGACAGAAAAGAGTCTGTTCGGACGACTGCCCCAGAGTCACGAAATGTTGTTTTCTTCCTACAGCAGTTTCTGAAAAAGCTTATTATTTTCTGTATCGTTGTTTCTTTTGGTTTCAATCCCACCATGTCGAGATCGGTGTAATAGTAGAAATTGGGCATTATTTTTGAGGCGTTTTCGATATCATTGTGGGACCGCATCACTGTATCTAAATAGAGCCTGAAAATCATCAATTTTGGTGAATAATATACATAAATTTATACCCCGACCTGAAACTAAAATGAAATGCTTTGTAAACTTAAATAACTACGTTTACTTACACATTTTCGATGCCATCAGTGTAAATAAAGAAGGCATCAGAAACCTTCGGCACGCACCGCCTCAGCCAATAGTACACCGTATACGATGATGTCATCATAACGGCAAGAAATGTTAATGCCGTCAGGTATACGTTCTGCTGATTCCCTTTGTCTGCTCCACAGTAGAGCCTGTCTTCGTCGTAAATTTCTATGAAATAAAATTACTTCCAATAAAGTATACGACAAGAACACGCGAAATGTCACGATAATATTTTACCTTTCGTTTATATCGTGAAGTAACCATAAAACGCGACGATTTAATCATAAAAGTACAATAATTTAACTGTTGGTTCTTACCCCAGGCACCACAATTAGGCACACCGTCACAGGCCGTCACTGTATCGACGCATACGCGAGCTCCCTTAATCTGACATTCTAGATAGAGATCAGGGCAATGTCCGCCGCTGTTGACCATTGTACGTGCAGGGGTCGCTACCACCGTCATGCGCTTCAACTGGACATAAACAGAGGAAGTTTATCTTAACGTACGTAACCTGGATCTATAAAATATTAAACCAATGTACACATACAGCGAATGTACCACCAGCATACTTTAACCCAAAACAAACCAATTCAGTATCCAGTCCGAAACCATTATTTCTTGTTATCTTGATTGTACTAGTATTAGTATCATCGCTTCACTTTTTACTTAATAAAATCCATCTTAAATACAATACCGTAAAATTGTTAATGGCAAGAACAATCCTCGAAGCATTGAAAAGGTATACATTGAACTCGGCGTGCTCCTTGCATAGGTTAAAAAGCACAGCACCAACGTAGCGGCGCATGTACCGCAGAACCATGTGCCCGTATATCTGATGACGAATACCAACGCATTAAGTACGTAATGTCAACAAAATTAACTTTACAAACACAAAAATCTCCTGCTCTAATTACTACTAAAACTACTAAAATGAACCTGCTCTCGGTGGCAATTATTATTTTCATTATTTAAGTATTCGAGTATATTATCTTGAAATATTAATTAATATTTCGCGATAATATTTTTATTTCATGATAAATTATATTGAAATATTAAATAATATTTCATGATAATATTTTAGAATATTCAAATTATAAAAATTGCCATCGTAAATGAGGTAGAGAAAACTAATCTCATAATTACCCGTTAACCAAGTAACGTTTACCAAGTGACGCGACGAACAAGTCGTGGGCCTGGTGGTACGCGACACGTCTGTCCATAACAGTTGCAGTGGCATTCAGAGCTTCAAATCACAAAAATCTGAAGGGTACTGCCACTGCGCTCTACACCCTGAGACATAAGTAGACAAGTCCCATGTGCCTGTTTTCACCAGCACCCTTACCTTTCAAAACCGTAACGGAATTGGCAGAAATAGGTAAGGTGGCAGTACTTCTCTGGACGAACTTTTTCACAAGAACTCTGCTACAACTAAGAGTGGTTACACACGGTGACTTTTAGCAGTGATGCAAACGCAAAATTACATCACTACACTTGCGATGTATAGGCGTTTGCATCATCTGTCATCTTTGAATATTGAATAAGAAATTGATGCGGTACTGGGGAGCGCACCGTGAGTTTCTACGATACGACGTTGGGCCGTGCGTCATGGCACGTTGCGATATCGTGTTGTTTATTTTTACGTAGCTCGTCGTAGATTTCCACGAGACGACGTCGCATCGTGAAAGCACGGAGTGAAACGTAATAAATTATCGTACAGTGTTAGGAATTCCGGGGAGTCTAATTTTTTTGTTTCATTAACTTCGTCCTTGAATGTACATAACAAAGACTCGACAAACGCATAGGCATTACATCCATTTTGCGATAGCTTCATTTGTAAATTCTTTTTCTCAAACATGCTTGGAAAACGAATACGGCCAAAGTCTGCAAAGTAAGTATGAAAAACTATTACTGTCCGCCTCTCTAAACTTTTAAATCTACCCACATAGATGTAATCTTATAAACCACAAATGTAGCGATGCAATCGCGAGTTTATATAACTCTCTTCAGTAATATTAACAATTATTTACTTCACCGAAATAACTTGTAACCAAATTGTATTATTAATTTTAATTTTAGCTCTTAAGAATTATCCTTTATTACACCCTTACTGGGTGCATGTAATATTTTAAATGTATACGAGTCTACCAATGCTTTCTGGCCAGATGGGATGACATTTAGAGAGTTCGTTCACCTTAGTAGGAGAAGACCGCCAGCACAGGATACTACGGAATCAGTGAGTGACATTTTAATACCTACTGTATGGAAAAAAACTCATTAAAATAGTAAGTTACAATTGTAAGAACGTAAAACGTAGCGCCGAATGTGTAAGATCTTTGTGCAAGGATGCCGATGTGGTGGCGTTACAGGAACATTGGTTGCTGCCGAAGAATCTACCATTTCTTAATTGACAGAGATTTCAGCTATACTGGAAAGTCCGGGATGGAGCCAACAGCGGGCATAATACAAGGTCGTCAGTGTGGTCGCGTGACTTTATTGTGGCGAAAATGTGCGTTTCAATATGTGTCAGTCGATTGGTGTAATAGTGAACGTATTATTGCTATTAAAGCAACTACAAGTGATCTTCGCGACATTGTGTTCGTGTGTGTTTATATGCCTGTTAATAAGGCCGTGAATTTGCCTGTGTTTACGGAATGTTAACAAATATAGTAGGCGATTTTAATGTATAATGTATAATTTTTAAATATTAGGCGATTTTAATGCTCACACAAAGACACTATTTTATAGGGAACTTATGTGTTTTTGCTCTGAAAGACAATAGGTGTTGCGGACAAGGAAAAGCTAAATAGTGTACTGAACGCGCACACTTTGTCTGTCAGGCCACAGGTAGCAGTAGGTGGTTGGATCACTGTCTAACTAATCAGGCTGCATGACTTACAGTTACAAGTGTTAATATAGTATATGATGTGTACTGGTCCGACCATTACCCTTTAATAATAGAATGTAGTCTTGGTTTAATTAGATCTAGACCTAATGTAACCTATGAGAGTTCAAATAGTGTTAGATGGGGGCTTAGGAGCCCAGAAGAAATTGCTAAATATTTAGACATTTGTAATACTCAATTAAAGTGTGTAGACTTTCCCTGTGAATTTCAAAAATGTGCAGACAGAATGTGTAATGTGAGTCAGTCACAGACATGTTATAGATAAGTTCTAAGAAAATATTATTTCTATTATAAGACAAGCATCCATGACTAGTCGTAATGGAGAGGCAAAAAACTGTAATAAATATAAATGTGTTTTGGGGTGGAACAACGTTCCCGCACGAACGTTGACACAGCACATAAGCAAGCTCGATTGGATTTTCAAGTGTATATCCTCTATGGGAAGCCTGAGAGTGGACCCATATTTGAAAAAATGATATTAAGTCGTAAAATATTTAAATCAAAGCTTAGGTACTGTCAGCAAAAACAAGATCAAATCAAAATGGACATACTTGTATCGCAGCACTCAGCTAAAGAGTTTGACAAATTTTGGAAAAGCACAAAAAACCTTAATGGTAGGGTGGAATACCGGTAAGTGTAGAAAGCATAAGCGATCCAAAGAGTGTTGCGAATATGTTTAAAGATCACTTTAAAATTGAACAGTTTTTGCCAAGCTCTGGGGTGTCTGATGCTGAGCCCTGTCATGTGGAGCAGCCTATCAAAATCACTGCCAAAGATGTGAGATTGGCAATTAATAATATGAAAAGAGGCAAGTCTCCGGGATATGATGAGCTCAGTATTGAGCACCTGAAACATGCAGGGCCACACATTAACAGAGTTTTGTCTTTGTTATTTACTTTCTGTGTAAGACACTCATATTTACCACCGGATCTGATGAAGACTGTAGTTATCCCGCTTGTTAAGAACCGTACTGGTAACACGGCTGATAAATCCAACTATAGACCAATCTCACTAGCGACAGTGACAGCTAAATTTCTGGACAGGATATTAGATGTTCACCTAAATGGCCAAATACTATTGCACGACTCGCAATTCGGCTTTAAAGAGGGTTTATCAACCGAGACTGCCATTTTGTCACTAAAATATGCTGATCAAAAGAGAAACCCCGGTATATGCCTGCTTTTTAGACCTTTGAAAAGCTTTTGACATAGTGTCATATGATATGCTCTGGACAAAATTGAAGAAAGCGGGCATATCACCTGAAGTAGTTGGTATTTTCTCACATTGGTATAGTAATCAAAAGAATGTAGTAAAATGGGCAAATGCTAAATCTGATGAGTATGTTTTGAGCTGTGGCGTTAGGCAAGGGGATTAACCTCGCCTAGACTTTTTAATTTGTTTGTTAATAACCTGATTGGGGAGCTGTATGTCGGATGCCGTATTGACAACACAAGCGTTAATAACATTAGCTATGCGGACGATATGGTGTTGCTCAGCCCTTCAATCAGTGGTATAAGACGACTTATATGTCATTGTGAGACCTATGCTGTGCAACACGGTTTAAAGTACAACGAGAAAAAGAGTGAGTTCTTGCTGTTTAAGGGTAAAATTAAAGAACCAGCCTATATACCACCAATACTTTTAAATGGGGTACCTTTGAGGCGTGTTGCACAGTTTAGGTATTTGGGTCTGGGTCGTAGTAATTGTGACAGAGGACCTAAAGACGAGGGAGACAGAGAGGGAGCGCAGGGCGTTGTCTGTTGGAGGCAATATGTTGGCTCATAGATTCACAAAGTGTACGACTGGAGTGAAGCTCACACTCTTTAGAGCATACTGCCAAAGCTTCTACACATGTGCTCTATGGTCCAACTTTACGCTGAAATCGTACGGCACATTGCGAGTCCAGTATCAGGGCCTTGTTGAAGCTTCCCCGTTTCTGTAGCGCATCTGGCATGTTTGCGCGTGCTAGCATGGATGATTTCTATGACATCATGTGCAAAATGTCCACTTCGTTAGTACGAAGGGTGAGGGGTAGCAACAACGACATCCTGAAGATGATAGCAGACAGGATGGATGCAGCTATGTTCCGGAGGTTCACTCAGTTGCATGTTCTACGTGTGAGTCAGTGGACCATCTGGGTGGTTGGGTTCGTCCTGTTTGTTATATTTGTTATATTTGTAACTAATTATTAGGTACTATTTTTGTGATTGACTACTAATCCTAATACTAACATAGTTATAAGGTGTCATGTTACTAACTTACTAACTTGTATATGGACTACATTGTCTGAAATAAATGATTTTTATTTCTTTATTTTTTTTATTATTTAATGCAAATGAATAAATAAATAAATATATTGTGTATGACCATAGGGTGTCTATAAAAATAAGTTTTTCGTACAAAACTGAGGGCATACTTGCTTGTGTCGGGAGCATGTAATTAAATTAAATCATTTAAACATTCTGGGCGTTTAGCACTTTTCTCGTTGTAGTTGTCTGAATCTTAGGAGGTTAAGCAATTAAAGTAAATTAAGTATATTTATTTTATATATATTATAATTATATTATAATAATATTTTCAAGAAATTTTTAACTTTGTACAAAATAAAATTTAAAAAAATTGTGTTTTTGTGTTTCACCTCTCAACCACCATTTACTAATGGTACAATAATAATCATCACACAACTTCTGTATGTAGAACATTTGCGTCTAGGTGTGGATTTAACTTCTACGGAAGCGTAGGATGGCAAGCGGTGGTCATATAGGTCGCATAACTCGTAAACAACGACTTTTAAAACACTGACCCTGCGATAAAAGTATGCCCAGGAATATGTCTCGTCTCGTATATAACCATGTACGAGACATTAAACCTAATACAGTACATAAAAACTTAATTGGATATCAATATTCATAATTAATTGAGTTAGACTCGGTTTGGCACAATCGGTTCGAAGGTATTTTTGTGTTTGTTCAATCTTCATATCAATAATCACTCAAAACTATAATCCATTTGTTTAAGTACTTAACTAAATGTAAACAATCTTGATACATCTTTTTAATGAATCATATGCTTTACAAATCAATAGATATAAAAATAGGCATGCAATTTCATATGAAGCTAAGATGTATTTTGTATTTCAAAGTAAGTAAAAATCATTTTATTATTGTATATTTCATTAAATAGACATCTCAAGATTGTTTACATTTAGTTAAGTACCTAAACTAGCGATGAAAGAGACTCAGTCTTTTAAGGCATTTTAAAAAACCTCGACTAATTTTTAACGCCTCGCGACTTGTCTAGTCTTTTAACCCTCACGTCTGAGTCATAAAACTAAAATTGAAGACTAAACCCTAGGAAGCTTAAAAGATTTATAGGACTAAAACGACTAAAACTACTGGTCCTTATAGCCTGGGGAGTCGCGAGTCATGAGCCGTATGGCGTGATTTTATTTCTACCCACAAGATATTTATTTTACGCTTGATGGATGACGTTAACGTAGCTTTGGTCACAGAAGTCAGTTAACTATAACCAATTCAAGAATTTGTTTTTTTGGGAATTATTTGTTTCTTTAATATAAAAATGAGTGGACACAGAACCCAATAGTCAAAGTATTTTATCAAATTTTAGTGTCTGATACTGTCGTTTGACCAAAATAACGAATGAAACATGTATTTATTTATGAACGTATTAAGTGGAGGTCCACAGTCTCTGCCTACCCCTGAATGGGTGGCAGGCGAGATTTTTATGTATATATTTGTTATATGTATTACAGATAAATTGTATCGCACTACTGTGCACGGATTTCTTAAGAAGTTTAAACAAAAATACCAGGACTTCATAATAAGATAATTGGTTACAGACCAGTATTACACTAAATAAAAAAAAGAGCACGTCGGAACTGGATTTCCGTAGACTTTTAAATATAAATATTTAAAAGTCTACGGAATGTATGTATTTCATTATTTTAATTTACTCGCAGAAAAAGTATTGTATGCAATAATTAATAATTTAGGTCTTAAAATCTTGTACCTAGTGCTTAAATCACTCTTTTAATACTAATTTTTATTATAAGTAAATAAACATGATTATTTACTACATACTACGTCATTTTTATTCATAAACTTCGGATTTAATAAGACATAAAATAGGTATAAGTCCATTGCAAACAACTCGAGTCGTTTAAGTCGTTCAAGTCGTTTAAGTCGTATAAGTCTTTTAAGTCTTTTGGTATAACGACTGAGTCTTATTAATAAGAACTCGAACCTCCAGTCTTAATTTTAGAGTCGAGTACTGTAAAATGGAGTCGAGTCGTTATAAAACGCCTTAAAAGACTGAATCTCTTTCATCGCTAACCTAAACAAATGCACTATAGTGGAATATAACTGCCTTCGTGGCCGAACGGTTACCATGCTGATCTGCCATCGTCGCGGTCGCGGGTTCGATTCCCGGACCGGGATAAATGTTTGTATGGCCTACATAATTTATTTCTCTCGTGAGTTTCGGTGTAATTTGTGGTTGTCTATGTGTGTGTCCATGGCCCCTGCGACACAGGGTTTCCCTAGTGCGGGGCTATGTTGAATGTATATGTGGGCTATAAGTGTGTGCGTTATTATTAATTTCAAAAAAAAATCATGGTTAGTAGAAACATCATGGTATTCAATAAAATTTAGTAGCAGCAGAGCTCCTTGTGGAAGAGTTCATCCAGGGTAGTAGTGCCACCTTACCTATTTCTGCCGCCAAGCAGTAATATCAACATTACTGTGTTCCGATTTTGAATGGTAAGGGTGCTGGTGAAATTACAGGCATATGAGACTGGTCAACTTATGTCTCAGGATGAACGGGCGCAGTGGTAGTGCCCCTTAGATCTTTGCAATTTAAAACTCTGAGTGGCACTGCAACCGTTATGGACAGGCGTGTAGCTTACCATCAGGCGCACGACTTGTTCGTCCCGTCACTTGATGATATAAAAAAATTTAAAAAAAAAACATACAATACAATATGACAACATATTGTCAAAATATTTTTTCACAAAATATTTTTTAAGCAAAACGTTCGGATATAACTCCATATATAAACGCTTCTTCATCTTTTTAAAAGAACAAGTCATCAGATTACTAAGTGCTAATGTAGACAGAAACACGTACCCCATCATCCTGCAACTCGACTAACTGTTCGAAATCCTGGCGATCGTAGAAATGATAAACCGACTCCATGGTGGTACCTTTTATGGGTCCCTGAGTCAAGCTATGTGGACGAGCACCCTCGATAGGAATCACACTCACGTATCGTTTTGGTCTCGCAGATTTTGTAGCCCTTCAACATGGGAGAGAGCAATTTTAATCATTTCGTACTCTTAATATAAAGTCAAGTGTGCCCACGTCAAAAGAGCGTTTATCTCATGAAATTTAAAAAAAGAATACGAACTACGTTAAACAAATTATTTTTATGTGAAATTTTATTCTTTCACACATTATTTGATTTTAAATTCGGGACTTAACCGTGTATAAAAACATTTTATTTACCTCGACGTTTCGCACGTACCTATTGCAATATCCATGGTCTCGAAGGGTCTGAAGAGGCGGGTATCAACATCTTCTAGCTGTGCGAGTTTTTCTAACTATCCGCACTTGATATTTGTGCACTGGGGTCGTCACTAGACCGACACACAACACTGACGATATCCGGCAACGTAAGGGACATCAAGTGAGTAAGGAAGATCCCTTCCTTACTTCCAGTCCCTTCGAGACCATGGACGTTGCATTACGTCCGAAACGTCGAGGTAAATAAAATATGTTTTTTTTATACACGATTAAGTCTCTAATAATCTCCTATTTCAGCATAAAAAGTTATCAACTAATTTCGCTTGAAAAATCTTTAAACCTCTCTCCTGAAAATTTATCTTTTTGCCTATGTGACCTTATTACACCAAGAGTGTAATTTTAGTTTTAATTTATAATTCATGTAGCAACATCGAACTTTTTTATATAATATCAAGTAACGAGACGAAAAAATCGTGCGCCTGGTATATTTATTTGACGGATTATACTACGAACAATCGCGCTACAATTACTGTATATGATACAATAATATGTATATTTTCGGTAACTTTTTGACCGAATTTGATAAAACATCCTCTTTAGCGTGAATGGACGTAAAAAACAATGACGATGGTAAAATGTTATGTATAGCCCTCCTTATTACAACTAGCTAATCTACGCTGAAAAGGTAAAACGTCTATCGTGCATTATGAAAATATTACAGGAGAGCGCTTTAAAATATTATTTTTAAGAAAGAAAAATCTCTAATTTTTTTTTGTTATATGGCAAACCTAGTTTTCCATGTAAGAAGTAAAATAAGTCATAATTTTTTTTTCTTAAAAAAAGACGTTTTACCTTTCCAGAGTCGTACCGACATTTTTGGCGAAATTGAGTCATTGACATATGTTATGGAATCTGCGGAACGAGATCTACAACCTCTTATAAGTGGTTTTTTGTATTTTATTTAGCTTCTGTTTTATGGTTAAGCAAAATCAGTGTAACGTAAATGATATTTTACAAATAAAAAAACTCTAGGTAATATCTCGAAAGTTAGCAAAATGCAAATGCGTTAGTTATGACAAGGAGGTCTGCGTAGCTCTGTTCAGAATTGTATGTTGTAATGTGACGTAGAAGCTGTAGGTAATTTCTAACTTACCCGCGCCTTTTCTTTCTCCGAATTTGATTTTGATCGAAGGGTGTGGTTGATCCAGCATTGGTGGCCAAAATGTCGGCCATTACTGGCGCTGCTTTCACCACGTTTTCAAATGATTTGTGATCTACCATTGGTCCAGTTTGTCTAAACGTAAAGATAATATTACAAAATAGTGTAGGTAAAATAATTCCTATTCGCTCCTAGAGCTTCTTGGACAATCAAATCGTTTAATACTCATTTGATGCTTTCTCAACTAGGACTGTTTTTAATTGTTGCTTCAAAGATAACAGAATGGTGTTAACAATGCAAATACTCGGCCAGCTAACAAGCTATCTAACTCAATGTTGGAAAAAAGACTGCAAAGCGGAAATGGGACTTGGCTTGACACGTCTGTCGCAAGCACCCACAGCGATGGCTCATACAGCCACTTGGTGGATGCCAGAGAACGGCCGGTGACGACGAGGTGGACCAAGAAGAAATGGGATGACTTGGATGCATCTATAAAGGACGGGCCTAACATTACGTCAGACCGGGAGCTGCGGAAGTCGAGAGGCTTTTTCCCAGCAGTTGAATACAACAGACTAACTAAAAAAAATTTAAGGACAAATACATCAAGGGACATGACGAAAAGCTCGCTCTAGGCGTACATATTTCAGCCAAATTTAGAATGTTCTTAAAAAGGTCGGGCCAAAAGTATCAATAATAAACGGATGTATATGAAAAGATTGATATGAGTAGAAGATGTCTACCCCAGAGGGAGAAGGGCGTGATGGACTGCATGTGTGTCAATATTTAATGCTTTTGAAAACCATATGACAGGAAAGCTTGCACCAAGAAGTAAGCAGTTTTAATTTTATAATATTTGTAATTGTCTTATTTATTAATAAAATATTCGGCACACTGCCGTCACGTAAACTATTTGTACAAAAACATTAAAGGTATGTTATTGTCAGGCTACAGAAAACAGAATAACTCAATTATTTAAAGAGTCATTTCTTCGTAAATATTTAAAACAATTCTTTGAATTTTAATTCAATCCGAAGAGTGTTAACTAAATGTTTTAGTACGAAATATGTCTACTTGCCTCTTCTCATCAGACTTCTTTGTATTTTTCGTAACATGTAAAAAAGTAGAGTTGTTGATAGTGGTAACTTTAGTCACTATTTTACTTGTTACATCTATATTTGGAGGTATTAAAGTCCCTTCTTTGTCATACGTCAAAGGATTAAATGCTCTTCTGTCTACTAATTCATCAAGTTCATCTATTGTTGTAATTCTAGCTTCGTTTTCCGTGTTAACGTTTTTCGTTGGCGTAACGTGAGTTTCTGTAATTGAAAATTCTAATGTAGACGTGAACGTGGTTTCTGTAAGTTATACAGCTACCGGTAACATATTATTTATAGAATTTGTATTATTGCTAGTTTCGCTTAGGATATCAATACCGTTGACATTTATATTGAGAAGCAAAGGCATTCTGACGAATTTCGGTAATCTGTTGAATATGTATGGCTAACGAGACTGAAACTGTCTTGTCCTAAAGAAAACGTAACTTTTTTATGAAACCAAGCAACGAGACGAGCAAGTTGTGCGTGTGGTGGTAAACGGCATTTCTGTCCATAACGGTTGCAGTTAAATCACAAAGATCTGAGAGACACTCCCACTGCGCCCGTCAGCCTGAGACCTTTCAAAATCAAAACGCAACAATGCGCATATTACTACTTAGCGGCAGAAATATGTAAGGTGGCAGTACTTCCCTGGACGAACTCTTTCGCAAAGAGCTCTACTCCTATTAAAATCTTGTAGTCAACGATTGGTTTTATTCAGTAAATAACTATAATGGGAGTAAATATTGTTCAAAGGATCCACAAAAACGTAACCTTAACTGGACATAATAGAAAAGGAAAAAATAATAAGGTTCCCTTACCCTCATCAGTTACAGTAATATAGGAATCATCATCTGTAAACTCATTCTCGAATTCAGTTGGATGGGTATCGTTAACCATACTAATTGCCTCCCGTAATACTTCTTTACTTGAACTCTTGTTCAATGATCTTGTGGTAGCAGTTGTTGATTCAATTGAACTCAAAGTTGTAGGATTTTTGTTGATATTTGTTATTTTATTATTTGTTATCGTTTTGTCGAATGATGTTTTTACTTCTTCGGAACTGTGTAACACCGTTAAAAACTTATTTTAATCATTGTTTAACATTTTTAAATAGAAATGAAGTTAAGATGTTAGGTGTTTCAATTTAAGCGTAAGGGTTGGTCAGTTCAATACTCAACAATTTCATTTTTTTACAACGTGCTTATGTTTGAAGTCCCGCCATCTATGTTTTCTAAACAAATTAATCGTCAATGCGAATAATAATTTCATAAATAAAAATAAAACTCGTGTTTTACAAATAAACTTACATAACTTAAAACCTTCAGTTGTCTACCCTTGCTTTTCACTACATATCAACAATTTTATTCATTTATTTATAAAGCATTGGCTTCAGAGCCATCAGCTTAATGGTAACAAATAATCAAAAAAACGCACAACGTAATATACATACATAAACTAAAAATTAATTCGTTTAAAAAATGTGACTATTAAAACCCGCCATTTTCATTTCTTCTCTATCAACAGCAACATTGGAAGCTTTTTTTTAATATAAAAGTCCATGCGCTTAAACGTTTTTCTATACAACTTTGATAGCTTCAAACTAAAAAGCGTTTCAAAAAGCACGTCTTATTTAAAAAAAAACACTTTTTTTAATATTATCAAGTGATGAGACGAACTAGTCGTGCTCCTGATGGTAAGCTACATGCTTGTCCGTAACAGTTGCCACTCAGAGCTTAAAATTGCAAAGATCTGAGGGGCACTGCCACTGCGCACGTCACCCTGAGACATATGTTGACTAGTCTCATGTGCCTGTAATTTCACCATCACCACGTTTAAGGCTCAATTTATATTGCGGCGGCGCACAGTGGGCCCAAATTGATAATTCTTGGATATAGCAATAACTTGGAGAGTAATTTCTTAAAAAGTTGATAGTTTCGGAGAAAAGAAAAGATTTCTTTTTGTATGGAGAAATATACATTTTATTTTTATCTCAAAATATGCAAAAAAGTAATGTACGTGGGTTAGTTACAGTATAATTCCAATCATTTTGTATGTAGAAAAAAAATTTTTTTCTCCGAAACTATCAACTTTTCAGGAAATTATACAAGAATAAAAGTTGTTAGGAATGTTATTATCTATCATATAAAAAAAATAGCTCGATACTCCATAAGTTATTCCTGTATCCAAGAATTATCAATTAGGGCCCACTGTGCGGCGGAACAGAAGCGAATTTTTGTAACGATGTAGTTGTACATGTACATCGTATTGAATCTCACGTGATAATAAAGTCTTGTAAAGACATCTCGCAGTACCGCATAATACGACTTATAAAATTAATTACTCTAATTTACCTTTCTTCAATTAAACGGAACAAGTCTTCACTCCTTAAAATCGGTGTAGCGCTCTTTGTTGTTGTATCTGTTGTGGTTTTAATATCTTCGAAATTATTCGTCTTCATGTTGTTAAATAGTGACCAATTTGATGCGAGATAAGCTAAAATATTAAGCTTTCTTAGAATGTGTATTACAATAATACCTATAGTTGTACAATTACATCATGCATCAAGTCAAGCAACGAAATTGTAGAAGCACAACGCAGAACTCTCTTATATTACGTGAGTACGTATTAGGGTAATTGTCAGATTAGTTGTCTCTACCTAATTTCGGTGGCATTTTTTATTATTTAAGTAATCGCGTATAATATCGTATCTATCTAATTTTAAGTTAATGATAGTTGCAGAGCAGATTAAGAAAATTGTTCTACTATTCCAATTGACAATTTTATACAGGTATTACAACTTTTATCAAACTAACTACTATAAATGTAATATTCATACGAGTTAAAAACCACAGAACAATAAAAAACAATGTTTAGGATGGATCTTTCAAGAAGAAGGAAAAGTAGAAAATCCATAAATCCATAAAACATAAATATATTACTACGTTGCAAAAGTGATTTTTTTTCTTCTATAGTAAGCATATTAATAGCATACCTACTATTTATTTTAATCAATGCCATGTAAATACGCTATTTAGAATAAATACAAATTATTAAATTTTTTAAGCTGTAAAAATTTCCAAAAAAATTATCAATACAAACAGATATCGAAAGTCTGAAAATAAAATCCGAACTATGTGGCAAATTATACAAGATGAAACCAATAAAAAACCCCATAGTACACATCAGAATATAACACTACAGTCGAATAACGATACTATTGACGACCCAGAAGAGGTAGCGGTTTATTTTAATAATTTCTTTGCATCAATAGGTAAGGCAATACCAAATCAAGTACAGTCTCCCCTTTATACTGATAACTTAATTGAAAATACCTTTTTCCTAAAGCCAGTAGATTTACAAGAAACATATAACATTATCAAAAATTTAAAAAACAAAAAAAGTTTTGGAATTGATGAGCTCCCGTCCTCGCTAATAAAAACATGTGTGTCTGAGCTAACCATCCCATTTACAATACTCATAAACCAATCATTTAAGGAGGGAACTTTCCCAAACGCGTTAAAAACATCCTTGATTAAACCCGTTTACAAAAAAGGAAATAAATTTGATCCAAGTAACTATCGTCCCATTGCTCTGCCTCCTTCATCATCAAAAATAATAGAAACTGCAATGGTAAAACGTCGAAACTCCTTTTACGAAAAATATAATATTTTCAACGATTGCCAAAACGGCTTTAGGAAAAATAGATCAACCATACTTGCAATTTACAAATATTTCCAAATAATCCTAAACTCAATAAATTCAAAAAAACATGCAATTGGGCTGTTACTAGACATGAGTAAGGCTTACGATAGGGTAAACCATAATGTTCTGTTACACAATCTGTATATAAGTGGAATTCGTGGAGTGCCACATCAATGGTTTAGGTCATATTTAGAAAATCGCTCTCAAATTGTAGAAATCCAAAACACAAACCTTAACACAGGAGAAATTAAAACATACAGATCTTTTGAAATACTAGTGAATAGTTCCATCCCACAGGGCAGTGTTTTGGGATGTACACTCTTTTTAATCTACATAAATTCACTTCCAAATGTACTTAATAATCAATGTACAATCTTTGCTGATGATGTCTCAATTTTATTATCATGCCAAGACGAAAATGAGTTGAACTCTAAATTGGACCCTGTACTAAATAAGATCACAAATTGGCTCGACATACACAACTTGGAAATTAATATTGAAAAGACAAAACTAATACAGTTCAAGCCCTATCAAAAAACCCCGTTAAATATTAATTATAAGTATAAAAACCAATCTCTACAAACAGTAACATCCACAACGCTGTTAGGTGTGGAAGTTGACACGAACCTTAGCTGGAAACCGCATGTTGAAAAGTTAGCAGCTAAACTTTCTTCTGCGACTTACGCACTGGGTCATTTAAAGAGGGTCACACACTTTAAAACAGCCCTGGCAGCATACCACGCGTACTGTCATGCCAGATTGAGCTACGGCATCATATTATGGGGAAATAGTACCGAAATCGACAAAATCTTTGTACTTCAAAAAAGATGTATACGCATCTTATTCAACCTTCAGCAAACAGACTCATGTAAGCCTATATTCATAGAAAACGGCATTCTTACTCTGACCTCAATATATATATTAGAATCATGTAAATTTGTTAGAAAGCACTCACATTTGTATTCCCCGATAAAGACAGTAAAACGAAATAATAGAACCCAAAATAAAATTAAAGTACCTTTTTCTAAATTAAAAACATGTACGGCTGCTCCACATTCCATGGTTATCAAAATATACAACGAAACACCGAATCATCTTAAAATTATACGGAATTATACAACATTTGTAAAACATCTACAACAATTCCTTATAGAGAAAAGTTATTACAGTATTACTGAGTTCTTCAATGACATAAATAAATAAAATACCTAAATTTTAGAATATTTTTAACGTTTCGGTTAATATATTGTAATGAATTTAGACATTCAAATGCAAATAAAGAATGGAATGTCGACAAAAAAAAAAAATTGGACATGAAATAATAAAATTAACATTTAGAAGTTGACTTTAGCCTTTATATTTTTATTATCCAAATTATTATTCATTGACGACAACATTGTTCGATAAAATTGTTATGTGAATTAGAATTAATATAGTTAACAATAGTATAATGAAAAATTTTATGAATGTAATGACAAAACGCTAATTATTAATATGTATATAAAATGCATATCATAAGTACTTTGCAACGCCCTTACAGGGTATCGCATGTAGTTCCTAACATAGTTCTAAGATACTATAACACTACATGTAAAAAAATTCTTCTGTTATACTTTACCTATAATCCTAACTTATTTTTCACTAAAAGTTAATAGTATAGTTATACTTTCTGTATAACCAGATCAATCAAACAATTTAAAAATTTAACACATATCGTATTTTATATTTACAATGCAACAGAAAGAATTTATTACTTCATCACACTTCTGCAAATGAATTCTGCAAGTACGGTCGCATTCGCCGTTGTTCGTTGGGTCGAAGGAACCGGAATATATTTTTATTATCATCAAATTTATGTTTATTTAATAACAATTATAGTAAGCGATATAAAGGCGATATAGTCTTTATTAGTAATATTTTTCGTCCTTCAGGTATGGCGTCTAATTAGCCATTTTGCTACTTCATTGATTTTTTCAATCATTTTCTTTTTATTTTTTTTTGTCGTTATGTGTTCTTTCGAAAAAAGCAGAAATACGTATTAAACTACGTAAATAAATAGATATAAATATTTATATGTATGAAATACAAAAATAAAAAGTATTCTATATTTTTTAAATGTAGAATAGTTTTTAACATAAACATAATGTGCCAAAAGGTGCCAATGATTTCCATTTGAATTCTAAAGACAAAAAGTTTTTCTCTGTTCCTTCTGTCTGATGTCACATAAAAATGCTGTGTTTTCCCTGTTAATAGGATTTTTCATTGACTTTTTACATTAAGATAGATAGATATTCAAATTCACATTGTATTGAATATTGTAATGTTCTGTTGGGATACCAAATAAATAAAGTAATAATAAATAAATTTTCGTTGAGTTTTTATAGTTTATACTACATACCGCTGGAATTGTGATCAACATTTGACATTCTAAGTAATAAGTCCGAAATATTTCTCGAGTTTGACTTCTGTATATTATCGATTCCATCCTTCACGGAACCTGTTGTATTGGTGAGAGATTTCATTAACTGTTCAACATCATCCCACTCAATATTCTTTGTTGTTTTATCAATTGAGACTGCTTGTTTTTTTATTGTTGTGCTGTCAATTGTATCGTTTAAATAAATATCAACGTTTTCCTCTTCATAAGGTGATTTTCTTGTGAAATGTGTTCCCTTTTTAGGTAAATAATTTCTTACTTTGGCTGTTTTGTCCAGTGAGTAAGAGAAAGTTAATCTGCAAATTGTTTCGGTTAATTTATTACAAGTAATTTAAAGAATGTAAATATTTATAAAATAATAAATTGCTTTGAAACTTTCTTGTGTTTTATTTTGTTGTGTTTTTTAATTATCAAAGATTTTAACTAAATAAAATGAAAAAAAATATAATACCTCATTTTATTTATAATACGTAGGCCAGGCAAGACGAAATATTATTTCAAACATACTTGTAATGGAAGAGCACAATAACCTTGAACACTACACTTTGCACTTTAGGCCGTCTTTATAGATAGCGGCATAAAGTTGAATTCAAATGAAGTCATGTCAAGTTTGACATTGTCTTGAACCTGTATACCTTACGTCTTTTGAGATACCAGTTACACGCTATGGTCCACAAGTTCTAGAACTGTCTTAATATCCCAATATAGGTTGTACTTCAGTTTTGAGTTTTGCATTTTCAATATAAAATGCACCTTTGTATAAAGTCCAATAACTTGAATTGAAACTATTTTAAGAACAAGCTGTAGTACAGGAGTACCTACATGAAATTGAGCAACAGCGGAAATCGCGAAATAAAAAACTTTCTTACCAAAAGATTACACGACTAAAATGTTATAGTTAGTGGACTATGTACATTATAAGCGTGATGTACAAGTCAAGCGTAGGTAGGTATCAAATTATTATTATTACCTAGGATCTGGCGTAAAGTCTGCAATATCGTAATCGAGCTGAAAGCGAAGCCCTTTATGTTGCCGGGAAGATGCGCCGAAATCGGTGCCGCCAACGTGTAGTTTGTCTAACGACGGCGACGACTGCATTCCGAACTGTACCACTGGCATTACTGACGTCGAATACTCTACACCCGGCCTTTAAAAAATAGTAACGTATAATAATACAATAATGCAAATGTTTTTAAATTAATACCTAAGTTGATTGATAGATAGATAGATATATAGATAAAATGTTTATTGTGTTGCATCACACACATAACAATATAATACAGTAAATGAATTAAAGGAGAAACAGAAATCAAAATTCGAGAAAATGAAACAAAAACAAACAACAAAAGATAAATAGGAAATGAAACTCTTTTTCCGGATTTAAATCGCCTATATTTGTTTTTTCAAACAAACCGACGTTTCGGGCTCTTTACAGGTCCCATGGTCACGGTTGAACCGTTTCATTTCCTATGTGTAACAATCGCGAAAACCTAAGAACTCGATAAACAAAAGATAAATTTAAAAAAAAAACAAAAACAATACTAACCTAGTAATCAATGGCTTGTGTGTGCTGCTGCAAGTCAAATAGGTATAATCGTAGCATAATGCAAAATTTGCCAAAAAGCATATTTAATTTTCAGCCACTACCTTCGAGGGTAACGCGTTGCGGTGCATCAAAAATAAAAACATCGTAAGTGATAAATATTATGTATAATGAATTAATTAATGAAATTATAATTGTTTGAAATTTTAATTACATTTTAGCTACGTTGATTACAGGATTACTATTCTTATTTTATAAAATTTTGTTATTGAAAGAATAAAAATTGTAAAAAAATATAAATCAAATATTTATATTTTTTTATTCTTCAAAAAAAAGGAAAGAAAGGAAAGAAAGGGAAGAAAGGACGGGAAATTCAACAGTCGAATCTGTGTTGAATTTTCTCCGCCTGTTCTTATTTTACTCATATGCATTTACAGCGTGCGGATTGCGGGAAGCGAGAGACGAAGGATCTCGTTATCGACTAGTTGAGACTTCCTATTTTGCAGAGGTGGCCCTATTACACCAAGGACGCGCATTTTTTTTTTTCATTACGCTTTATTATGATCGCTAACCACCTCTTTCTTTGTGGTCAATGATCCTGTAGAGTGACGTGCCACCTAACTCTGTAGTACAATATTGTTAGTATACGAGTATAGAGGTTAATAAAAGGACATTATTAATGACCCGCGTATTTTTATGACCGCTTCCTGGTCACTCACGACTAGAACTTGCTCCCGGGAATACCCGGTTCTGGAAATCCCGGCACTGGCGAGACGCAATCTGTCCCGGTACCGCCGATTATAGATTCCCGGTACTCCCGGTTATAACAAGGACATACCTACCTATTGAGCTATGAGTAATACCGCCCGTTGCAACTTCACACGAGCGTACGTTACTACTGCCATTATAATGCTACTTAGACTTATTACTTAACTACAACGTGATTTTACGATATGGTGTTATGTTAAATTTAAAAGTAATTACTCGTATCTCTCAAACAAATATTTTGAATAAAAGCCTTTAGTTTGATTAGAGAATGAGGTTTTTCTTAATTATTTATGGTGTTATTATTAGTAAATTATTGAATAGGTACGGTTAACCCGGAAAAAGTATACTTACTGCTTTCAGTTTAAGCTTTCAAAGAAGTACCAGGACCACCTGGAGCAAGTACCGGTACCGGTTCGCCAAGTCCTACTCACGACTATCCCATTTATGACCCGGAAATACAACTAAGGCAACAAAAAGTTACCTACTTTGGAGCAACGTCGTAAAGAAGATCGAAATTCTCGTGAAACTCAAAAGCTCTCTCGGGCAAAGAATCACTCTCCACGTATCGTCCAGAAACGTTCATAAGCGGTACTTCGATTCTGATGAAATCACCTTCATTTTGTTTATAAACTGCTTTGGTTTTTGCAGCATTGGTGGATGCGGTAGTTGTTTCATCATTACTGTAATACAATAATATATTGTATAATGACATCGGGTAGTTTGCCTTATTCCAGTGTGACCATCGGGTAGCTAACGAATTTTATATCTACGTATTTTGCTACAATAAAAAGGGATATTGAAAAAAGATCATAACATAAATTCAACCAAAAACTCCGCACTTACATAGTAAGACAAATATGGTAACACTATTCATACGACATTATAGATTTAATTAGATTTCTGTGATTCATACGGAGCATCGCGGCTTACATGTGTGCACCGTGTACGGACGCACACATGCGCTTATAAGTCTAATACTACCTTAAATGACTTTGGTTGATTCTCACTACTCAAAGTATATTGGGAGAGAAAAACGCATTGAATTGGAGAATAGCAAAATCAACCAATAAAATAATTGCTCCTTATAATAAAATTTAGGCACTATTTATAAAAATGAATCTTCATGCGTGAACAGCCACCCTTAGAGGTAGATGATTTTCTTCAAAATTAAATAGGACCATTATGGAGGCACCCTCTTTCCAATAAAAAAAGAATCATGAAAATTGGTTCACAAATACCGGAGTTATCGCGTAACATACATACACAAAAAATCATACAGTCTAATTGAGAACCTCCTCCTTTGCAGTCGGTTAACAATGTACAGAGGAGTCCGTAACTGTCCCATTGTCACCAAGAAGTAAGAATCAGATGAGGGGATCCCATGGAAATCGAAAAAGCCGATAAGCAAACTTTTGTGGTCGGTTTTTTTTTTCAATAAAAAGTTACAATTATTTTTTTAAACGTTCAAGTCGTGTTTTCTAATTTCCGCAATTTTGAATTACACACATTATTTAATTTCGTGTGCGATATTGTGGATAAATACTTACTAATCATAATCATAATTAGCTGTTGTCGTCGTTGGGGGCCGAGTTGCCACCGTATATACAACGGGGGAACTAGGATTGTTATGCTTCAGTACGGAGTCGGGTATCGGCCCCCAATAACCGCCGAAGGTTTCTCCAAACTCGTATACTAAAACTTGATTCTCGTCATCGCTACATGTGAACTCATTGTTGTTTTGGGACGATACTTGAGTCACTAGAATAATATTGCTTCCTGACTCCGTTCTGCCAAATAATTTAACTTTTGTAGATTCTGACCTTCCTTAAATCTCAAATAAAGATGAAGATAAATTTATTTCAATATAACTTAATCTTATACAATACAAGTAAAACAAATCTAAATAAAGCTGTTATAGTATTCAAATAAGCATTAAGAAGCGAATCTAAATTATACATTATTCCAAAGCTACACATTATATGTATTTTTCTTCCACTCTCCCCCATCAGCCGTCATTTTTATACTCACATCTTTCTTATCCATGTCATCTTTCACACAATCCATCCATTTTTTCTTTGGCCTTCCTTTCCCCTTATATCCCTCCACATTCATACCTAACACTCTTCTTGGCACATGACATTCTTCCCTCCGCATGACATGTCCATACTAAGCTAACCTAGTACTCCTCATCTTTTTCGTCACTGGCGCCACTTTCAAACTTCCCCTGATGTACTCATTCCTTGTCTTATCCTTTCTCGTTTCTCCACACATCTATCTCAACATTCGCATTTCCGATACATGCACAGTTCGTTCATCCTCCCTTTTCATCGCCCAACATTCTGATCCATACAACATGACAGGTCTAATCACGGTCTTGTAAATTTTCCCCTTTAGCTTAAGAGGTATTCGCCGATCGCAAATAGTGCCTGTGACCTGTCGCCATTTCAACCATCCTGCCCTTATTCAGTTCTTAACGTCGCGGTCTATCTCGCCGTCGTTCTGTATTAACGAACCGAGGTACCGAGAATCGGAGCAGACTGTTAGGGATACACCATCTAAGGCAATATTGGTAAAACTGGAGGCACCGCCAAAGTCGAGGAAAAGCTGTTCGGTTTTTGACCGGCTAATCCTCAACCCGACACACTCCAGTCTTACCTGCCATTTTGCCAGTCTGCTCTGGACCTCAAGCTCAAGAGCATCCTCCCCGACAAGTACAATATCGTCGGCGAACAGCATGCACCAGGATGCCTCCTCCAGTATGTCCGATGTTAGAGCATCCATAATCAGGAGAAACAGATAGGGGCTTAAAGCCGATCCTTGGTGTAAGCCCACGGCCATATTGAACTTGTCGGTAACGCCGGCTTCAGACCGGACGTACGTACAAGTACGTCTACTATATATAGCACGGACAAGCTGCAGGTATTTCCCAGGCACTGTCTTCTCTTTCAACGCCCAGCACAAAACCTCACGGGGTACTCCGTCGTACGCCTTCTCCAGGTCAACGAACACCATGTGCAAGTTCTTGTGCACACGTCTATATTTTTCGCACAATTGGTTATAGGTTAGAATTGAACTGTACTATTTATAGTACTTTACAAATCCGTAAATAATCTCTAGCGATTATACTGATCGTTCAAATCTATTTTCTTCGTGCCTCAATTTGTAGTTAGCAACTCTTGCCGCAGTAAACTCCTGGTACACAAACTGTTATAAATACTTCGCTGAAATAGCTTAACATTTATTGCAGTTTAAAATAGTAATATAATATCTATCTTAAGTGATGGGACGAACATGTCGTGCGCCTGATGGTAAACGACACGCCTGTCCATAACAGTTGCAGTGCCACTCAGAGTTTTAAATCGCGAAGATCTGAGGTGCACTGCCTCTACCATCACCCTGAGACATAAATTGAAAAGGCCCATGTGCCTTTAATTCCACCAACACCCATACCCTTCAAAACCTAAACGCAGTAATGTTCACATTACTGCTTGGGGGCAGAAATATGTAAGGTGGCAGTACTTCCATGGACGAAATCTTTCACATGGAACTCTACAGCTACTGAAATGAGTTTAATTTAAGAATTGGTGTACCTACCTAATGCTAATATAGCAGCTATAGGGCACATCTAGCTGAGAGAAGTGCAGAATCTGCGAATTAGCTTCCACCACATGTCTTCCAAGAAATACCGACGGCATCACGCGTCGTCTACAATGCTCTGACAAGTCAACTTGATACACGAACTTGCGAACAGAGAGCCCCCCTCGCACCGCATCTAACCAAATTAATATTAGAGATGCGTATTTAATGAACCACATCTTGATTATGTTGAAAACGGTCATAGCCGCATTGATTTGATGAAATAAAAACTGTCACCGGTTGCATGAAACTCCATTTTATTGACGATTATTAGTACAGATCTCTTTTTCTAATTGATGGTGACAAACAAACAGTAGAGCTCCTTGAGAAACAGTTCGTCCAGGGAGCTATTACCACCATATAGGTAATGTGAGCATTATTGTGTTCCGGATGTGAAGGGTAAGGGTGCTGGTGAAATTTTAAATAGAGGCACATGGGACTTGTTAACTTATGTCTCCGGATGAAGCGCGCAACCCTACCTAAACCCTATCACCAAATAACGTATAAATAAAGGCATGTGAAATAAATCTCAACCTTAAAAACTTGTTTAGAGCCTTAACGAGTTTTACTGGCAAAAACATCTTTGCAACTTCAATTTTACTTACTTAAAACCTGGCCGGTGTAATCTCATAGGAACGTTTTTTTAGGTGGTGTTTGGTTTCTAGTTTAACTTTACTTATTATTATGTTTGCAACGAAAGCGACATAACATTCAGTGATCCTGTATGTAAGCTACGAGTATAAGGGTAAAGTAATAAGTAGTTGGTGTCCAAGTGAAGCATGTCGTAATAATAAATTGAGAAGAGCTGTCGTGTGGCGCAAGCGCACGAATATGATGTGGGTCGCGTGACCCGCACCGCTCCAGCTTTTTATGATCAAACATAAGGGTGCCACCTCTGTTGTAGTGAACCGCCGCCGCCACCGCCGTTAAACAATGCAGTCGATGTCAGATTTATATGTAGATATAAATTATATGTCTTGTTTATATGCTGAACAAAAACGTACTTAGCAGGTACGTACCTACTGTTTTTATTATAGGTACCTATTCTTTGTATGATGATTGGTGGTCGGATAATCGCATGCTTATTTACCCAATTCAGTTGCTCGCTAACACGGAATGCACTTTGTACCTATCGAAAAAATTCCATGTCACTGGCATTGACGAAATTATGTATTCGTTTAAAATGTATAGTCATAATATATAGCAAGACAGTGGAAAATCTAAAAACTACGGACACCAAGAAACATTTTGTTATTCTAATTAAAGAAAGAGTGAGTGTAAGTGAAATAGGTAGAATTGTAAAAGCTGTGAGAATAAATGGAATGGTTCAATTCCTGGTATACACTTACCCAATTGTCTGTGTGTGCTTTAATTTTCTACAGTTAACAATATTGGAAAACATGACATCTCATGAAAACCAGAGCGTGAAAAAAGATTGTAAAAAGTGTTGCAAAATCTTAAATTTGCATTCGGACCTTTTTTCGAATCGACCCTAGACCTTAGAGGATGGACAAAAATAAAATAGTCTAAGCCCTAGACTGATTCACTTTATATCTATACCTATTTATGATCATTGACCTCAACGTTTTACTGCAGGAGCTTTTAAGTAATGACCATTATGTAATTAAAAAAAATATATAGGTAAATGGTTAAGCATTATTTTAGATACAAGAGTTTCTAGACGTAATAATAAATTAAGTAAGTATACACAATGGAGATGACATGCTTATTCAATTATGAAATTTAATGTTTGTATGCTAACTTTAATTGAATTACATTTTAAACCAATTTATTGCCGCAACTGTCTTATACAAATACAATGTGATATTTGTCCTTCTTATAATACCTTCTACAATTTTAATTCATAGACGCATATCTATAATCCACATAAGATAATCCAAATAAGATAATTGCTATAATCTATAATATAAATAACCTGTATTAAACATATATTCACACAAAATGATATTGTAAATACTCAAACTTTTCTCTCAAGATTTCTTACCAGCCAGTGCTTTAAAATTTAAAATGTATATAAACAGCTGATTGTATGTCAGTGTCTAGGGATGAGCAAATGATAAAAATATATCGATATATATATTGTATCGATGTTTACAAATAGCATCGAAATTAATCGAGATCGAGTATCGATATTTCGATATTTTTACCAAAGCTAGTAGTTACCTAAAAATATTCCCAAACTATATTTATTTAGGTATACATAAAGTAAAATTTGGGAAATTAAAGGCAAGTCGTGGTATACCCGAATTACGCTGTAGACTTGAACGTGTTAAAGATTTAAAAAATATTAAAGCATGTAAAAGTACTTACTGTTAAGCGAACAACGTGTGTAAGCATTGATGTGTGTTAATTACTGTACTGTAAACAAACTGGACCTTAATGTTTCAAAATGCTACATGAGTACCTATACTCGACAACCCACAAAAATATTATATAAATACACATTTTATAATGCTTCGCTGGCTAGAGTAGACTCGATTAAAGATTTAGGGGTAACTTTTGATAGTAAATTGTTGTTTGATCAGCACATTAATAATACAGTCAAAAAAGCATCTCGTTCGCTAGGTTTTGTATGAAGAATGTCGTCGGAATTTAAAAGTATCAAAACTCTTAAAATACTTTTTTGTTCTTACGTACGTAGCCATCTTGAATACGCCTCCCAGGTGTGGAATCCTCATTATGATGTGTATTCCGCACAATTATGCAATATCGAGCCGGTATATTTCTGCCAGACTATGAGACTAGGTGTCACAAATTTCACTTTCTGCCATTATAAAAACGGAGAGAAATGGCTGATTTGACTTACCTACCTAACATAGCAAACGGCACTGTCGATTGCCCTGAACTCCTTGAGCATTTTAAGGCACTGGCTGGTAATAATAATTACCTTACTATATGGCTGGTATAATAATTACCTTTTAGATCGATAATTCAATATTTGCAAAATGATCGAATGACTCGAAACATTTTCTATGTCATCGATAAATTGAATCAATCTGATTATCGTGAAAAATAGAAATGAAGGCGAGAGTGAATAGACATTATTTAGGTGTGCACGCTCCATCGTCGACCTGTGATGATGAGATGGAGGTCAAATGCGCACTTATATGTATATTTCATAAAAAAAAATAATTACAGGTACACATGCTCTTTAGTAGCATGCTAAAAACCATGCTGATAAGCACGCTTAAAATGAGCATGATGATATGTATACATAATGTGCCATTAAGTAGCATTTGCTCGAAAATCACATTCATGTTACGAATGAGCATGTGTATCTGTAGGTACTTTGTAATTTGTAATTAACACAAAAAATAAATTTTAGATATATGGAACGTAATTCCATTCTTGGCTAAACTGTGTATGCTGAGTAGCAGTAGAGAATAGACTATTTTTTAGAAGTTTGTGCGGTGCTAGACGATTTATTTCGTGGAGCACTTGACGCGATGAATTCGATAGTAGAAATGAAAAAAAAACTCGATTCAAAAGTAATATTTATTGTTCTCGGTATTTTTTACGTGCTGTGTGCTCCAATGGCGGCTTCCCACGGTCCATGAGATCACGGGCTACACCGCGCCGATTTGTACGGGCGAGGTCGCGCCACAGGCCCATAGGTACAATACAATGCGAACCCGTGCCGGCACGTGGCGGCACCTTTGACCACGGCGCGACAGCGCTAGCTCGCACAGCACGGTCCGTGATAACACGGCAGTAGCGAGCCGTCCATATAACTCGATTCCACCTGCTTGCCTAAAATATTCTGCGTATCTATTACCAGTGACAGGGCAGCGCGCATACCCCACCACTTAAAAAACATTCATTCAAAATATTCATTATTAAACGCGTAATAACTTGTCCTGATGCATCTCGACCAATCAGCGCGAGGTAAGCCAGTGGATCTGCGAGTTCTATTTCATTCATGAAATCTACGGGCTCCCATCAAAATATTACGTATATAATATACGCACATATTCGCAAAAATCAGCTTTATAACATCTAAAGAAATGGCAGCCGAGAAGCCGCAATGGTTCACTTAAATTTAAACCTTATTCCAACAATTTATAGTTTAATGTCAGAATCCTTGCCATATGTAGAACTTTCTTAAAATAATGTAACAAATTTATTATGATAGCATATTAATACAAAATATGGTCAATTTGTATTTTGTAAATCTTAACGATAAATAATGTTACATACGTGTCTATATATATTTGGGTGTTTCTTATTAATAGGACTACGTAAAGAATGTATGTAAAAGGTCATGGTAATTCGTACGTAATTAAAATAGCAACACTTAGCATTCATGATTTTGTTTACAAACTTTCGTATCGCAACAGGCATCTTAAAATGTAAAATTATTATAAAAGCTATGGTTATTTTATGTGTAGACTAAGCATACCTGTGAATTGAAGTGACCTAGTATCTTGTGTGCTAATAAGTGTTGTGTTTAAATGTCGCCAAGACGCTTTTTTAACGGGAAAAGAAATTTTTGTTAAAGTAACTATTTTTCGTTTTTTCAAAAGCTTCGGCCTTACTAAGGAAAATTTTTACACCTCGCCACTGCAACACGGCCATGGGGAATCAGCATAGGATGTATTGGTATTATTTTCAAATATTCGTAAAGCACTTGCTGTGTGGCTACGATAAAAAAATATCGAAATTGGTACTTAAAATACATCGTTTTTTGATATATCGACTTTAAGAATATCGACAATATATATCGATTATTTTATGAAAAAAAATAGCGCTATTTTGATATATCGATATTTTTTACCATCCCTATCAGTGTCACTGTCAATGGCTAAAAGTGAGGTTAAGTCACGGTAAGTTATGTGATCGTAGAATTTTCGACGTTTGATTATTTATTGTCGTTATTTATTATATTTATGACATAAAAAGCAGTCAGAATGATTTTATCGGAATATATAGCGTCACTGACGCAGAATCCCTATTTCGGAGCTGGTTTTGGACTGTTTGGCGTAGGTGCAGGGGCAGCAATATTACGAAAAGGGTTTCAGACTTCTATGATCCTATTTAGAAGACATTGTATGATAACTTTGGAGGTTCCTTGTCGCGACAAGTCATACCAATGGCTGTTACAGTGGATCACACAGAAAGGAGCTAAAAAGACCCAACACTTGAGCGTGGAAACTTCGTTCCTGCAAAAAGATACTGGGCAGATCAAAACCAAATACGACTTCATACCTAGTGTTGGACAGCATTTTTTCAGGTTTTATTGATGTTTTTTTTTATCATTTTATGCAAACAAAACCTTAATTTTTCTTAATTTTGTTTTCTTTAAATTCGAAATTTATAATACTTTTACCTGTTTATTATTAGGCTCAATTTATGTTGCGGCGGAACGGAGTGGATGCGAATTTTTGTAACATAGCATAATGAACTTTACCATCAATTGTGTAATGTACAAACTAGAAACAAGCCAAAAACTTCTACGGAATGCGCGAGAATTCTGTTAAAAAAAATCGCTACCACTCTTTTCTGCCGCAATATAAATTGAGCCTTAAAACTCATGTAGTACCTTCCTTGTCATAACTAATGCATTTGAATTTTGGTAAAAGTTTTTTTTTTGGTAATAAAAAATGTCAATTTAGCTGATTTTGCTTAGCAACAAAAGTGAAACCTGAGCCTCTCCACATGACATACCATTCCTCTCCTGTAGGTGTGGCATACATTACAGTGTATGCCATTAATATGAGATGAAGATTTACTATTGACAGTTATTCCATTGTACGGTTTGATATGAGAAAAATGATCTTTATTTAAAAATTCATACCAATAATGATTGTTTCCGTTTGTTAAGTTTTTCTTAGCTTAAAATGGATGATGTAATTTTTTAATACTGCCACTTTCATCTTATAATATCTTAAGTGTGAAAGTGTTACTTAATTATTTTCAAACCACACACTAGACCAAGAATGCCTTAGTATATAAGTATTGATAATTATAACAAAGTAGTAAATGGAGTAAATTTCACAAAAAATAAATGAATATATCATGCTAGTAAAACATTGTGACGTTCAATAAAAACTTAAAATTACTAAGAATAAATAGTTTAAAAAAACAAGAACATATGAAATAATTTTGTGTTAATGTTGTAGATATGGTGGTTCATGGATAAAAGTTGAGCGCGTAAGAGAGCAGCAAACTTTAGACTTACACATGGGTGTGCCATGGGAGACCGTCACCTTGACTTCGTTTGGCCGGGACAAGCAAATTTACTATGACATTTTAGAAGAAGGTAAACATAACTGCTGGTACCACACTAGTTCAAATCTAATTCTGAGTTGTAGTTCAAATGTAAGCCCCATTCACTAAAAAGACTGTGCAACTAACTAATTACAAAGTGGATGAAATTTATACTGTCTTTTAAACTTGCACCCTAGAAGCTGCAATTAAGTAATAAACACTCAGTAAAAATAAACAAAAACACAGGTAACTTTTGTAGATGCTACTTATGCTTTCACCTACTTTCAGCCAGAACAATGGCTCTTAAGCAACATGAAGGCATGACGTTAATGTACACGGCAATGGGTGCGGATTGGCGGCAGTTTGGACATCCGCGGAGACGCCGGCCGCTACATAGTGTAGTTTTAAAGGAGGGACTCGGTGACCGCATTTTACAAGACTGCCTAGACTTTATTGATAATCCACAATGGTATATTGACCGTGGAATCCCATATAGAAGAGGTACAACTGGGTTTTATTTATACAACTGAATTCAAAACAATTTGCGATTATTTTTTAGATGCAAATAAGGCTGTTACTTATGTACAAATACGAGAGCGATGCCACACAGGCGTTGCCTGTGCTTTGCGACGCGAGCAATGTGGTGTCGCAACGTAGTTCTAATTTATATGTAATACTTCACAGCTTTGCAACGCCGACGCAATGCATCATGTGGCATCGCTCTAAATATCTACTACGGTATTAGTAGGGTAGGTATTTATATTAAGTTAGCAAGGACATCTATAAGCTCAGCCCTTTTTAAATTATATTACACAACACAAGAAGCTCTAAGAGTAAAGACGATTGACCAGTTAACGCTGACTATTTATTTTATTTTAAAATTGAAATAACGGTGGGATTGCACAGGTCCACCTTTACAAATCGAAGCCTTACCTTCTCATACTCATATCTTATGAGTGAGTGTTCAGGAAATGGTAAAACTATTCACTTATTTTATCAAGGGTGTTAATTTACTTGCATTACTTTAAGAATAGGTAAAAGTCAGTGTGTGAATATGAAGGAAATGTGATGTGCAATCAGCCTGCAAAATTTGTATATATAATGCATTTTTTGCATTTCAGTTATTTTGTGCTTTCTCGTTGTCTTTATTTCTCAAACTTGTATCTTAAAAGACGAAATGGTGTTCATGTTATATCTTGTACTTTTAATATGTTTATTTATTTTAATCTTAGACAACGTTTATTCCCAGGCTACTTATTATATGGACCACCAGGCTGTGGCAAATCGTCCTTCATCATGGCGCTGGCCGGCGAGTTAGAGTATAACATCTGTGTCCTAAATCTCTCCGAAAGAGGTCTTACTGATGATAGGCTTAATCATTTATTGAGGTATTGTATGTATTATATTATTGAATGTATTATTACATTAATTGCACACCTGCAAAAATTCAACCTCTGAATTTCGTAATGTTCACTGTGCCTGTAAGTATATCAATGGATAGATAGATGAATGCTGTTAAATGATTTATTGGGACAGTCAAGACCGAATCAGACTTGCCAACTTGGAACATTCCTATCGCAAGCGGTATAGAGTTGATATAGCACGACAACACTGTGATGAACACCTTTTTCTAAATCTTGTTTGCAATCTGTAGGAGCAAGTACAATAATATTGTGACAAACCTACCTACGCTCCGAACGAGGTGTAAGCATTTACACTCTAAACAGGCGGGAGTAGTTGCACTACGTGTCTTATTGCACCTTTATTTATGATTGTAAGAAATAGTACACACACAATTATTGTAAACGTATTTAATTTTTTCCAGTGTCGCCCCAGAGCAATCAATAATACTCCTCGAAGACATAGACGCAGCGTTTGTTTCCCGCGCGGACACTCCCGCGCAGAAGGCGGCGTACGACGGCTTGAACCGGGTTACGTTCAGTGGTCTACTCAATTGCCTCGATGGCGTCGCGAGCACAGAAGCCCGAATCGTTTTTATGACTACCAATTATTTGGAAAGGTAGATATTATATCATTCCTCTCTACCTTAGAGCGGCTACACACGGTGACTTAGCAGCGCGCCTGCGGCGATTCAGTAGCGATGCAGTTGTTAATCATCTTTTACACACATGCGCTATTCAACATAAGCGACTGCGTCAATGCAGTCACGCGTTTGCATCGATACAACCTATAATAATATATTATATATAGATTTATAGACTATATATAATTTATATAGTCTATAAATCGCAAGTGTCGCGATGCAATCGCTCGTTTCTCAAACGCACGTTTGTATCGCAGCAAAATGTCGCCGTGTATAAACCGCCTTAATTTTCATTACATACTTGAATTTCTTTCAAACCCGGAATCTAGGAAGATATTGCGACTAGATCCGACTAATTAACTTTTTCTAAGCGCAATCAAATCTTAGCTAGTAGCTGTAGTTCTATAGAATAAGCTTATTTCAGCGTGGATAAAACATCCTTACCTATAACTTTAAAATGGCGTAACAACTAAATCTAGTTTGTTACGAGTAAAATCGACAAAGTCACGACTTTTTATAAGTGTAATCAGATGTGAGCTAGGTGCTGTAGTTCTCGAGATTGAGGAATGGTCCCGTAACTTTGTAACGACGACATTCTGGTGTCAATAAGGCGGGTGTACCTTTGTTCTGATAGATGTACTTTTTTTTTAAGCATAGGTACATACTGAATAGTACCATTTAGGTAAATTTTTTTGGTATCTTTATCAGGATTCGTTAAGATACACCTGGCGGGTGTATCTTAACGAATTGTTTGTTTTTTTATCCATTAAACAATGTACCAATGTTACGGTGTACCTTAAAAAGATTTAAATTCCAGGTTAGATCCAGCTCTAATAAGACCTGGACGGGTGGATATGAAAGAATACGTCGGCTACTGTGATCAAGCCCAAATAGAACTTATGTTCTTGCGGTTCTACAAGTCGCCCGACCATGCCAAGATATTTTCGGAAAAGTTTGTACCTTTCTTTTTCCTGTTTAGTGTAAATACGAAATAATAGTGGAAGTATGAAGTGGGCGGTCCCTCATAGCCATAGTTATTACTCATGAGTCTAGTTTGTACGTTACACAATTGACATAAAGTCCTTATGTCATGTACAAACGCTTCCATAGCCGTTTCGCGGCAATGTCAGATCTTTTTTATTACCATGGACCAAACAGAAGAGAACTGGTAATTTCCGTACTACAGTACGTACGTACGTACTCCTTACTTTCCCAACTCTGAAAAAGGTCAAAATCCCGTCTTATGACGGGTAGATAGCGCTGATCGATAGCCTGCAAGTAGTTTGTATTATATCCTGTTGAGTAATTTTCAGAGTAAAAAGTCCCGAAAAATTGAACATAATATGAGACTTCAAAGTCTCATATTATGTTCTACGTTTAAAAATATTTTTTGAAGTTTTATTTAGCGCGAATAATAAAATAACTTTTGAGATTTAAAATGATTTCACAACAGCAAAAAATATTTTTGATACTCCATCGTTTTCGTTCAGTAACTTCAACTGTTGACAGGTGTCAACGTCAAATGTGGAAAATTAAAGGAAAAATATGTCGAAAATATCCGAAAAACTAGGATTTTTTTATTTAACCGCTTACCCCTATATTTAATTAAAATAAACTAAAATTGATGTTTTTGCAAATTGTGGGAAAAAAACTCAAATTAACGGCGTCAATTAAATGACAAAAAAATGGCGAAAATGATAATTTTGCTCATTTTTATTGTAAAGATAAGAAAATTAATAATCTGTATTTCCACCATTAACACGAATCACACAATTACAGCGATTTGGCATGCTTAAGATGAGTTCATCAAAATCACTTTGAGGAATGGCCGCCCATGTGTTTTGTAACAAGTCAAAATATTGTTGTAGAGTATGTACGGTATGCATACTCGGCACAGCTCTTCTTTGAAGCATATCCCATGCGTGCTCAATTGGATTGAGGTCTGGCGATTGAGCAGGCCACGGCAGAACGTTGACACGAGCTTCGGCAAGAATGCGTGTTACGACTCTAGCCGTGTGTGGGCGTGCGTTGTCATGCATTAGTTGAAATGAATCACCCAACTGGCCTCGCAAAGGGATGATAACATCTGAAACAATCCTCTCTGCGTAAACTTGAGCATTGAGGTTACCCCTGATCCAAATGAGATCGGTTCTTCCGCCGATCCAAATACCGGCCCATATCATTATTGTTCCCCCACCATATGGATGAACTTCCTGACAATATCTCAAACGTTCATGACGTCCAGATGTTCTCCAAACTCGAGTACGTCTTGTATCCGGTCTCATACCGAAGCGGGATTCATCCGAAAAGCACACATAGCGCCAGTCTTCTTCCTCCCAGTTTCTGTATTCGCGAGCCCATCGTAAACAGGTCCTGCGATTGCAGGGTGTAATAGGTGGAACTCTGAGCGGCCTTCGGGATCGCAGACCCACTTCACGTACACGATTTCGGATTGTTTGATCGCTTATTAGCAAGCCTGAGGAGCTGTGGAGCCTCGTAACCAACATCATGGCGGTCATGGTACGATTCCGTCGAGCAGTATTTTGGATATACCGGTCCTGTCTGCGAGTCGTGATGCGAGATCGTCCTCCATGTCGCTCGGCCACGCTGCCCGTCATGCGATAGCGCGTCCAGAGGCGACTTATGACGCTCTGTGTAGTGTTAAGAGTGAAAGCCACAGCACGTTGCCTGGAACCAGCTTCCAACATTCCGACGGCTCGCATCATCACTTCTCGGGTTAAATGATGTCGTCTCTCCATAATAATGTAAATTGTTTCGGTTCAGAGCACAAAATTCTCTTTTAAAAACGGTTGAAATTAGTTCACGTGTTCGACTTATTAGAACTTACCCTAACGATGCATAGCTGAAATATCATTAAACAATTTCAATATTCTAAAACTGGGTTATGGTTTTTTATGATATCTAAAAAAAAAATATTTTGTCACTTAGCTGCGTTTGTTAGCAGACGGCAGATATACTATGTATACACAGTTACACCACCCAGTCTGAGGTATGCTGGCCACACTGTCCAACTGCCTTACGAGTCTCTCGGTCCGAACACATTCCATTAAAATGTGGTAAACGTCTAACTAACCTCCATTAAAAAGGTAAACGTCTTTGAAGGAATGTGCCTAGAGCTCAACCCCGCAACCATCACGACACTAAATCAATCCACGGAAGTTCCAGTGACTCATGTTGTTTTGTACCAGATACCTTTTTCTTTGCACCTCTCATCAAAGTATTCGTTCCCCAGCTCGAGGCAATAAGTTTTAACTTTATATAAACAATCGGGCAACAGAGATATTTTATCGCCATTACAATATGCTCGCTTAATAAGTGAATCTATCTTCTGCTTACCAACAATATCATGTGAGGATGTCCACTGACGCCCGACTGTTTTAGATTTATGTTGTAATTCTAAAGGTCTTGTCTATAATTGTTAAGCTATAGGGGTACTTCGAATAGTCGAGGTTGACCGAACTATAATGCGTTGAAGCGAGTTTTTGGAGTAACTTATGACAATTTAACGCACGTTTTCAACGTTTACATTCTTTCATTCCGGCGATACAGTAGTAGGCGCGGGATCGCCGCGTTCAGAGGAAATATACACATCAAAAATGTCTAGGGATCAAACACGTTTTTGACAAGTCCTGCAAATGTGGATTTTTAATTAATTTTTTTTTAATCCAATGCTTTTTTCTTTTTGTTCAATTTCATACTTTAAAAAATAAGTAAATAATTTAATAAATTTTTATAGATATATATTTAAAAAAATGATCCTTGGACACTTCTGAAGTGTGTAAATCATTATGCGCGCCACCGCTGCATTCGGTTCGCTCACCTAGTAGCAGTAGAGCTCCTTGTCAAAGAGTTCATTCAGGGAAGTACTGCCACCTTTACTATTTCTGCCGCCAACCTGTAATGTGAGCATGACTGCGTTTCGGTTTTGAAGGGTATGCTGGTGAAATTACAGGCACAGGAATTTTCAACTTATGTCTCAGGCTGATGGGCCCAAAGGCAGCGCACCTCAGATCTTTGCGATTTAAAGCTATGAGTGGCACTGCAACTGTTATGGACAGGCGTGTCGTTTACCATCAGGCGCACGACTTGTTCATCCCATTACTTATTATCATAAAAAAAACAACTACATTTTCCCACAGGGTTCTGGCACAGAAGAAGGTGGTAAGCCCTGCGCAAATACAAGGATACTTCATGTTCCACAAGCACTCCCCACCAGAAGAAGTACTGAAAGACGTCGAAAACATTTGGACGCTAGGTTAACGTTACGACATTCTGTGATATTTAGACAATAGGTTCAATAAAATCATTTCCAAAATTATCGACCACTTATTTATTGCGTTGTTACACACATAAGTGATAATAATAAAAACAATAAGTTTTATAATAATGGTTTAAAACTAATGAAACAAATTCTAAACTTAATATACACAATATACAGTTTACATTCCATAAACGCAAATTGCGTGCTTTATTCCAGCGTGACCATAATAGAGTTTTTTAAATTTGACTAGCCAGATTAAAAGTCGCCATTTAGTCGGTTCTAGTCGCAAAAAACTAGATTTGATCGGTCCGCCGTTCAAAAGTTATAAGGGCGTTTTACTTTTATAACTTTTGAACGGTGGACCGACTAAATCTAGTTTTTTTGCGACTAGACAGTTCTAGTCTAGTAGTACTAAATAGACTTTTTGTCTGGCTAGTCAAATTTAAAAAACTCGACCATGGTCAACCTGGAATAAGGCACGCACGCAAATTAGCTTATTATTTCTAACTTATCAAAATTAACTTGACGCAAACAAGTCTTCGCGAATGTTTATTTATCTTGGCTCTTCTATTCCTCAACGTAAATCATCAATTGTGTGCTACAATATCTTTTTTACACTCGAACAAGAAATTGTTATAGAAAGATGTTTCATAGGTGGATGTTAAATAGATGTTTTTAACTTAATTGTCTGTAAAACGCTAACAAAATTTTTAACATATCCAAATACTGCTGGGCTTATTTTTTGTGCATTTTGAAATAATTTATTCACAACAAGTTCTCTGACTGTGTAGATCTTTAATATTTCCCACTGCCAGTTGGCGGACAATTTATTCAAATCAATATTGTCAGGATAACTGGGATCTTTAACTCCTAAAAAGAATTTATTTTCCAAACAGTGTAGAGACAAACAAAGAACCACCGGTTTATGTATAGTTTGTTGAGAAAACTGCAATTTAAACTTAATAAGGCATACAAAGTCTTTGGACAGTCGTTCAGTTCCATCCAATAAAGTAATGTTATGAATCTGCATTAAGGTTTGCAAATATTTAAAAGGTGACGAAGTCTTAGTATTTGGCATTTCTACAGTATCCAAAATTACGAACTCTCGGGGCCCGCTGTTCAAAGAGCCTATCACCTGCGAGGACGTAGTCGGCAGCGCCAATGTCTGTACTCCATTAGACGATCTATTGTTAACTGATGCATTTGTTACTTGGTGTTGGAAAGTATTTTCCAAAGGAACAAGCCAAATACTAGATTGCGTTGTATTATTTGCGTTTTGTTGACTTAACGCCTGCTCAGTCATCAATTCAGCTACATTTTTTACTTTAATCCTGGGCGCCGGAGTTACAGACGCGGCAGGTTTATTCGATGGAAGTGTGGCAGTTGTTTTCGATGGGGATGTGGGCGATTTATCCGCAGATCTGTCTGATTTTGAGTTCACACTGTTACTAATACATGTTTCATTGTTGTCTTCCTTCCTGGCTGTATTATCAAGGTTGTAAGTTGTTTCATTACCTGGCGCCAAAGACGTAGTAGACGTGATTATAGGCATGCACAAAACATCACTGTCTTCATTTGTCAAATCTTCAGCATCATCAATCAACATTGGCCGAGTGTTAGAATGACTTTGATCTTGAACAACTGGGGACGTCACCACAACAGCTTCAGTTACTGTAGGCGCTGGCGATACTTTTGTTTCAAATTGAACAACTTTTTTAGGTAACTGTTTTGGGTTCGCCACTGGACTGGCGTTGAGCAGTTTTTTATCTGCGTCAACAGACGTGTTGCTGTAAAGAACTGCGCAATCCGATAACTGTTGATCGGATTTAGAATGTCCATTTACTACAGAACTAGTGCTAGTATTACTCATAAGTAAACTTTCAATGATAGGTAAAGATTTCATTTTCTGAACTTGAATAGGTTTACCTTCATCTTTCATTAACATAAAATTAAAATTCGTGATTTTGTTCCATTGTGCATCATCCTGGTTGTAATCTTCTTTACCTTTTACTCTCGGCATTATTCGTACATACTTATTTTCCTTGCTTTGTGAACGTAAAATGGAATTTATCGGAATCCACTTTATTTCTAAATGATCATATTCTAAGTATCTTAATAATCCATTAGACTTGTAGCACTGCTGGAAAATAGATTTCAAACCAATATTCAAAAGTTTACTTTTGTTACTTTCAAATTGTTTCTCTTGTTCCTCAGAACATTCTATTTTTTTCAAATATCTGTTTTGGCATGCCGATACGATGTTTGAGATGGTTTTGTGATCCGTTAATTGCGGAAGGGGACATTTATCTTCTGTAGTGTTCCTCAAATTCATATTGCTTGTAGAGGGCATATTGCTTGTAGAGGGCATCGTCGTATCATTGTGGATAGATTCATCTGAAGAATCGTCAAGGTCTATACACTCCATGACATTTGGCACGTTTTCATCCTTATCGTTATCAATTGCCGATTTCGTCTCCTCTTCATGATCTGAAGATGTACGACTTTTAGCGTCGTTAAGGATCACAGTGTCATTGGAACTTCTAGACAGCAGTCGACGTCGTTTTCCTTGGACCTTTGGCGCAAAATCATCAGAAGAATCCGACACGTTTCCCACTTCTCTAAATTCTTCATTTAAAGTATATAAAACATAATAATGCATTTTTCCTTCATCACGCGTGATTTTATCCTGATTCAAAACTACAGCTTCTTCACTACCAGTGATGTTTAGTTTACCGTCCAACTTCTTTAAATCAATTGTACAATATTTTTTAAAAATGTCTCTGTTATTGTTGATTAAACCTCTGTGTTTCTTAAAATGTAAGTTTATGTTGCCTCGTGTTTTACATTGTTTATTGCACAGTCGGCAAACATAACCTTTGTTATAGCTTGCTTCCCATGACTTGGATTTTTTATTTGCGCAAATTTTCTTGTAAGAAGCAGGCCCAGCCTTGGCAATTGTGGCAGTATCAGACGACGCCTCTGTTTCGACTAACGCAGGGCCTTGTTCTGGTGCGACGGAGATTAACTTTCGCAAATTATCCACAGGAGACGCTCTTTCCTGAATTTCTCCATGACTGGTTCTAACTAGGTCATGTGTTGGAGACTTACTGGTGCTCTCCAATTCCTAAAAAATTTAAACACAAATTGTTTACAAACCTTTTACAAACTATCCGACAACTTTGATTTTAAGACTGCATTAATAACTGACACGCTCAAATATGTAAGCATACCCAAATGTGGTTGGACACCTCATGCAGCATTTGGATCTAGGTTCGCATATGACATGATCAAAGTAATGTATGACGTATATACGAGTATGAATAGCTCATGAGTTTTACATACGCAGTTTAAATGACATGTGACCCAAGATTTAAAATATTTATATTGCACAACTTCAAATCTCTTTAGTTGATACATGTATGTACTTGTTTAGGCTTGAAAACTCGAATTAATTAAACCAGCATTTACCTTTCGTAGTTGTAATCTCGCCTTCAATGCATTTTGCTTTCCAATGAATATTTTTTTATTAGTGTGATATTCACTAAGGATGCCTTCGCAGACGCCGCAAATCAGCTGCGGTAAGCCATCGAAAGGAGATACCTAAAAAGAAAAGACTATTAGATATTTCAATTTAAATTCCAAATTATAGATATCTTCTAATATCTAATATCTTCTTGCGAGTGCAACTTTACTGAGATCGTTAATGCGACCCTTATCTATAATCATGTGATGGGAGATGTGGAGCGCGGCGTGGTATCTATATAAAATGAACATCTCTCTAAACTGCTCACAGTCATTTGTTCAGAAAAGGTATGTAGAAATTTAAGGCCCGTTTACATAGTCGAGCTTCACCGCGAGTAAACATGCAGAAGTCAATATATGCAATTATATACATGTCTTTGATTAGATCAATTATTTCCATCAAAGAGGGCTATCTCCACATAAAAACGTAGATGACGTACAAACTTATACAAATATGCATGTTTGTCGCTGCTGGCTTTGTTTTCACTGGCGTCAAATGGAAAAAAAATCCCATATGTTACCAGGTGGTGACGAACTGGATAAAAAATGAACAAAGTGGGAACAAAGCCAGTGGTGACAACTGTGAATAAGCCCATACAAAGCATGCCAGACGTTGGCAATGTCAGTTACAGGTAAGCTGCAAAAAGTGTTTCCGATGACGGTTACCAGACACCCTTGTTGCGTCACACATCACAGTTCATACGTGTAAATACAAAATTGTGTTTTATTATATTGAGTTGTTGTTCATAGGAAACAAAATTTGCCCCCAAACAAAAGCATATAAGACGTTTTAAACGTGTTGAAACAAATTGCAATAGAGTACAATGATATAGTCTGCCAACAACAAATAACTAGCATTTATTAATTATACTTACTTCTATGAATTGTACAACAAATTACTTCATACGGCTTATTGTACAAGTTTGTTTTAACTCCATAATAATATAAATTTAAATTAAATATAAAATAAAAGGAGATCAATTAAAAATTAAATTAAATTAAAGGAGAATACCACAACTGTAACTCACTTCAATATCAAAGCAATATTTAATTTGGTCCTGAACCATAGGTGTGATCTGGTACATCCCCATGTTCTCGACGCAGAGGCGACATGTTGCAAACAACTTTGGATCTACTTTTACCATATCCATGATGGTGCATCTGAAATTGAAATAAGCTTTTAAGTTATTATTATTAATACAACCACAAACAAATTATGACATTTTGTTCACCAGTCTCTCGCGGTCTCATTAAGTGTTTTTAAAAGTTCTTTTTTTAATTTTTTCTTATATTTTTTACTATATTTTTTAATATTTCTTAATTGTTATACTGCAAAAACCAATTATCTAGAATTTTTACTAAAAAAAATACCAAACTATAAAAAAAGCAACATAATTGCTTATGTGTAATGCAAATGGAAAGCTAAAATGTGTAATGTGCATTTGGAAAATATTATGGAAGAACGATGTAAAGTGATTTTTAAAGAAAAAAAACTTAACTCTAGTTTTATTTGTTGTAAGAAGGTGAAACTTTCTACTTTTGCATTATAATAAAAAAAAATTTAATACTTAATCACCCTCCGGTAATATTTTCATATTTTCCATGTACGTTAGACATTTTACCTTTCCATCGTCAATATCATTTTGGTAAAACATAAAAACGAATGTTGAATCATCTCTTACAAATTAACATGGATAACGATGGTATTTATAACAAATATTCATAATAGAAATTCAAATTGCATTTAATAAAATTTTCTTGTGAAATAATTATTTTTCTCCAGTAAAATATAATAGCCAAGGTTTACTAACAACACGCAACTAGATTTTACTTAATTATCACTTATTTTAATGACGAAGAGAAATATGAATAATTAATACCTACTGCTTGCTGTAGAAATCCCTAACCAGTGTGGATTATAGCCTAAAACCCCATTTTTGGTGGATACACGTGACTAGTAGCAGAATATTTAAGAAATTATTTAAGTCATCATCAAGACGATACAATGGAACTCCTGGAGGAGCTGGACTGATATCGCCTTGCGATTAATTTCAAGTAATGTACCATTGGAAGTTCATATAAATGATATATACATACAAACTTCCATTTAAGACATAATTTAAAAAGACAGATGAAATTATTTCCAAGCCACAAACCTGCAAGCCTACCAAAGCTACAGAACCAACAACTAAGTTTACATCCTTCGCAACGAACTTTTAAAAGGACTCTTCAATTCATGCAAATAAAGCTCAAATTATTCAGTCAAAGTATAAACATCATTAAACATAAATTGCTTTAAATGATACTATAATTTATACCTGAATATTTGACTGGCACACAATATAGTCGCAAACAAAATGGAGCGAAGCGAGGAAATTCAACAGGAAAGTTTCAAAAAGCACCACATTTCCAACTCTAACATAATCTCACTTGTGCAAAGAACTAACTTTTTGTAAATGGCGATTAGCCAAATAATAGACAATCACACAATAACCATTTTATTTGATTTATGAAACCAAAAGGTGGTATTTTCTTTTATACAAGCTGTCAAAAAAAATCATCATGTTAAATTCCAAAGCCATCTACCGGGCAGTAGCAAAAAGGACTCCTATTTTGGGCATCGTCGTCATCTATGAAATAACATCAGAACTATTTCATTTTGGCGCTATGTAGCGGTAGATAGTCAAAGCGTTTACTACTAAAGGCTTGTACATTTTTTATTCTAGATGGCGTTATAACAGAAAATATATAGCAGTGCATCTTACGAAAGATTGTATTTAATAAACTACTAGCACGTATTCAATCCGATGATATTAGCCGCTTGGAAATATTTCTTTTCAATATATTTTCCGAATGTCAAATGTAGATGCTCCTTTGTTCTTTCTATCTGAAGCACAGCATGTTGTTTACTTTACAGCGAAATAAATGGCATATGACACTGACTAACCGCCAATAACAAGAGTGATATAGCTCCATTTGTTGGGACAAAATATTTTGGCTTTTCACGTCATTTTACTCTAGACATTTAATTAAAATTAAGTTTTCAATACGATAAATTGACGATTTTCATTACTATTACAAGACTGTCTGATTATGCATAAAATACATAGTCCTAAAATAATTTTATTTTTAAACCTGCGTGGCCAGAAACAAATATTGTGTTCAGCTCACACGTTTAGGATACTGCGCAAGCTGTAGCGCCCTCTAGTGGTCAAGCACTAATACTACATAGTATATCACACATTTCGGTTAGGTACTTTGAAATGTATAGGTGAATTAAGGAGAGTCGATGTTAACAACACACGTGCATATTTATATATTTTGATACTCATTCATTCTTCAACAGTCATTCTTATTGTGACTGAAAAATCTTCTAATGTCGCTTAAACTGTGGAAATTATTGACTGTGGAAAATTCCACATTCAATAATATTTTTAGTAATTGCTCAAAATGTAGTTCATTGCCGCTGTATACAGAGAGAGTTTAAACGTTTAATAAATTTCTTACGTACTTTTTGGAGTACTGCATTATATTTGTAAACTCAAATAAATGCACTTATTATGTTTGAACTCGTCACGGGTTTCAAATTCCTTTGAATAAACACGGCGGCGTTCAACAGATAACACACAGAGTAAGGTCCAGTGACTTGTGAGGTCTCAGTCAGCCAGTACCAGTACTTTAACGGCCCATTGACTGGTTTTCATGCTCACAACACACACAAACACACAGGTGCGAAAATGACAACAGCTGACGTGGCTCAGTTCTTATCCATTTTTTTTTTCACCATGTATCCTACTAAAGATTATTTTTTACAAGAAAAAAAGTAGATACTTAGTGTTATTTTCACCCAGTATACATACAATAAAAAAATAATTCTAGGGGCTTTCAATTACAATATGCAGTAAGTACGAGTATACATACATCCATAAATACATATTTTATGTACGGCAATATTTTATGTGTTTTATGTTTGCTGGTGCTGCATGGTATACAGTGTGCTAGTGTAATACATTTTCTTTTAACTAAGCGAAATGTCCATTCCCTACCTTGTTATAGTTATTTTTCTTTTTTCACAGTTGTGCACATTTGCGCATGCTAAAGTTTACAATTATAATTATTTTCCCACAAGACGGTGACCTTTAACCGTGGCTAATTCTCAGTTAGGTCTACAGAGTACATTGAATATACGTGAAGTTAAGTCACAGGCCAATATTCAAAATTTGAGCTACGTCACGTACGGTCTGAGAAACTGTAATTCATTATGCTATTTAAAATTTCGTGCTAATCGATTAGAAACGGCCGAGTAATTCTTATTGTGGATTGCGTAATTTAAGCGGACGTCATGAAAGTTTCGCTCATTTCGTTCGCTGCGCTGAGATAATTTTTCCTAATATTTTTAAAATTCCGATTTCAAAAACACCTTTTTCACATGTATATTTAATTTCTCGCTCAATAAGCAACATCAGAATATGAAACTAACCTTTGTCGAAAATTAAATCTAATCTAATCTAATATTTCTTGAAAATTCAATCTTTATCCGTTGCCATAGCGTTAAAATTAGCATGTATTTGGTGAAGTTTTTGTTACACCATCAGCACAGAAGTCTTGTTCAAGTTTTACTACTCAACAACAGATGGCACTCTATAGCGCTTAAGGCAAACCTTCTAGAAATTTCGTTGACAGTCACTGAAGCGTTTGCAGTTCTTCCGCAGGAAACGCTGTTAAATTACTTTTAATATAAATGAATAGTTAAACTTCTTATTTTAATCAGTATTAATATAAATATGTAAGACTTTATTTTAATTTGATGGAATAAATATAATTCAATGTTAAATACACATTTCAATATGTTTGGAGGAATTCAATCAATGTCATTTGATGTAATAATTTTGTTAATTGTTGCCAGATGGCGTGATAAGTAAAAATACCACATACTTTTTATAAATTTCAAAAGATGGCGCTTTAATGCACCACTCGTATCATAATTACAAGTAAATGTGGCGTTTTTTTTTACGTAATTCTGGTTTTTATCTCTTATGTTCGAGCTGTTAGGCCTACTAGAGGTAAAAAGAGTATAAAGTATTGAGTTGATAAGGCACGACAACTTGTACAGTTGATAAGTGTCGTTCCTAAACCTACCGCCAAGGAAACAAAGTCGTACGTTTTTTAACCAATAATATACAGCACTGACCACTGCCAGTGCTCACACTATATAAGATGTGAGTTTCCGATTCGTGCCCGTGGACCACCAGGTTGGTTTACCTAGAAGGACCATGGGCAATTATTTCCTCTCGTGGTTCACCTCTTACGTAAAATAGAAATACACAATACCTATATTGGTGGTGGTCACTTCAAACATTAACAGTTTGATGCTGTATTTAAAGTACTCTGTGGATAAGAGTGTTGTACTCACGGTAGCCAGCAGCATAATTCTAATGTGAAAACACGGTAATGATTTACGGTGCACAGTAGGTCGAAACTGAAATAATCGGGACTGAGGGCATTTTTTGCAAATGATATATATAAAATCCTACACAGCTGCACATGCTCAATATAGACCTACCTGTAGCCAACCGCAGCAGTCGCTACAATTGATCTTTTTTTAATTTTATTATAGTCTTTCTCATCTTTCTTATCAGTTTAGTCACCTATGTAAGCAATACTCTTAGTTGAGTTTAGTTTTATTTATTTAATAGTTTATTGTACAGGAAAAATACAACAAGTCGCAAAGAATACAAGCGAAATCAAAAAACAAAAGGCTCTGCTTATTTCTAATAGAAATTTCTTCCTGCAGACCTAAATACAGGACACTATAATTAAAAGAACGGGCATATGTGCACAACAAAACAAGGAAAAAAATAACATAAAAATAATATAATAATATTAAATTGTTATAAATTATATAAATACTTATATAGATAAATACATATTTTATAATATAATACCTAATATATGGATGGAATAGTAGATAAATAATGCTCTTTAACTCTCACTTTAAAAATAGCTAACGATTTACTTTCGTGAACAGTAATAGGAAGTGCATTCCAAAGTATGACCGCATGAACAGTGAAGGAGTGAGAATATAAACTGGAATTGAAGCATGGAAAAGATAACTGGAACCTAACAAGAGAGCGACAGGGTTTATCCTGGGACCTAAGGAAGCTGAAACGCTCTTTCAGGTACCCGGGAGACACAGGGTTATGTAAAATATTGTAAAGAATGGAGACTATGCAAATTCCTGCGGAGACGGATGGGAAGCCATTTGAGTTGACTGCGGAAATGTGAAATTCGGTCATATTTACAAAACCCAAAGATAAACCTTATACATAGGTTTTGCAGTCGTTCAAGCTTATTTAGCAGTTCTTCAGTAGCATCCAAATATCAGGAATCAGCATAGTCTAAGAGGGGCAAAATAAGTGTTTGGACTAAACAAATCTTGGTTTTTAAAGGTAAAACGTTTTGGAGGCGTTTAAGTGAGTGCAAGGAGAAATGGACTTTACGACTGACTTCATTAATATGTGGAGTCCAAACCAAATTACAATCTAAAAGCAAGCCAAGACTAGTTGCAATAGAAGCATAAGCAATAGGCGTGGAATTATACGCTATAGGTGGGACAGAATCTAGATGCAATATCCCACGCATATACCCACTTCCCACAATCATAGCCTGTGACTTTTTTTTATATTGAAATTCTAAATTTAAATGTGCCTAATGACTATTTAAACCATATACAGGTTATTTTTTAGTCACATTGTAAATGTTAATATTATCTTTGTTTCTATTTTATTGCCACCCAAAATCGTTTGAACATTGTGTATGATTCACACACAAATAGACACGAGTGTTAACTTTCTGGGCTCTGTTTAAACTTTCACAATTTAAAATATAATACACATACCATCAGGAGTACTCAAGATTTTATAGTAATCGGTCGTTTCGCCGACATACATAGGAACTCCTAGGCTCCTGCTTGGAATATCCCTACTCGCGTGCCGCCGTTCGCCCAGGGGCAGTCTGGTATAGGTTGACCAAGCAAAATTAAAAATTCTTCTGATAAGATATTTTATTGTACAAATTTGACCTACCAAATTTTAGTCAAAAATGAAGTTTTTATTTCTTACTGCCTACCTGTTGATGACTACGTCATTATGTACTATAAAACAGTGTTTGTATATTATTTGCCCCGTATGCACTCAATTATTATTCATCTGATGCCCACAAGTTTCTGAAGTATTAGATCCTACTTCTGAGTACGAGTTTCGTCTAAGGCCGAACGAAATCAGTCATTTTCAGGTAAGTTTTTTGTACTAAATTTTGGGGACAATTTTTTTATTTAATTACTCGAATATATCATCGTGAAATCGCACATGACAACTAACATAGTATTATCTCAAAATGGCTATAATCTATGTTAATACTAACTATTTAGTTTCAAAGCGACAGTATTGTCCTATCATTTTGAAATTAAATCTTATATGAATGACACATCAATATAGCTAATTTTGGAGATAAATTGTTAATATAACGCAATTTTGAGATAAAATAACGCCATTTTTGAGATAATACTATGTTAGGTGACAAGAGCGAAATATTAAAGAATATTTCAGGTTACCAATTAAATAATACTTCATGATGATATTCTTTAAATATTTTAAAAAAAGAAAAATCTGTCATATGGGTACATATTATGACAGATTTTTCTTCATGTGACCAAAGAGTATTGCTTATATCATGTGACGTTGCAACGCATGCCGTGTACAACTTGTAGTCTATTAAAAAGGGGGAGCTGAAGACATCCAAGTCACATAAATAGGGGTTTTGTCTTAGAGGATGGAAAAAATAGTGTAAGGGTTTTGTTATAAATCATATAGGCGCCGCGGTCTTAAGCGACGATGAAGTAGACACAGTCGCCGGTTGCGGCAATCGGACACTGCCACCGGTTGCCTCAACCACAATTTGTATGGTAACAGGTGCATTACTTTTAAAATTTTGTTTGAATATTTGCGACAGAGTAACTACGTGTCGATTTCAAAGTAGCGAAATCCTATGGGTTTTTGAGATGGTTTCTTCACTTGGTGGACAATAAACTAAATTCCTATTATGTCCTTTGCTAATCTCGCACCTATCATGGCGAGGTTATTTGCACAGGCTGGTTTCCGTACATTTAATGTTGGGTTGTTTCAATCCGTTTTGTCAGAACCAACATGTAGTGCTGCGAAGATTTTGTATACATGTTTGGTTAGGTAGTATTTTAATTTATCTGACTGGATTTTATTAAGTGTTTTCTTGAAGTATTGTTTTGCTAATGGGGTTGACATGTTCAATAACGATCAAAGCCCCTAAATAAATAAAGAAAAAAAAGAAAACTATTCATACTTATTCGCTGCCTTTATAATCTGGTATAAAAGATCAAAATAGGCAAGTGCAAGTTGAACTTGCGCAATTAGTTTTCCGTACCGTGATTATATAGTTTCTTTGTTGTTAAAAACTCGCAAGAAGCTCCAAGTATCAAGGCCGTTTTATTCTAATTATACCAGGCTTGTGTTGATGATATAAATTTTCAATTTCCCCATTTGTCAAGTCTCTTGTAGATAATATTGAACATGAAATTAAATACTGTCGTAACTCAAAATTGTAGAACTGAGAGAAAACAATGTAAAATTGGAAAAATACTGATGACTGACTGAAGATCCATTTCTTCTTGCGAATAATCTGATAGTTATCCAGACAAAAATATACGAAAATATGTATTTCTTGGTTTCGCAATTACTTTGAACTTTTAAATAGTGTCTTCTCAGTTCCACGATTTTGAGTTAGGACTACATTTGTTTCATGTGCGATGTATGTTTAATTAGCACAAAAACAACAGAATGGTATTCTTATGTTTATATTAGACAATAACTAACATCGTTCAAATACATATGATAACGTGTATTGTATCTTTGACGTAGCATACTACATCGAAATTCACGATTACATAAACAAGCATGTTCATCAATTAATAATAATTATAATATTATACATCATTATTATACTAGTCAATTTGTTAATTTTTTTTTATGTCAACATGATCAAAAACAGTCCACAAAATGCATTAGTTTCATTGAAATCACATCAATATCAATTCATAACAATTAATTCTAATTTAAAAATCACAACTTAAAATTTATCTTTCCCTGGGGGATTTATTTTATTAAGTAGGTATTTGTCTATCAGCAGGCGCAAAAATGCCATACATTATCAATATCACAGCACTTGTAAGATTTGCGGTGTCGAGACGAAAACTCGATTCGCCAACTCGAGTCGACCCCAGAGAAAGTTTTGAGACTCCAAAAACCTGTAGTCACTACTTTCATGTCAACTAAGTATTATCCCTGAATACTAATTACATTTGCTTATCTAATGTTTATTTATCTGCGATGGCGACGCTTCTTCTTGCTCGCGCGTGTTTGGTTTTCATTATTTGGAAGGCCGTTCGATGGTCCGCTAGGCGGCTGCGTTGGCGGCGTCTCTGGCTGCACAATAGCGAAGCCACTAAAGAAAGTTGGCATTGACGCATTGGAAGTGGGGCCGTTTTGCCTTTGAGCGGATGGAGGATTAGGCCGCAGAGGTGCCGCGTTTTGTGTAGGTGCAGAAGTAGTGCGCTCTTGCGGGGACTGCGACGCATTCAACGCAGCTCTCACCCGCTGACGCATACGTCTACGAGCGTTCCTAGACAGATGGACATGTTCATTTTCCTGTATGTGAGGCAGCGGGGCGACGGGAGGTGCCACCGGCGGCGGTACAGGACGTGATGACGGTGGCGGTACTGGGCGTGATGGCGACGGCGGCACTGGATGTGATGGCGGCGGCACTGGACGAGATGGAGGCACCACGGGTCGCTCTACAGCAGCTGATTGGTTACTCCTATTGTTATTATCATTTCTAGATTGCACTTCTGCACGCACCAGAGCGTTTGCTTCCCGACCGAGTCGTACAAATGCGCGGGAGAGTCTAGCGACATCGTTTTGAAGGTCTTGCAAGAAAGGTTCCAAATCCTGGGCGACAGGTGCCCGTGTGGCGTCGCGCACGCTGCCGCGGTTGGCAACGCGCAACACGGCGCGCGGCTGCGTCTGATTGGTCACTTGATCAGTGGGCACGCGTCGGATGGACAGCTTGCCGCTGATCGACGCAGGCGCAACTAACGCTCGCGCGTCCGAACCGTTCACTAGCAAACAGTGACCACGCTTCTTTAGAGAACCCTCGCACGATCTTACAGACCATACCTAAAAGTAATACATTACGTTAAAAATCCAATAACTAACAGGTAAAAGAAAGTAGTTTACAGATTTAAGGAATAAGAAGACACTTACGCAGTCGGAAAATATAGCTTCTCTGTCATTACCAGAAATGGTAACAGTGTAGCAGAATTCATGAGCAACCCAAGGTGAAGATGCCATCGTCAACCAGGCGTACACTGAGTCAGCTATAAAAAAAACAAACAGAACAATATACTCAATAATTTCAGTATACCGTAGTACTCAGGATAACCAACAAAACACTTACCATTTATTTCAATGATTAAAAAGAAAACGCCCATATCGGCCACTCGTACAGCAGTCACAATTCTACCTGGCTCAGTCGAGAACTGCCACGCTTGTAAATACTCCCCATTCTCTGTTGAACCCTGTAAAAAAAAATACGGTAGTAAAAATGTCATTCATAAAACAAATACTTCAAATGGTGGTCCATTGTGCGGCAAATCTAATGGCGCATTTACACCAAGTCGTCAGGCAACCTGCTACCCGGTGTAATATAGTATGAAGTCATAATTAGATGTCCAAAATGTAAACAACGAAATGTCATTACAGTGTGAATGCAGGTTACCTACTTACTACCTACTTACCTACTTACAACCTACTATTTTTAACGGAATTGAAAAAGGAGGAGGTTCTCACATTCTAAAATTTTAATAAACAAATACTTTAACAATAACACAACAATTTAACAAACGCACTAACTACGCAGACAAGAAAACATTCGAGTTTGAGAAAAATGTTTTTGACCCCGATTCTGTTACCAGTGTCATAAAATTATTTACGACCTTAAACAGCCTTTTATAATAATGATTGTGTTAAACGAACGCAAGTAAAAATACATACTGCAAAACATTAATTGTTCTAAGTTTCATCTAATTAATAAACGTCAAAAACATCTTGAACAGAGTTTTTAACGTTTATTATCGTCAAAAACAGGGAACTACCATATAAAATGTACATCGAGTTCTTAGGTTTTCGCGATTGTCACACATAGGAAATGAAACTATTTTTCCGGATTTAAATCGCGTATCCATCAGTATCAGGTCTGTAAACCGTGACTGGTTTACTGTCAACCGTGACCATGGGACCTGTAAAGAGCCCGAAACGTTGGTTTGTTTAAAAAAACAAATATACGCGATTTAAATCCGGAAAAATAGTTTCATTTCCTACATATAAAATGTATTTTTTACTAGGTTATCCCCTTTGTTTACATTCATTCAGAGTGCAGGCGCAGGCGCGGGCGAAGCGGCGGGTGCGGGCGAGCGGGTCTTGGCGTCTTCCCTTTCAGTGTCGAAGCGGCTACGAGCGGGTAGATCTATATGTCGAAATCGCAAACAGACGCAAGAACGAGCACTGTGAAAGATATGGGCGGACCTAGCCAATAGATCTACCCGCGAGACGCGCGCGCACCCGCGTTCGCGGGCGCCGGCGCGCGTGACCGCACTATGAACGCAAGGAGCGTCTACGTACATTTGATTTACACGCACCCGCGCCCGCCGTCACTCTGAATAAGGCCATAGGCGACATGGTCGCCTTCGTCAAGCGATGTCGACCGAACACGTTTCACCGTGTCCACGGCCGCGCCCCTTAGCAATAAGGACTTTGTAAAGGCGGCAAACAACGCGGTGTAAACAGCGCGTCGACAGCGTATCCTTCGGAAGTAATGTACATGCACCATAATACATTTGATCGAAAAGCTACATACGCGTTAGTTGTGGTACCTGTAAAGGTATCGGCTGCGTTGAGGTTATTCAAAAATCTCTCACTAGATGTCACTAGCGTCGCATCTATAACAAAAACACATAGAAGAATTTCCACGACTCGGTAACTGGACCCGGACTCAGACGGTTAGAACAATGCTACGGTGCAGCATGGATGTTGGTTCAAGTCCCACCGAGTCGACGAAATGTTTCTGTGTGTTCGATCTTTCTATTCAAAATCATAGCAAAGCTAAGTTAAAGAAGCTACGCCATCAAGTTCAACCTCTGGACGACGAAGTTACAATGAAGACACTTGTTTAACCTAATTACCTTATTTGGATTGTTTGCTTTGTTTAGTTTATCAGTCTTATAAGACAAATCACAAACTTACTTCAATAAGTTCAGGAGCATGATAATAGCGCAGATGGTTGAGAAGGCGCGCGGCGGGCAGACGTTCTGCGTTGCCGTTCTTGCAGCACAAGCAACGGAAAAGGCCCTTGCAAGCCTGAGGAGCCCGGAAAGCTGGGCGCTAGAAACAATACAGAAAAGAGCATAATACGTCATAATGCACAAATATAGCCATAGTCAGCCAGCAGCATACGCGCAAATAATCGATTGTGAACGACGAAAATAATTTTATTACGATATCGCAAAAAATTAAAAAAAAAATTATTATTTAGATTATGTTCTTTTAATTGCTAATATATTATTCCAATCCATATATCAAATCTCATCCTAAAAAATATTTACTAAGCTAATAAGGTATTATAATATATTTTTAATGGGTATATAAAGAATATGAACTGATAAACACTAGATATGCAACTGCCTCCGTGTCCGTACAGTCACCATGCTGCACTGCCACGCAGACGAACCCGGGTTCGATGCCCGGGCAGGTAGTAGTAGTAGTAGTAGTAGTATTAGTATGGCCAACATTAATTTCTCTCCTGAGTTTGGAGGTAAATTGTGGTTGTCTATGTGTGTGTCCATGGCAGCACAGATACAGGCTTTCCCTAGTGTGGTGCTATTATTATTATCAACACAAAGAACTATTTTTAACCGATTTCAAAAAACGAGGAGGTCTTAATTCGACTGCATGTTTTTTTTTGTATGTATGTTACGCGAGAACTCCGGTATTTATCAACCGATTTTCATGATTCTTCTTTTGTTGGAAAGGGGGTACCTCCATAGTGGTCCCATTTAATTTGGAAGAAAATCATCCACCTCTAAGGGTGGCTGTTCACGCATGAAGATTCATTTTTATAAATAGCCCCTAAGTTTTACTACAAGGAGCAATTATTTTAATGGTTGATTTTACTATTCTCCAATTCAAGGCGATTTTCTCTCAATATACTTTGCGTAGTGAGAACCGATTTTTATTATCTCCAATGTCAAGTCATGTATAGCGGCGAACTAGGGGATATTTCAATAAAGCTTGGCAAATAGACGTAATTCCACGTACTTTTGAGATCGGTTTTTTTAGTACTCTGTACTGAGATTATCATATACAGGGTTCCCTGCACTACATATTACAGTGCATTAATTTCATTGACACCCTTTTTGCACTATACCCGTTAACCAAGTCTGCAAAGTCTTATTTTTGGAATCTTCTATGTTAGATAGTAATTTTTGATAGACTTGCAATGAGATTTGATGGTGAAAACCATCTCGTACCAGTAACTCTCGTAACTCAAACAGTCTCGTAAAAGTGTACAATGCAGTGATATGGTTTCTTAGTGCCCATACAAGTTTCTATCCGCCGATATGTCAAGACCGCTGGGCCAACTAAACAGTCTAATTAGTAGCAGTAAAGCTCCATGTGAAAGAGTTCGTCCAGAGTAGTACTGCCACCTAATCTTTTTCTGCCGCTAAACGGTAACGTAAGCATTACGGTATTACGGTTTTGAAAGGTAAGGGTTCTGGTGATATTACAAGCATATGAGCCTTGTCAACTTACGTCTCAGGGCAAGTTTCCATTATGTCGTGACGACAGATAGTCGTGCAGTTTAAAGAGTTGTATATTTAAATGAACTTGTTCACATATAGTACAACACGATTAACTATATGTGAACAACTTAAAGATAATTGCTGCTGCTATTGCAGTCACGTTTTATTGTCTGCACGTGCGGCGATAAATTGCCGTCACGATCTAGTGGGAACAGCTAGACATCTCAGTCTTTCAACGATAACATAAACGTTCACGACACAGTCACGACAGATAGTTGTGATATGGGAACAGGCTAGACGCGACAGTCGTCTAACAATAAATAAAACGTTACAATATAATGGGAACGCGCCTTTGGGTAACGGGCGCAATGGCGGTGCCCCTGAAAATCTTTGTGCTTTTAAGCTCTGAGTGGCACTGCTACGGACAGGCGTGTCGCTTACCATCAGGTGCACGACTTGTTCGTCCCGACATTTGGTATCATATATAAAAAAAAGAGTGCGCAGACAACAGTCGGCCGATTGCTCTCGATAAATTTTGCTAATTGGTAGCTGCTCTTGAAGGTAGCCGTTGTGTGTTGAAAGGTAAATTATCCCAGAAATGTTTTTATTTCATTTATGCAATGGGGAAAAAAGATCATGAACAGAAACCGAGAGTATTGAGTGCATTGGCAGACTAAACAATCGGCAAATGGGTGCGTGTGCAAGAGAGCCATACTAATTTACGACTTTGAAGGCAATCAAATAGCTCATCAACCTTATTTACCGGCCGATAAGGAATTATAACATTATGCGCACTTGCATACATCTTTATACTGATTAAGGACCCAACTTAACAGTCTGCGGGGCCTCTTATCATTGGTAAAATATACCATATGAAATAATTACAGATGTAAAAGGCTTACTTAACCTTTCCACTGACATAGATGATTTAAAATGTCAATGAAACCATGTATTATTTGTATATTCTAGTTAATACGTACTCACATGTCACATCACTAGACTTGGCGTCTAGGACACAAAACTAGTTTTTGTCAGTGGCGGTTGTAAGGTTAAAAGCCGTGGTGACCTAATGGTTTGACCTACCGCCTCTTTAGAGGTCATTAATTTGAATCCAGACTCATCAGAATTTTTCGGAATTTATGTGCTAAATTTAATATGAAATTTACCATGAGCTTTTCAGCAAAGGAAAACATTGTAAGGAAAACTTCACGTCGAAGAGGTAGTGAACAACTTTTCTTTTCTTTTCTTTTTTGGGGTTCACAACCTTCGCAAAATGTGTGAACTTCCAATACTCATTTGAGCAAGTGGACTTGTGGCAGACCATGGCCTAACTCCTCGCTTGAGAGGAGACCCGTGCCCAGCAGAGGGGAGGTATGGGTTGAAGATGGCGAAAAATTTTTGAAAAATTACCAAGTTCCCAAATTTTAAAGATCAATTTTCTTGAGTGAGCCTTTACATAAGTAGTATAAAAACAACAGTATAGTATTAAGACATATTTGAAAGCATTCCAAAGAATATAACATGAGCTGATGACTTACACTAGCAAAATTGTGGTTGTTGTCTTCATCCTCAGGATTGTCTTCTGTTTCTGAAACAGCTTCATCTGTTGGTGGAGAGTTGCTGTCAGAGGCAGCAGTGCTTGTTGTCAGTGTAGTCACCTTTCCTCCCAATTTCTAAACAACAAAACAATCTAATTAATGTGTTATTGCATAATATTGTAGATAGTGTACTGCATTGTTGGCAGCATATGCAATTTTAGTCATACTTATTTATATACACAATACATTTATAATTACTCACACATTCACAAGAAAATATATAATTATCCATTATTATATGTAAAGGATGGCTTATTTTTCTGGAGTTTCTGTCACTGCATCTCACTTTATATAAAATAAATAAATGCACAACCTCATTAATTCAATATTACTTTAATAACAAATGTAATTTTTTTATTTATTTAATTAAAATTCCTGCATGTCATTGGTTATCTCAGAATATATATAATTTTGTTGAAATTGCTGAAAAATAACACTTTATAGATAAAGAAAAAGAGTTCAACTTACAAAAGCTCGGAGTTTTCTAACATTTGCAATAAGTTCTTCCATGGCATAGTTACGTGTGCCAAAGAAGAGTGCACGGCAGACAGGACACACGTCCAAACGCATCTTGCACCGCCCACAGACATGGTGCCCCTCATTACACTGAAAGATCTGCCCTGCAGGGATCTCGTAGCACACGGGACATTGCAGTAAATCATCTAAATCTGGTAAGGCTTCCATCTGCAAAATGACAAGTACAATGTAACAGTATTAGCTTTGGGCAGTGTGGATCTCTTTTAAATCTAGGAGCAACTCCAGGAGAAAATATCTCCTCAACAATATGAAAGAAAGTTAACAAACAGAAGAACATGAATGAATAGTATGAAGTTGTCAACCAACAACATTACTACATCCTTTTTTGTAACAGCCTTCACTACCAATGGCTCACAGTAGAACCATAGTAGGGTAATGGTATGTATGTGTAACAATCTTGTAATATACGTCATCTTGTAAAGACGTAATAATGAAGGTAGATATGTGATTATTACGACATTTGGCACTCCTAAATTCCTTTAAAAAAAAATTATATATTAATTAATGTAAGAATTCTCTTAACAAAAAACCTTGATGTGTTATTATTAATCATAAAAACCTTGGATAGGTAAACAAATCAAATGTCCAAGATATAATGAAAATAACCCTCATTGTTGTTATAATAACTATTTTATATAAATGCCTACTTTGTAAGTTATTTATTCAAAAAACAAATAGCAACTGTGTAGAAACTATTTAAACTTATCTAAGACAAAGACATTTTACATATGTGACCTTTAAAAAATCACCTGTATATACGCTGTTTGCTACCTGCAATAATAATTACGACTTTGGTGTCGTATGGTTTTTATTTCTTTTGTCCATGAACATTAATATTACAGACTTTCAATCATGAATATTTAAAATAAAATAATAACGAAAATTTGCAATGAAAAGCAACGTGGTTAATACGACTACCGTCCATGATATAAAAAATTACGTAGGTAAACGAAATTACGGAATAACATATTTGGCGAAGCTAATTGCAGCAAATTGACGGTTCGGGTACATATGTAGTGCATGGAACACTATTTAATCTTATCGCAAGAACATACAAAGTTTATTTCCAATGCAAAAAATATCGACCAACGGACAAGGCTGAACAATGAAAGTTACAGGTTTTGAGAAGTAATATGCTGTGTAAACAAACCTTCGTTTCTGTTTCCTCCGCCATTGCGAAGAAGTCTGTGTAGGCAAAAGTAACTTGAAATTAAACTTAGTAATTAAAACGCCTTCTCAACACGCGGCAATACAAGAAGAGAGAATAATTTTCTCACAGCTGGCTGTCGTTTTTATAAAAATGGCGTCTTGATTGGTGTTGCTCTATCTTAAAAAAAAATCTAATTGCGTTATCTAAATCAGAATCGAATATATTTTGTATAAATTATTCCCTTCTAGAGCTTCTCGTTATCAATTAGCACTAAAAAAAGCAGATGTGTTACTTAGTGCTGTTAGAGTTGAGTTATTTAATTTGATTAATTCGATTTACTGTCACAACGAGTTAAGTCGAGTTACAGAGTTCCGTACCCACCCCGCGCCAAGCCAAATACTTCATTCATTTCATAAAACGCCACGCAATGCGCAGCGGCTACTCGTTCTCACTTGGTGTCAGTTCGGCTATCTTCGGAGCTCGCTCGAGTCGCAAGCGACGACGGGTGAGTCGAGTTATTTGTACACCGCATCGCACTCACTCTCGGAGTAATGACTAGCCTCACTACTGGGACGAATTATATTTTTCAACTCGAGTTGACGTGACTGTTAACTCGAGATGCAACTCAATTTAACTCGAATATGACAGATCAACCGCCAGTCGCGAGTACAACTATGGTACAACTCGAACCGACGACGATTCACAAGAGTTGGACACGACTGGCGGCGGTCGAGTCGCCGAACCGATCAAGTGAGAACGTATTGCCGACGCGGTGTATGAATGAAGTATTCGACTCGGCGGGAACCGAACCGAACTAGCTCGAGTTTACTCGTTGTGGGAGTAACTCGAATTAAATAACTCGACTCACCCATCGCTACTCGCGAGTGGTCTGTCAGACATCGAGGCGAGTCAACTCGAGTTAGCAATCATATTAACTCAGGTAACTCACAAAAAAAAACAAATATATGCGATTTAAATCCGGTAATAGTTTTATTTCCTATGTGTAACAATCGCGAAAACCTAAGAACTCGAGTTGAAAAAACTACAACTCGCCCATCGCCATGTTACTAGTGTCCGTCTTTAATAATCTCCTAGTGGCATAACTTGGAAAATAGATTGGAAAAAAAATCCATAGTCTAAGGAAAATAGTGTCGCGTAGTGAAGCTTCGAAAACCAGTCAATTCTATTGACTGACCTTGCATTGCAATCAATCTGCGTGGAGCAAAGAGATATATTTTTAATTCTTGTTGAATTTGTAAAATTCCAAGTTGTCCGATTGGACAACAGCGAAAAAAAGAATCTTAATGGAAAAAAATATTTTTAGTGGCTCCATCCATCGTAGTATAATTTACTGTCAGTATCTTAAATCTTTGACAGATGCCAACTGTCAAATGTGGAAAATTAAAGGAAAAATCTTAGAGGATGGAAAAAAAAAGATGGTTTCCATCCATAGTTTAACAGAAAAATATAGGCAAAATTGTCGGAAAAATTATTTATTTTCTAAAAAAATTTTTTTTTTTCAAAATGGAAATTTTGGCATGATCTTTAAAAAGATAGGAAAATAATTGAAGATTTGACTTGATAAATTTATACCGATGCCGTGAAACTAACATTAAAAAAAAAAAACTATTTGACATTACTGTTTGTCATCATTTGTCATTGATTTGTCATGGTTGCTTGTGGAGTTCGTGTTGTAAATCATTGTTTTTGCGTTTGTTTCTAGTTTCGAAAGTAAATAATGACTATATAACGCGAATTAAGTGAACACAATGCCCGGTAGCAAAATGGAGTTAAACTTACGTTCAGTTATTATATGTTTAGGTGCCTTTTTGAGCTGTAAGTACACCCTTTGTTTTTGTAATTTTTTTACGTCCATATATTTTATAAAGCTCCTTTTATATTTTCATACCTTTGCAATTTAAACGAATACAACAAAGGCTTGAATAACATTCTGCCTATTGTCTACTTTATTGAGTATAAGAGAATCCTACTAAAAATTGTGACTCTCAGTAAAAGAAAAAGTTATTTAATATCTGTTTTTTCAGTGACGCACAGTGAAAGACTACACGAGCAGATATACTCGTCGATAGAAGGTGGAGCTGCGTGTTTTAGACGTTTAAATGGGACTCATCAATCAGGGTGTTCATGTAAATTTTTACTTTTTTGGGTATCAAAATATCTGAATCCTGATATTCAATATAATACAATTGTCTTACATATTTTAGATATTTTAACACTAAGCAAACAACTGTAATGATTATTTAAAAAAGAAAGGAGTTTTCAAATCCTTATACCTTTAAACAGTGATGAAAGCATTTTCATATTTGTATATTTTACAGCATCATATTCTGGAACTGTAGGAGTGGTGCACATGATAAACAATATTGCGGATGCGCAATGGATGGTAACAAATGGCAATGCAGGGCCATACGTGGCTGTGGTCAGTACAGCGCTCTTTCCAGGCATAGTAGAGATACTTATGGGTAATCCTCTTAATGTGGCGGGTGTTTTGCTGTATGACAATGACACTATGCCGTAAGTAACATTTTTTCAATAGTCTTGTATGTTGCCAGCTGCAATATATGTTGTTTGCATTAACTTTCATTCAGCCTAGAATCATTGAATATATTTGGTTAGTAATTAAATTTTACACGAAGAGCATTTTTTTTCAAACCAATAGTACATTCTAAAGAGAATGTGAGAACGCTTACAACTTAAAAATTGACATTTCTTATGTTATTAACATTTACTTAATTATAGCATAATGTAAACTGGAACAAGAAATAAATTCAGAAGCTACATACTAAAATGTGAACTGTCTGTATTACCATATACTTATCATGATTCTATCAAGGTGTTGCAGTATACCATTTTTAGTCTGTTAATAATTTTATTACCTCTTCTAGCTGCTTTCACATTATTTTTAGTTGTAGGCTTAGAATAATAATGCATAGAATGACAGTTTCATATCAAACGAACTGTCACATGTGAGGCAAAAATCAAATTCATGTAGGTGTAAGCAACTTGTATTTACACTTGTCGGCACACACACAAATATACAAATAATGTACAAACATTTCCCCCAAAAGTGGGGAAATTGTATCTTACTTAACTCATTGTTAAGTTAAAGGTGCCTACAGGTTTGCTCGATTTGTTCGATCGTTACTGTTAATATGGTGCCTACAGATATGCTTGATTTTGTCGATTGTTACTGTCGATTGACAATGCCAAGTGACAAGAATTTTCAAAAATTAATTTTTGGTAATCCTAATGGAAATGGATTATATCTCTTCAATTCTATCATTTATATCTGAATAAACAATGGCGGAACGACTTTTCTCACTTCTAATTCGGACACGATTTTTCAAAAAAATGCAATATGGGAATCATTTTCGAAGTATTCGAGGTGCTCATTACGAATATGACGCTCATTTCTAAATCCAAGATGGCGGACACGACATCAACCATCAACCCCGATAACAACTAAAACGATACCCATATTGATTTTATTTGAATAGTCGTTTCTGCCATCTTGGATCTAGAAATAAATGCTATATTCGTAATGGGTACTCCCAAATACCTCGAAAATGGTACCCAAAGTCGTGTCCTCCATCTTGGATTTAGAAATAAATGCTATATTCATAATGAGCGCCCCCAAATACCTCGAAAACGATACCCAACTTGCCATTATTTGAAAAATCGTGCCCGCCATTTTGGATTTAGAAATTAGAAAAGTCGTGCCCGTAGTGGATTCAGACATAAATGCCATTTCCTTATGGATTACCAAAAATAAATTTTTGAAAATACTTGGATTTGGAAATTAATGCTATATTCATAATAAGCGCTCTTAAACTCCTCGAAAACGTCTATAATTCTCAGTCGACATTGTCGATCGACAATGTCGGGCAAATCTGTAGGCACCTTAATAAATACTACCCAATTTTTATTTAATTCATATATTAATTATTAAATTAATATTATATTAATTAATAAATAATTAGTAAAAACCTAAAAGCGAGTTTAAGTGCGACTATTGAATTTGACTATATAAATAGCCTGATATTATTTGTGGATAAACACATGAAAAGTACGTGATAACAATAAAGAACCTGAACGTGAAAGTTATTTATATACGACTTTGGAGAACTGACAATGACTTTTTTAGTCAGTGTTAGTTCCCTGAAATAAGTTTAGTTAAGAACTTTTGAATCTGGGCAAGACAATTTTTTAAAATGAGTGTATGATGAACAAGAATTATGATGTTTCACATGAAACTAATGAAGGCAAATACTAAATATATTCCGTAAAAGTAGCTAACGTAAATCCCCTACTATGTTGTCGCGGCGGTGTTTTTAGACACTTGTAGAAAGTTTTGACATTTGTAGAAATTTTGCAACTGTCGCGATACTACCGATTCTCAAAAAATTACGTAATATAATTATTTTGCAACAGAATAGCAAAATCCGTTACTTTGCAACATTTTTGTATTTTGTTGCAACGAAATTAATTGTCTGTTTTAGTGAATATTTACATAAAAATACAAGTTGACACGCGTTAGTTCCTTGTGGAATGTGATGTTAGTGTCTATTTTATGTTTATTTGATCTATTTTTACACCCATTTATCGCACATTACGTAATTTATTTTGCAACTTGACCTTGAACACTAACAACCCGCCCGCTCGTGTAGGCCCATAGGAAGCGTTGCCAATTGTTCAAAATCCCCAAAAATAATTTAATATTCCACACAAATTCCCTACATCTCGATTCATTATTTATTACAAATACGTCGCTTAAAAATAATTATAATAAAGAATTAAGAAACTCAAAATGTAATCATCTATTACGTTTGCTGTGAATGTAAACAGAATGTAAAATGTAAAGCCAATTATAAAATTAGATGACCTTAAATCGTTAATTTATTTTAATGAGATTCAACATTAATGAAACTTTGAAAAGTAAAGGTTCAAATTAGTTCCAATATTTTATGAATTGCTTACATATTTGTTGTACGTGATTCATTGTATAAACGAAGATAATTTATGGAGCAACTTTTGAGAAAAATTACGGTAATTTTGTTAAAAGAAGTGTTATTTCGTTTAGAGTTAATTTAAATTGATGACCCATCAGTATTTTTGTTATGTAAACCATATTTTTGTAAATAAATGAACGCTTTCGTTGTACACTGAGAAATTAGCAGTGGTCTAGTTTTTGATACATGTTTTTAAATTATTTTTTAAAACTAGTTTTGTTAGACAGTTGTTCTATTTGTAGTGAAATATTTTTTTAGATGTGTAAGTTATTTGAATAATGAACATAATTTTATATGTATTGAGTTTTCTGATATGCACTCAAATATTTCCCATTTTACAATTCAGAACTAAGACGATTTGATAATAATTCTATTTAAGCTGCTTGTTAATAATGCGAGGGATGTGCGATGTTGAAAAACACATCGATGTAGTTCATCACAGTGTTTCTAACAATAACGATGAAACTAGCGATGCATCGACAGATGCAATCAATCGTTAGATTAAACAAAACCATCAAATGTTAGAATCCCCACATTTTCCCCACATAGCGCCAATCCCCACAAAATCCCCAATCTAGTTGAAATTCCCATCAATTTGCGGAAATTCCCACAAATTGGCAACCCTACCCATAGGGCACCCTATAATTTGCCTCACTTAGCGTGTGCGGGCTAGGTTTCTATGCGTTATTATTCTAAGGTTGTAGGTATTTGGCAACCTGTGTTCTTCATTTTTCCGTGAGCATGAGGGCATAACATAATACGGCATTTAAATTACGATAATTACATTGTAAAATGTTTGATACTGCTTATTAATTGGCGAATCAGTTGTCACTCGCTTCAACTCTTTCAGTACCATTAATTTAAGCTTGTACAGGACAAGACGACATGTACAGGTGGTTACAAAGCTGGCATAGTAACAAGGGCTTCAAAATCTCTCTGCATAATATATTATTTACTCTTAAAAAAAATGTCCAGCCGTCAAAGGTGGTACTGAAATGTGGTATAAGTACTTCAAGCAAATCAAACATTGTATGAACAGAGAGAATATAAAACAGTACCTTGAGAGTCATGGCTGAGGTTCCTTTTCCTTCATTGTTACTTATATTTGAATCTTCTTGTTTTTAATCTGCTCCTGTAGCTCAGCAATACCAAAACTTTGAAGAGGGCAATGTAGACGAGAGAGATGTAGCGAAGTAGATTGAGCGCCCAGATACACGACGCGAATGTTTTTGCGCGGCAGCCGCGCGATGATCGCCCTGTTACCACGCTTTTATGTACATTACTGGCGAATTTGAATTCTAGTTCCTAGGCAACAACTTTTAAATTCCTCGGAAGAATACAACCGCGCGGCCGCCGTAAGACCAAAGACATGCCAGACTCGCCCGCGCGGCCGGGGTGCTCATTTAAGTTGAAAACGTAAAAGTTAAATGAATAGAGCGTATTTTACCATGGCATGTAGAAGCACGCGGTCGCTACGCGATGAAATTCGTTTTGAATAAACGCACCCTAAAGCTGCTCCTCATTTGGTATCTGGAGATATACAACGGTCATTGTTTTCAGAGCTACATCATTTACCCAAGAATCAAGATGTCCTAATGAGTACTATTCCGCTTCTGGTAGTTCTTGCTCATCATCGTTACAAGGAGGAATTGTCTGGAATGAAAAAGGCACTGACATGCTTAGAAGGGATGTGCCATTCCCTATGTTATTTTTGCCAAAGTCAAATTATAAAGAAATCGAAAAAATTGAACAATGTTATCAAAGGTAAAGTCTCTTTTTAATTTTTTACACGTTATAAAAGCCAATAAACTTAAATTACCAGAACTTAAGTTTTGCAAATAATATGTCCGCCAACCAAATGCTTCCAACTTCAAGCCACGCCTACTGGGGAGTGCGTTGTGTGCTGGAAGGTTGCCTTCACCGTTTAAAAATATTTTGATTTGATTCTAATTTAGTTATCCTGTAATAAATGTAGGTCATTGAAATATTTCTTCCGGCCCGGTGGTGACCCAACTCGGGACCACTTCATGGCAGTCCAGCATGGTAACCGTTCGCCCACGAAGACAGTTAGCTAGTAAGAAGGTAGGTAGCTACTGCTACTTAAATATGATCAACAAAATTGGTTTTCAGATATAACCTTGATCGTGACAACCAAAAGGGGAATCCTCTATGTTCACTACAGCTACGCTCGTTTATGTATGCAGCAGTCAACTCCGAAGTGTGTATGAGACGGTGAGTTTTCTTTTAAAATTCTCTACATCTCATTCTTTGCTATTATCTAATATCAAGAATTTTTTTAAGGTCTATGTCGTCACCGACGCTTTTATCGGCTTATGTGGTGTGCCATCCTCTCGGCGATAATAATGTGTATTACTCCTTATTCCCTAGAGGAAAGGTAAGTGTTTGCATGATCATATAATTAATTCAGTAACTTTAAAACATGACCTTTAAAAAGGCCATGTCAAAAGTACCCAATGTACGTTTTTATTTAGAAAAAAACTAGAACATACTTTGTGGTAGCATCAATCTGCGTGTCTTTTTCTCCTTCTGAAGACCTTTGCTTTAAGGAACATTGCACAATCAAATGAATTTGAAAAAATATAGTAAAGCATTTGAAAGTTATGTTACTTTTTTTATAGGGTATCAAGTCATACAAATTAAGTTTAGTACATATTTGAAACTGTAGATGTGTCGACACTTAGATAAAATATAATAATATAAAGTAATATAAAGTATTGCATCTCGAAAATTTGAGGTATATCATATATTTATTTATTTATTTATTGCTGTATATGTACAATTGTTGTAAATTGATTATAAAAAATATCACAGTGATAGTAGCTACATGAACCCTGTTAGGGCATTGCAATATATTATATTTAATTTAGTTCAATTAATAATTCTAAATGAGAAGTATAAAAAAAAATACAAATGCAACATAAAACATTTTAGGAATGTTTAATTAATATTCATTTATAATTATTATAATCAGTAAACACAGTGAACTTCTCGTTGAACACAACAATTCCAAGGTTTTTCAATGGTATTATTATACTTTTTAATTTGTTAGTTTGCAATATACTGCCTAGATGGCATTTTCTTGTATTTATTCTCGAAACTAAGTAACGTTTTAACTTTAACTTTTCAATTTTCAGGAGACATCAACTACAAAGACACCTGTGCATCTAATCACGGCTAGAATCGATACAGCTTCTTTCTTTGATGGTACATTACGTAGACACCCAAAGCGTTTTATTAATTGTGCTTCTGCTGACTACTTATCAACAACAAAATTACATCTGTAAACAGTGAAACCAAAGAACAATAACCTATCGCTTCATTCGAAGATATAATATTTAACCAGATAGTTTCCTTAACTTGCTAGGCAACACTGCACAGTTTTTAGAGAAAAAAAATGTTTTGACGTTGACACTTCCTAACAGGCATCAACCGCCATTTTCTAATCTCATTCCTTTTAGAGTGGGAAGCAAAACTTATTTGGGAGTTTCAGAATCTTTACTTCTGATATGACGATGTCAAGGGAGGGAGGGTGTTGATTATATCTTCGAATGACGCGACTCACATAATAGTGATCGAACTTCACTTCAAGGAGTTCGTTTGATCATCTATTATATTTCGTAGCTTCATTCTCGATATAATATTTAACCAGGTAGGGTTTTAGAGTATTCGGTTTTGCTTCTAGTTGGTTTTATATAAATTAAAAACCAGGGGCTTAATTGATAACTATATTATATTTTTATTAAAAATATATTATTATATAGATATGAACATATAACGATTTTTCTCCTGAGAACACAATCATAAGAATTTTTAAATTGTACAATCATATAACGCGGGTGTCCACACCCGCCGCGCCGCATCCAACACCTGCCGTACACATCGGCTCATGATCTGACTCGTGTGTACTCTGTGGGGAGCTCTGTGTGTGTCTGTGTGTTTTGATTAAATCAGGTATTGCAATTTTAATCGGAATATCTGATATTTGTATGTTTTTCATTCTAATCAATTCCAGTACCACCGCGTACACGCGGTGTGCATTACAAAGTGCAAGTAAAATAACATATTTTTTCGTAAGTTTTTCAAGGAAACCATGTTGAAACTAATGCGAGAACGACTTGGAGATTCCAAGTATTGCTGTACTTTGCTGCAGGAGGTACCATGGCTTGGAAGACCAATATGGAAAACCAAGAGTACTATTTGCTTGGTCATCAATAATTAATCATTTACGGGAAATGCATCTGGTTCCTGAAACCGAGAAACAAAAATAGCGGATTTGGCATTGGTGCGGGATGCAAAAAGGTCAATCTCGGGTTGTCCGAAACGTCTGACAATGTTCTGGAAGGCGCGAGAGGACAACTCTCACTCAGTGTCGGGATTAGTCTTCCTAGATTCTATATCGGCGCGATTATGTTTTGTATTTACATAATGTGCACATATGCATACAAAATCATGTTGCGCTTTTCGTACCATTGCCAAAATTGTTTACTTAAATCGTTAAGGAGGGTGTATTGGTTCCCACTCTTGCGATTTATGCAACTGATCGCCGTTTTATTACGTACTCGCAACTATATAACATAATCAAAGTATACTAATATAATATAAGAATACTGCAATTCTTAGTGATTGATATGGTGCTTCTTCTCAACAACCTTCCGTTGGCCTCCTGTGCTACTCGTGCCACATACGGAATCCCAACCGGTGCGCGATGCATCTGTATAACTTATACTTTAAAACTTGAGGTTCTCATATACGATGAAGCCTAGTAATTATTGTCTGTCCACCAACTCAAATCACTTAGAATATCTGGAAGATAAATTGTTGTTTCATAGTTACCGTCATGTTTTTTGCAGACTTAGAAATTTCAGTATTTCCACTAATTTTGTATATAACCAACCGTATTTAGTGGCTGGGCAAATTGAGATGAGGACACCAATCAATTGAGCGTACTCCCTTATGGGTACATCGGGGTAACCTCATTACTTTTAAATAGTAAATAGTAAATGCATTGACCTATAAGGTCAAAGAGTAAAAAGTAAATTTTTTGACTATTTTCTAAAGGTAAACTTATACTTAAATTTCATGAATCAAAATTGCACGTTAGAAATTTACAAATTTGACATGGTTGTAACACAGACTTGCCGTAATTAATAATGAAGCCTAAACATTTGCAGTAAGTTAATGGTCGCATTAACATTATTGATGCATCGTCATAATCAACTGCTATACAACAAATATCATATAAATATACCACGGATTTAAATCCTTGTTATCTCAGATGTGTTACAACTTCTTACATGGTTTTGGTAAACACTTTCGATGCTGTGTACAAACCGTAAGCCAGAGCAGTAAATTCATAGTTTTCAATTTCATTCGAACCACAAGGTAAATTCTGAAATCTGTGGTCCTTGCGATCAGCTTCGCAGATAGATGTCAGTGAATACACCCCTTTCAGGTCTTTTGGCCATGAAACCCCTGAGAGGTATCAATTTTGAGGCAATTCGATAGTCCTCCATTTTAAAATGAGTTTTTGTTACAAATTTGTTAAAGGATATTATGTTCAATATGAAACGACTACTACCGTTGCATTTTGGGGCTAAAAAAGTTATAGAAATGTATTGATGTTTTCTAGGACAGCACTTTGTCACTGCTTCCTAGTCAATTAAGTTTTTAATTGCGATATGCACTTTTTTATTGTCGTCTGGCGACAAACTATAGCCGGGTATTATAGACTGGTGTTCGTACCGGTTTATATAATGGTATTGTTGGCGAAGCCGCATATTGAATTTGCAGCTGGCTGTCGCCTAAAACCATTAACGATCTTCTTTACAATTGTATTAGATAGGTAATTGAATTTTAACTACGGCGTGTTTCGTTAACACTTATTAATTGCACGTATGTGGGATTTAAATTGAAATAACTCGCAGTTGATTTCTTATTGCAGTTAACTCATGGCTAACCCCAACTTAATTTTATTTTAAATATTTAACTTAATTTTATTTATTCTTATAATAATATAATAATTATATTCGACTCGCAGTCAATTTCGTTATCGTGGTTAACTCGCAGTTAACCCCGACGAAACTTAATTAAAAAAATTCATTACTTATTATTAATATTAGCACGTAGGAACTACTGTTGTTCAAATTAAAATCGACTCGCAGTCGATTTCGTTATCGTGGTTAACTCGCAGTTAACCCCGACGTAATTTTATTTAAAAAATTCTTTACTCATTACCACGTAGGAACTAATATTGTTCAAATTAAAATCGATTCGCAGTCGATTTCATTATCGTGGTTAATTCGCAGTTAACCCCGAGGCAGTTTTATTATAAATCATGTAAAATGCACATATTAGTATATCTGTTCGGATTTTCATCCACTCATGCTCGATTTGGTTATCGGGGATAACTCCCAGTTAAGCCGATGTTTTATTAAATGTAGGTTAGATTCACATTTGTGATGTATGAAAGCGAACATTTATTATCATCGCGGAAGTAGCAAGTAGTGCTATATGACAAAAATGAATATTTTCATTTTTTATTTTCATTTCTATGAGCGTAAGAAAAAATCTTACCTTGATCAATGTCCGACACCTCCGATGATATTATGATCCTATAACGCCGACGACGTTTGGCTTCTGTATTTTCCAAGTATTTCAGTTTACTTTTATAATATTCGATTTTTTCAAAGTTTGTTCGCGTTGACATTTTAACGGAACTGTGGAGGTGTGCTTGTTGCCACGCACGAAAAAGGAATGAGAATAGAAAATGGCGGCTGATGCCTGGTAGGGAGTGTCAACGTCTAAACATTTTTTTTTTATCTAAAAACCATACAGTGTTACCTAACAACTTAAGGAAACTACCTGATTAAATATTTTTTTTTACGCACACACTCAATATAGCCCCGCACTAGGGAAACCCTGTGTCGCGGGTGCCATGGACACACACATAGACAACCACAAATTACACCCAAACTCACGAGAGAAATAAATGTAGGCCATACAAATATTTCTCCTGGCCCGGGAATCGAACCTGGGACCTCTGCGTGGCGGTCGGGCATGATAACCGTTCGGCCACGGAAACAGTAAGTATATCGAGAATGAAGCAACGAAATATAATTTGTATTATAGGTTATTGTTCTTTGAGTGAAACTCATCAAAAATATCTACAGATCCCAAGTAGTCAATTATCTTTATCTTCAGAGTGCATTTGACAATGATCAACTATTTGAGGTGCAAATAGCAACTAAAATTCATTATAATTGTGTAGCTTTTTGCCAAACCCGTTAATGTTTTGAACATTATGAACATAATATAATATTATGGTTAAAATTTATCACTATGGTTTTGTAGACATAGTATAATCATTGAAGTATTTGTATTAATTGTAATATGATGTTTTACTTATGTTCTTCCTGTAAATATTTTTTCTTGTGTAATATAAACTGATCTTGCACTCTTATAAGTGTCCATGTAGTTGTCTAAAGGTGGTTTTCCACGGGCGAGGCGAGAAAGACGAGAAATTGAAATTTTTGTCACAGAAATTCTCTCCTATTGTGAATGATCTGAATTGACGAGATTGGGCGACGCGAGCAGCGAAATATTTGTTGATGTAATATTGAACCGTATTGCTGCCTACATATACTTTGCAATGGAAACACGATTTATCTCACTCTCGGTGGCTATTAATATCAATCGCGGATTGTGGGTACGTACTATTTCAGATTTAAAAATGATGGTTTTATCTGATTGTCCGTTACCCGTTAACATATTTAATAATAATAATAATTTACGGGACATGTTACTTCAGCCGCATATTTCAATTCTCTTCTCTCCTTATCTCGTCTCGCCTCGTCGTTGGAAAAGCACCTTAACTGTCTGAGAACTGTGTACAGAACACAGATGGCACGTACCTCACCGCTTCAACATTTTTTTTTGTTTTTATCTACTCTCACAGACATATTTAGAGGAACGTTATTTAGGTTAAGTTATGCTAACTGAGGCTATCAGCGAAAAAGTGATGTAACCCATATTCAATTTTTTTTCTATAACATTACTTTGAATGTTTCTAAAGTACATAATTATTTTGTATTTATTTTGTATGTTATTTTCATGTATAAAAAATATTTAATTATTAATATTTTTATATGTGATACTTGATAAAATACTTGCATTTAAAGTAATATAGTAAAAAAAATTAAGCTCCAGCTATGTTCATGTGAAGCACTGGCTACATACGTCAAAACGTTTAATTTGAAAAAAGAACGTCTCATGATTTGATTTCGATTAAACGATCTGGCATATGTGGTCAGCGGTTCACATAATTTGAAAAAGTTATTATAATTCAACCTTGTTTAAGCGTTCCTTTAAATATTTCCATAAGTATATTTATTTATTGAATCAGCCCAAATAATATTTCTGGAAATATATATCGACCCCTCCTACGTAAAGTATCGTATGTCGAAATTGCCAAGTTTACAGATTACATACATGACAGAGAGAAGTTTACAGGAGAGCGTTTTAAAGTTCTGAAGTCACTTAAATGAGCATTACACGTGACTTTAGCATTTCTCAGTTCTATTCGGCAAAGCTCTAAAGCTCTAAGCGGCAAAACTCACATAGAGTTATAAAATCCTAGGTATCGGTTAGATGATCTATGATGGTCTATTAGATGATAATTCTATGTGAGTAACGAGCTTTGCCGAATAAAACTGAGAAATGCTAAAGTCACGTGTTATGCTCATTTCTGTGAATTAAAAACTTTAAAAGGCTTTCCTGTAAACTTGGCAATTTCGACATACGATACTTTACGTAGGAGGGGTCGATCAGACTAGGTAACTGGTACCATTATCTAGCATTTTTTTTAATAGGTGTGGCACCCGGAGCTGCGAGCTCTGTAGTCGGAATGGTCACATTGATTACGGCGGCTGTTGCACTATCGAAAATGATACCAGTCACTGATGCTCATCTATATAGTAAGTACCTTTAAAATTATATATTAAAAGTAAAAGCAGAATTCACAGTTTACTCGTTTGCAATTTGTTTATCGATATTAATCGATAGCACTTGTTTACGACTTCCGCATGGTTGTCGAATAGGGGTTACGTCACTAATCAAAACAATTTAATAATGCGTAACGGCTATTACAGTTATTGGCACTGGAAGTAAAAGGACTTGCATATGCAATGGTACAGGGTTGACAATTACTATTTAAATTCAACTCTATGATGCTTACGATGATAACGGTCCAAAGTCCAAAGTGTCAAGTTTGATCTGGGGGTCGATTCCGAACCTTACGATAACCCAGTTGTTGACCGAATGATTTTCATTTTTATTCACAACACCTGAATTGAACGTCAAACTGTCGTGTTCAAAACCGACTCGAAATGACGTCACACCCATACGATTACTCGAACTTCTCGACCGGCAAAGGCTACAAACGTTATTCAGAACACAGGTATCGAATGAAAGTTACCGAACGTCCTATTGTTTGCCAAGCAAGAATGTACTATGGAAATCTCTTATTATTTAAAATAAAGTCTGGATTTTGTTCAATTTTATTTATTAATTTTAATGCAAGACTAATTCATTCTTATATTTTAAGCCTTTGAAGTCTTAAAAATGTTTGTAAAAGGATTTTCATTTGTCTTATAATCTATTTCACCGACTAACTCCGTAAACGCTGTTGGATAAAGATATCGTATCCGAATCGAACGTTTAACTCGGAATATTCTAAATAGCTCGGAAAGCGCCCTTCGATTCGAGAACGATGTCCAATCGAACGATTCGGTTAAAATATCGAAGAGTTCTGAATCGGGGGCCTGCTGTTGAGTGAATAAATAATTATTGGCACTCTTTTAGATTAATAATCGTCAGCAGTGCAGATGGATTTATGTACAAATGTAAAATTTATTGGTAGGTAATATGAATGTAGCTAATAGAGTTGCGCTGGTGTTAATTTTGATCATTATTGAATATGTCAGTACCATTAATACATTAATAGAATCCAAATATATAAATATAAATACTACCAGAGCAACACGCTCAGACCAAACGGATTGAAACCACTCACACCTACATTAAATGTACCAATGTGCAAAACCAACCTATGCAATTAACAACACTCTTATATGTTCCGTTCGAACCAGGGTTGTTGCGAATATCAGCAAAAGGATCCGCATCCGCGGATAATCCGCATGAATTAAAACATCCGCATCAGCATCAGCCTCCCTCCGCACTGATTGATGCTGATATTCATTGCGAATATTTGCGTCGTGACATTAATTTACAAACCATCCAGAAACAGACTGCAAGCCCAAAAGGCAGCACGACAGTCGTTCTTACCTTTGAGAAAATGTCAATATAATTAAGCTAGACAGCCTGATTGATTTTATAGAGGTTTATTTGTTTATAACAAAAATCACAAAATCATTAAAAAAAATCAAAATAATTACAAAAGCTTTTTCATGTACATTAAATACCTGTACATTTTTCACGATTTTTTTAAATAAATTAAATCAGCATCCGCATCCGCGTCCGCTGATGTGTAAATGACCTACATCAGTAACAACCCTAATTGGAACACACTCTATGAGCAAATATGCACAACCTCAGGAATTCAACACACTTCACAATTTGGAGAATTTTATTAATTTTTAAATATTTAAGCACAATATAAGTTAGATTTTTTAAACAATTTTTTGCTTATTAGCAATTATTAGTCAGAAGAATCCGCAAGTACGAAGCCCTGCCAATAAATGAGGACTTGTGCGACAATTGTAAAAAATTGACATTTTTGTAGTTAAACCTTGAAGAAATGCTTGTTATTATAAGTTACTATAAATAACCATATATTTATATTATTTATGAAATCACACATCTATTAACAAAAAATAATCATTCTAGAACAAAACATCCTATGGACACTACTCAACGGCGAAGCGTTCGACTACATTGGTTCGCAACGAGTGGCATACGACATATCGAGAGGCGCATGGCCCCCCTTATCACCTTTGTCACCCTCTGACGTCACTATGCATGTTGAACTGGGACAGCTCGGCGGGTCTCTCCTGGAGAGCACTGACAATGCTTGGCCTTTATTTGCTTTCTCTGCTGATGAAAATACACAGGTGATTTTATCTACTATACATTGAATGACAATAAAAGTACTGTAATGATTAGTGGTCGAATAATGGGATACTTATTTACCTGAATTTCGGTTGATCGCTAAAATCGAATGCACTTTTCTATGAAACAAATCTATGGATTGACGAAATGATTATGCACAAAACTAAACGGAAATACATATTTAGAATGGTACTTGTAATTTCATGGAACGTTTAAATTAAATTTTACACGTACACAGAAAGCCAAAAATAGAATTCTTACCTTACTTACAAAAAAATAAAAAATCAGACAATAACTTTTTGTACCTTACGAAGTACTCGATCCAAAAATCATTTTATATGTTGTAAGAATTTTTCGAGAACGGAAACGAGATGTCATAAATAATATTAGTAAATTTTATCATAATGAGATTAAAAGCGTTCATGGAACGTTTAAATTAAATTTTATACGTACACAGAAAGCCAAAAATAGAATTCTTACCTTACTTACTTACAAAAAAATAAAAAATCAGACAATAACTTTTTGTACCTTACGAAGTACTCGATCCAAAAATCATTTTATATGTTGTAAGAATTTTTCGAGAACGGAAACGAGATGTCATAAATAATATTAGTAAATTTTATCATAATGAGATTAAAAGCTGTTATAGCAGTCGTCGTTGACACTTTTGACTAAATTATTATTGCTTTATAATTTTGACATACTTTTTTACTTAATAGAATTTTTTATTTGATTTTGCATTAATATATTTTTTATAGATTTTTGCTTAATAAGAAATAAATTTTATTTTAAGTTAAACAAATTGCAGTTTCTTGCAGGGTTACATGCTTGGACTTTATATTTTTTTAATAACTTTAATATTACCCATGCGATGCAATGAAAAATGAATATGAAATGTAAATTCGTTAGCCCAGTATCTTAATAACCTCTGTAAACTTGTCAATAAACAGACAATTAATGAAAGTCTCTTTCAGGTCAAAGAATTTTTAACGAAAATGAGCAGCTATACAAATAAATACAACATGAGTCTTCTTGCAAAGTTCAGCGCTAACTTGCCACCATCGTCCCTTCACTCGTTCAGGCGGATTTTAAAGAACGTAACCGAAAGTGGACAGTTGCCTGAATTAGTCATTGTGGACCACCAAGAAACTTTTACTAATAAGTTTTATCATTCAGAATTGGACGAGTTTGACAAAATTGGTTTTAATTATCATAACATCAGTATCGGGGCTAACGGAACTTGTAAGTTTTTTCTTGTCATCCCTTTACAGCTATATTTGACTATATATGATATTATATTTAGTGTATTAAATATGATGTTGTTTTTACTATAACTTTGTAGCTCGTTAGTTCGAAAGGTTTTTTGCTCTGTGTTGTTCGACTATAGGTATATTGATACAGTCGAACAACACAGAGAAAAATTCTTTTATGTTGTTTGTAGTAAAAAATTTTTATGTCAAAATACTTCACTATTTTGTTATTATCATTGGATAATAACTAAATAGTGAAGTATTTTCACATAAAATATATGAATATCATGGTTGTAAAAATACGATATTCAATAAAATAAATATTGCAATATATTGCCATCCCTCGTCAGCCTCTGGTAGCTGTAAAGCTGAGTGAAGAAACTTTCTAACTCACAGGTGACACTGGCGGTAAAAAGCCGTTCAAACCCATTACAAAAATCTACAAGCACACAGAGTATTTCTAAAGATCTTCCGACTTGATCTGTAGCTCAGTTGGTAAGAATGGTGGCCCCGGTGTGGCAACAGACGTTGGTTCGCGTCAGTCACATCTAAGAATTTTTTCTTTGTATTGTGCGATTTTTGTAACAATATATAATTATTATGATCGGATCTTTACGGCCATCAGTAAAAGACTGCGTGAATACACGAAATACCAGATCTAATAAAATGAAGGACCACACACAATGTTTTAATAACGTTATAGTGTTCAAACAGTTGTAGGTTTTTCCTGTTTTTTATAAAGCCACATTTTAAGCTTGCAAAAAAACACTTTTGTCCACAATCTAACGTTAAGCGACGATTATTATTATAATAATATCTATAATAGTATTATTCAACTGGTAAAAGGAATCATAATGAAATAATAATTATATTCCAGTTATACCGACTGACGACTTGCTAGCCAATGGAACGATGAAAGATAGTGAGCCGCAAGTGAAAATATCGCGACTCGCCACAGCTTTCGCAATGACGCTCTACAAACAAGTTACTGACCAAGATTACTCAGGCACTGTTGCTGTTTCTGCTCACTTGGTAAATTAGTTACTTGTTTTATTTAATATTTGTTGATTTGTCTAGGGAATTTTCTTACAACGGAAGTCTGCTAGATTAAAGTAGTAAAGGTGCACGGTCCACCAGGGAGGCGAGACGAGGATTGAAATTTGTATGGACAAATTTCAATTCAAAGTAAATTTCAAAAAGGAAGCAGCCCCATATCTTTCTACATTAGTTTTGATTATAGTGACCCTGCCTACAGACCCTTAGAGTATACGAGAAGGGCACTATGACCTGTGCGCACACAGGAACCTTTCTGACCCCAGATCAGCCAGTGTACAAGGGTTGTCACAGACCTCTGTCACTTGACTTCATCCGGTTCTCGAGAGGCTAGTGCCTCGAGTGGGTCAAAAAGAAAACATCTTCTGCATAGTTTGAAACGTTTTACAAAAATGCCTACTACAAATAATAAACTTGTAAATTGTCATGTCACTCAGAATCGCTTTAAAGTAGCCTATGTCCTTCTTCTAGATCCCAACTATCTCTATACAAAATTCATCAAATGTGGTTCAGCGGTTCAGGTGTGAAAACGTAACAGAGTTACTTTCGCATTTATAATGTTAGTTTGGATTAATGGGATAAGAATCATTTTGTAAATATTTTTTAAATCGAAGAAATCAAATTTCAGTATCAAAACTGACCAATAAGGTGCCACTGATAGGGGTTACAATCCGTTTGGATTTGTCCGGAAGTGTCCGGCTTTTTAACCTTTTGTCCAGAAGTTTCGGATTAGGATAACAATTTTCAAAGTACAAAATAAAATATTCCCCTGGCAATTCTGTGGTAAAACTCGATTTATGACAAAAATCTTGTTGCGGACGCTGTCCATTTCTGAAGCCGCGTGAGAGAGAGTTTTTCGATTTTTTTTTGTTTCTACAAAGTCCAGACTTTCTTGCAAAAGTCAGGCATTTTGTCCGGACTAGTCAAATTTCAAAATAATATCCCCACCACCGTCTGTCTTGCCTATAAAATATCTTTTCCAGCACAAACAACGCATCTGAACAGTTTCACATTTTATGTACAGGTTGACGAAATGCTCTACTGTTTCCTAAAGAGCCAAGCATGCCGTCTGTTAATAGCGGCGGACTACGCGTCGAATAGCAACACTGTCGAATTACTTCCAACAAAGCCCGCACAGTTAAGCGTCGGCGTCTTAGACCATCCCAGTACGCCACCGGTCTTAGCTGGACATTTATTGGCGTTGCTTACCGGCACGCATTTGCAAGTTAACAAAACAACTTGTGATTCTAAGAAGGACCTTGTAAGTTATTATTTTCTAATTTATGGTTTGACCACGTAAAATTTAGCAGGGGTTAAATTGTCAGCGCTCATAGGCTCCGATCCGGACATGCTGCATTAAACAAATTTTTGATTAGTTGTACAGCATTTGCTTATGAAGTGTATTCGGACAGAACCTATCAAGGTACGATTATTTGCACTGGTTGGTTCCCATAGGACCTTGTAAGTTGTTCTAAGTTATGGTTTGAACACGTAAAATTAAGCAGGGGTCAAATTGTCAGCGCTCATAGGCCTGAGCCTACATGTCCGGATGATCCGGACATGTAAATTAGATGTACAGCATTTGCTTATGGAGTGTGTTCGGACGGAACCTATCAAGGTACGGTTATTTGCACAGGTTAATTCCCGTAGGACTGTAAGTTATTTTAAGTTACGATTTGACCACGTAAAATTAGCAGGGGTTAAATTTTCAGCGCTCATAGGATTCGATCTGGGCACGTTCCAATTTAAACAATTTTTTCTATTATATGTACAGTATTTGCTTATGAAGCGTGTTCGGATGGAACCTATCAGGGTACGGTTATTTGCACAGGTTGGTTTTCATTACATTTGATGTTGAGTGGTTTCAATCCATTTTGTCGGAACCAACATGTAGTGTCGCGAAGATTTTGTATACATGTTTGCTTAGGTACTATTTTGATTTATCTGTCTGGATTTTGTTAAAGGTTTTCTTGAAGTATTGTTTTTCTAATGGGGCTGACAAGTTCAATATTTATCAAAGCCCCTAAATAAATAAAGGGTAAAAAAAAGTATATTGATAAAAGTGAGGAATTTGTTTCATGAAAACACCGTACGTATCGCTATCCCCATTAGAATACAGCGGTTTTTAACATTTCAACAAGAGTTTATGCCATGATTACGACGTACGTAGGCAAATGCTGAATATTTGTGTATGAATGACAGCAAGCGGGAGACGTTGGTAAAAATACAGATCTAAAAAGTGTCAGAGAGTACCTACAACAAAAAGTCAATAGTGTATTTTGGTAATTTTATTATGTTTTGTAAAAAGTCATGGAACAAAGTTGTTGTTTATGATGTTAGTAATACAGTCCTGCGAGGTTGTTAGTGTTTTACAAATAAACCTGGGTATATAAATGAATTATAGTTGTCGAGACTCCCAAAAGAATTCCATGTTTTTTATAGCTTGTTCTTATACAGGATTTCTCTTACTACTGGCTCCGTGGTTGGAACCAAAGCGGTATCTGCGTCCAGACCACGATGAACTTCAGCCAAGCGCTTAGCCCTGCTTTTATGGACAGTGGTAAGTAGATATCAAATCGGATTATTACTTAAAGCTCCTTTCAATGTTTTCGACTGGTAACTGCTTGCCTTTCTACTTTACAACTAACTTGCCTTTCACTGGTAGGGCAATAATTGCAAGTGTACTTTTATATTTCATTTGTAGTGTATACAAATAAGTATTTTTTTAAATTATGTTATTACTTAGGCCATACTGGAAGTTTCTGGATTCTGATAAGTAAAACTAGATATTATGTTCATAATAGATTTATTATTGTACAAAGTATATGCTATTGTACTCTATATTACTCACACACGTTTGCATTCGTTGGAACCATTCTGAAAAGCAGTGGGACCAGTCTTCCGTGGGGACCTCTTCAATGGCTTCGTGGAACGTACTTTTATTATTATCGTATTATTGTAAATCGTAAACCTTTAAGTTTATCTTTGCTTTTTGGAAATAAAAAGAAGTCGCATGGTACAAGGTCTGGGATGTATGGCGGATGGGTCATCAGCTCCACGTTTGAGGCCTTCAAATACGTATTCGTTGCTTTAGCGGATTGTGCAGAGGCGTTGTCGTGGTGAAGGACGATAGTGCGTGCCAGTCGCGTGCCGTGTACGGACACACATATTCGCATGATGTAGAGCGATGCACTCGCGCTGCACCGCGCTGGTCGTCTCACGCGCCTTTCATTATTATGCGAATGTGTGCGTCCGTACACGGCGCGCGGTGGGCGTGCACATTTACAAGCTGCACTGTTAAATTTGTATGGCCTTACCATGGTTGTCTAATAAGGCTCAACTCACACTGGCGCAGAGTCGAAGCGTCGCGTCGCGTCAAGTTATTCAACAAGTCAAGTTTTAGTAGAGCTCCTGTGAAAGAGTTCGTCCAGGTTAGTACTGCCATCCTACCTATTTCTGCCGCCAAGCAGTAATGTCACCATTATTGTGTTCCAGTTTTGAAGGGTAAGGGTGCTGGTGAAATTACAGGCACATGAGACTTGTCAACTTACGTCACAGGATGGCGGGAATATTACTCTTATTAGGTAGCTGGAACATTACGGTGTAAATGGCAAGGCGTCGAAACTTGTCTCGTCATATCTCAACGGTAGAATTCAGAAAGTCGACATAAATGGAGTGACTTCTTTGGATTCTCCGGTAAAAATGGGTGTTCCGCAGGGCTCAATACTTGGACCTTTATTATTTCTGATTTATATTAATGAGCTGCCATTCTTTGTTAAGGACCATTGCGAAATAGTGTTGTTTGCAGATGACACATCCTTGATTTTTAAAACAGACAGACATGACATTAACTATGGTCATATTAATGATACCCTCTCTAAGGTAGTTTATTGGTTTAATGCTAACAATTTATTGCTTAATGCTAAGAAGACAAAATGTGTTAAATTTGAATTACCTAACGTAAAATCGACTAGTCCAAGCATAGAAATAAACAGAGAAAAGTTAGACCTTGTTAATAAAGCAGTCTTCTTGGGAGTGACCTTAGATAGTAAACTTCAATGGTTTCCACATATATCTTCCCTGGCCAGCAGATTAAGCTCCGGTGCATACGCAGCCCGCAGAATACGTGAACTTACCGATGTTAGTACTGCTAGACTAGTTTACTTTAGTTACTTCCATAGTATGATATCCTACGGGATTCTCATGTGGGGTAAAGCGGCAGATATTCAAATCATATTTGTATTGCAAAAACGAGCGATTCGTTCTGTGTACCGTCTAGGCTCTCAGGTTTCTCTCAGAGAAAAGTTCAAGGAGACTGGTATCATGACTCATGGCATCACAGTACATTTACTCAAATATTTTGTATGTCCGTAAAAATATACATAATTTCAATAAGAAAGAAGATATCCATAATTTCAATAAGAAAGAAGATATCCATAATATTAACCTTAGAGCTAAGTCCAAACTCATGGTACCACGATTTCGTTTAACCAAGGTAAACAACTCTTTTATGGGGAACTGTATACGTTTTTACAATAAGATTCCGGAGCATATATTAAGTTTATCATTGCCTAAGTTTAAAAAGTACATGAAAAATATTTTGATTGAAAAATCATATTACAAAATTTAAGACTACGTGTTAGATAAAGATATATGGAAAGACGACACAGCTCCAGAATCCACACAAATTTGATTCAAAGTGTATTCCATAGCGGTGGACATTGCTGAGGATTTTCTGCAATATTTTAATGTTGAGCCTTCGTTAACAAGTGCGGGGCGGGTCTTTGACGAGAAGGCCGTAGATGCTATTGGCCTCTCCTTGAGATTTATTTTTTTATTTATTTTATTTTTACAGCTAAAGAGGTGGCCTTAGTGATCCAGAAAATGACGAAGGGTAAATCCCCTGGGCATGACGGTCTTAGCGTCGAGCACTTGTAACATGCTGGAGTACATCTTCCACGGGTGCTCTCCTTGATTTTAATCTGTGTTTGTGCCATAGTTACTTGCCCAGTGAACTAATGCAAACAGTGGTGGTACCTATAATTAAAAATAAAACGGGCGACGCTGCTGACATGTCCAATTACAGGCCGATTTCACTGGCCACGATCATCGCCAGGGTGCTGGACAGTCTGCTTGACAAACATCTTGCCAGAAACTCTACAATATCAGATAATCAGTTTGGTTTTAGACCTGGACTTTCCATTGAGCGTGCAATTCTATCTCTCAAACAGACTGTTCAGTACTATGTATCTAGAAAAACACCAATATTTGCCTGCTTTCTGGATCTGTCAAAGGCGTTCGATCTAGTATGTTATGACATCCTGTGGCAAAAGCTTCAGCAGGAAACCACCGTTGCTCCTGAAGTCGTTTCATTATTTAAATATTGGTACAGTAGTCAGAAGAATAGTGTCAGATGGGACGGTTGTTACTCTGATGTGTACACATTAGAGTGCGGAGTGAGGCAAGGTGGTCTGAGTTCGCCTCGCCTCTTTAATATTTATGTGAACCACCTAATGGATGAGCTCAGAGGCACAATGGTGGGCTGTCATATCGATGGTGTTTGCATCAATAATATAAGTTATGCCGACGACATGGTGCTGCTGAGTCCATCAATGGGTGGTCTAAGGAAGCTGTTACGCACTTGTGAGGCGTACGCTGTGGCTCACGGACTCAAATATAATGTTAAGAAAAGTGAGTTCATGGTGTTTAAGGCTGCTGGTATGAACTATACACAACTACCAGAAGTGTCACTCTGTGGTACAGTTTTGTCCAGGGTGTCGAAATTTAAATATTTGGGTCATTGGGTCACGGAGAATCTCAATGACAATTGTGACATAGAGAGGGAGCGCAGGTCGCTGGCTGTTCGCTGTAATATGTTGGCTCGCAGATTTGCACGTTGTACTAAACAGGTAAAAATTACACTATTTAAAGCCTACTGTCAAGTGCTGTACACGTGCAGTCTGTGGGTTGCGTATTCGGGGCGGACATTCAGCGATTTGCGTGTTCAATATAAGAACGCATTCAGGGTGCTGATGGGGCTTCCGTGGAGGTGTAGTGCATCGGGGATGTTTGCCAAGGCTCAGATGGACGGTTTCTTGGCCATCATGAGGAAAAGATGTGCATCTGCGCTAAGGCGCCTCCGTGATAGCTCCATCCTGTGTGTGTTTAAAGATCGGTGGGACTCGCCACTCCTGCGTAGGTGGATAGAGCTCCACACTATCTTAAATGTATAAGTAGTTTTTAAATTATATTAATATTAATACTAACACTAGTTCTTAAGTTGTTTGGTTTACTAACTCTATATGGATCTTATCTGAAATAAATATTTGAATTGAATTGAATTGAATTGAATTGAAATAGCATTTAAGTTTATTTGAAAAGAGCAGTCCCTAGCGTTGCTTGCTCGTTCTTCTCAGGGAGGTCAGCGTATTCAACGAGCAGTAGCTTAAATGTGACGTTTTCAAGTGTAAATTTATTTTACCTATGGAATAAATAATCTTTGACTTTGAAGAAAAGATATACTTAGCGATACTTGCTTACTTACTTAGATATACTTGGCGAATTCAAAACACTTTGCATTAACGATTTAAGCTGGGACCCGAGATATTTTTATGATTATTATCTTACAAAGACATTCATATTCATTTTTGGATTAAGTAAATTAATATTTCGTCTTCATCCATTGTCGCGCACTCATCTCGTAGCAGTTCGGGACTGTGCTACGTCTGGGGGTCTACTCTCGATTTCCATCCGACATCCGTCCGAAACAATTACTGCCAAATAAGCAATACTTGACCAAATGAAAAGACGCGTGATGCGAATGAAGCTTCATATTTGATACTTGTCTTTTGATTTTGTCGAATATTACTTATTTGACAGTAATTGTTTCGGACGGATGTCAGACGGAGAGCGAGAGTAGGCCCCCTGGTGTGGTCGGCGGTACTGCGCGCGAGTAACGCACGGCGACTCGCAATTCCGCTCGACTTTAACCAAGCGCCGACGCGTGATTCCATATTTACATAACACAAATTTGTACCTTAAGAATGGGAAAATATAGATAAATATGCTACTTGCGAAAAAACTTGACGTATCGCGACGCTTTGAGAGATAAGTTTAAGGAAATTAACATTCTTACATTAGACTCACAGTACATTTATGAAAATGTAATTTATGTTAAAAGGAATAGTAATTTCTTTATGAAAAATAGTGACAGACATAACATTAATACGAGGAATAAAAATAAACTAGCTTTAATTGATAGTCGTCTTCACAAAGTCAAAAAATAATTTAAGAGCCAATGTAGGTAATGTAGAGTAAATATACGCTTCTATAACAAGATTCCGGTTGATATAGGTACATAACGGTTGATATAGTGAAACAAAAACTTTATACTGAAGGTTATTATACAACTTCTGCGTACTTGGTTGACAAAAATCCGTGGTAGTAACCCGTTTAGCTCATGGAGGTAGTCTCGATCTCTCGATCTGATGTTTCAAATAAAAAAAAAAATATATTGTAAATGTTGAATGTGTACAAATATTATTTACAAAGAGCAACCCCTAGAGTTTCTTGTTCATTCTTCTCAGGGAAATCAGCCTTACGAATGAGCGGTAGAGTTTAACCATTGTGACGATTTCAAGTGTAATAATGCTTACCTATGAAATAAAGATTATTTTGAATTTGAATTTGAATTCGACTCTGAGCCAGTGTGAGTTAAGCCTTATGATACTATGCCATTAGGGACAAGCATCACTGATAGACGTCCACAAGTGTACATAATTTAGAAATTGAAGTGATTGAGTCACCACGACCTCTCTTCAAGCAGTCCCTCTTCTACTGAGCTAGCAATGCTATTTACTAAATAATTTCAGAACTTAGCGAAATTAATAAATAACTCTTTTCCAGGGTACGACTACAAATCGGGCCTGTACTCGACTTGGACAGAATCGGTATGGGATTCGATGTGGGCGCGGGTGTTTGTGACGGCAGGAGGGGGCGGGGCGCAGGCGGCGGCGGTGGCAGGGGCCTTCGTCACTATATTCGCAGCTGTTCTCACGTACTGGCTGCAGAAACACGCGAGTATTGTTTTCCCGGACGCTTCTATTGCTAACGGCGACACCGCGGCAGGGTAAGTGTGCACAGAGTTCGGCTACGGAACTATTGCCACCTTCCCTGTTTCTGCCTTAGATATAGAAAAAAAGGGAAGATATGGTATGGGGGCATGGTTCGCGTCGCCTCGATATGGTCAAAATGACCATATCGAGGTGACACGCCTACAAACATCGTCACAGTGACGTGGCGATCATTGTACATGCAAGATCTCTCGTAAAACGTGAAAATGCCAAGTTGTAGCGATACACCTTGTAAAAATTGGAGTGAAAACAAAAATTTTAAAACCAGAGAGATAACATTCCATTTATTTGCATTTGCATTTTTAGTTACTTTTTCTATTATTATTCAATGTTTTCTTTTTGTCTCCATAGAAATTTCTAGACTCAAATATAGTGATGTTCATTTACGAAGACTGATGTTTATCGACAATAAATTTTTACTGAAATGTTTGAATTTCTTACTATAATTTTTGTAATTAAAGTCCCTAAAATATCGAAGCGAAAAGCATTCACGTTAAATTGTTTTCTTTTATTTTATTATTGTTATTATTTATCGATATCTTAGGTTTTCACGATTGTTACACAGAGGAAATGAAACTGTTTTTCCGGATTTAAATCGCGTATATTTGTTTTTTCAAACAAACCGACGTTTCGGGCCCTTTACAGGTCCCATGAACACGGTTGACATGGTCATGAGACCTGTAAAGGGTCCGAAACGTCGGTTTGTTTGAAAAAACAAATATACGCGATTTAAATCCGGAAAAACAGTTTCATTTCCTATTGTTATATTATTACTAAACATATTATTTCGAGTAACTTTAACACAACTCAATATTTCGGATAACCGTTTCCATTTCATGTCAATTTGGATGTTGCTGTTGCTTGAAGAAAAATTGATGTGTTTTAGATATTTAAGATATTTAAATTCCATTATACTCGTAGATTAAACGTAGAGTATTTTTAAGTTTTTCCAATGAGTTTAAAATAAAAGAAGGTTGGATTGAAGCTGCAGGAAAATCGAAAGATTGGTTTTCTTATTACTATTTCTGACTTTGTTTTAATTTCCATAACAAGTGCATTTAAAAAAATAAATAAAATAAAACCGGCTTTATTTTACATGTGCATGCAAAATAAATTAGAAACAATTATAGAAAATTACATAAATCCTTTATAAAAAAACAACATATTTTAATTTATTAAATTCATTGATGGTTCGAGTTTACTCTTGACAGTGACAGTATCAGCAACCCGTGGTAACGTATAATGGAAAATTGACACTGGCGACGATCGCCATATTTTTTATATTATTCTTATAAAACTGACACTGGTCCAAGCCTAGTGGCCGCCATTAAGAAAATAATAATAATATATATTAATATATTAATTTAAAATACACCAGTACCAGTGTAGATATAGTATGAAAAATGGAATATTTTTTTTAATATTAAAAACAGCCACATGGTTTCCATGTATCGATTAGGTAGGACCACATCCCTCGTTGAGTAGCGCCAGTTTAAGGTTAATAAGGTTAACAATTCACGGAGCGGTTTCCAACAGCGGTTTTATTACGGGGGGGGAAATCTTTATCTCAGGGGCTATGTGGGGACTCTCCCTCCAGACAGAGGGAGGGCCTACCCCACTGACCCCCCCCCCCCCCCCCCCCCCCCCCCCCCCCCCCCCCCCCCCCCCC